TTCTCATTTCTTATTTGGTTTATTTGGGTTCTCTCTCTCTCTTTGTGAGTCTTGCTAGTGGTTTATCTATCTTGTTTATTTTTTTGAAGAACCAGCTCTTGGTTTCATTGATCTTTTGGATTTTTTTTTTTGGTATTCATGTTGTTGATTTCTGATCTCTTTCCTTCTGCTTGATTTGGGCTCCTTTTGTTGATCCTTTTCTAAGATCTTGAGCTGTGAAGTCAAGTTGTTTACGTGGGCCCTTTCTTCCTTCCTGAGAATTGCTTTTAGAGCTATAGATTTTCCCCTTAACATGGCTTTAGCTGCATCCTATAGGTTCTGGTAGCTTGCGTCTTCATTCTCATTTGTTTCCAGGTATCTTTTCATATTGTCCTTGACTTCCTTCCTGACACATTTGTTTTTCAACAATGAGTTGTTTAATTTCCAGGTGTTTGATTTGTTTTTCCATGTCTCTGTGTGATTCACTTCTATCTTCAGTGCACCGTGGTCTGAAAAGACTGGAGAAGTATTCTTTCTTTTGGGGGTATAGAGCCCTGTGTAGGTCTATAAGCCCTCTCTCTTCTATTTCTTCCTTCAAAGCCAATGTTTCCTTGCTGAGTTTTGTTCTTGTTGATCTATCCAGAGGTGATAAGGCCATGTTGAAGTCTCCGACTACTATTGTGTTGCTAGAAATGTCCTCTTTAAAATCTGTTAGCAGTTGTTTTAAATATTTAGCTTTTCTCTCATTATGTGCATATACATTTAAGTTTCAGTGAGCGTTTTGCCGGATAGAGAATTCTTGGTGAAGTGTTCATTTCAGTGAATTTTTTTTTTTACTATATCCCACCATTGCCTTCAGGCATGGAGGGTTTCCTCTGATAGGTCTGCTGTGAATGTAAGGGGTGCTCCTTTGTATGTGATTTCCTTCTTTGACCTTGCTACTTGCAGTATTGTGCCTCTATCCACGGCATCCATCATTCTAACTCTGATATGTCTTGGAGTGTTTTTGTTAGGGTCTCTTTTAGCTGGCACCCTTTGGGCTCCTTGAATCTGAATGGCTGCATTTTCCAGCTCTGGGAATTTTTCAGCAATGATTTGTTTAGCCATGGCTTTTTCATTGGGATTGTTTCCCTGACCTTCTGATACTCCAATGATTCTAATGTTGTTCCATTTGGAATCATCTCCTAGGACTCTGATTCGCTCTAGAGCTATTTTGAGGTCTCTTGCCATTGTTTGTTTTTGCCTGTTGGCTTGGTGCAGCTGATCTTCCAGCTCACTGATTCTGTCTTCAGCTGTGGCCATTCTAATGTTGAGGGCACAGACTGAATTTTTTATTTCATCTACGAAATCTCTGATTCGTGACATTTCTGTGCATAGCTTTCCAATTTCTGCTCTCATTTCCTCTTGGATTTTCTCCATTGTCCGATCCATTGTTTCTTTCATGTCCTTCAATTTACTGGATATCTGTCTGACAGCTTCATTGAGTTCACTGAACATCTTCATTACTTCATATCTGAATTCTTTTTCAGAGAGGTCCCTTAGGTGAGTAGCATCTACTGAGGCTTCTAGACTCTTCATCGTCCTCCCCACATAGTGGGGATTTGTGTTGTTTCTTCATGTTGGTGTGGAGGTATGGAGACTGAGGTGTTATTTGAGATTACTGGGTATGAGTAGATTACTTGCGGCCACGTGAGTGTCCACCTGCCCCAAATTAGACCACGCCCACTTATGAAGAGGCCACGCCCCCACGGGTACCTAGGGGCTGGGGGGGTACAACGGGGGGGGGGGGAAGGAGACTGGCGCAGCATTGGGGACGAACAGGAAGAGGCTCAGGGATGCTGAGTGTCCTAGGGTCCTAGAGGGCGCCTGGGGCAGGTGTGCAGAGAAAGCCAAGTCCTGGGTTCAAATACTGATGGATTAACTGACCAGGGGGGAAAGAAGATCGGCACAGCATTGGGTATGAACAGGAAGAGGCTCAGGGATGCTAAGCATCCCAGGGTCCTAGAGGACACCTGGGGCGTGTGTGTGGAGAAAGCCACTCACTGAAAAATTTTGTTCTCTGAAATCATACACTTTAAAAAACTGTTTTGAAAATTATGTCAGTAAACTCCCACTCTTGCTTGTTAACCAAAGATTTGCCTGTGAGGAACTCACTTTTCAAGTGAAGGGTATGCTTATTTTTATCAAGATAATTCAGAATGAGGTGCTATACCTTACAATAGTTATTTTATCAATGCTTTTCTTGGCTTACACTTCTACTGCACCACACCCATCACCTCATTGTCAACATCCTTCCCACTGTCCGTATGTCCCTTATCATCCCCCCTTTTCCATTCTGACATCTTCAGTTTTGTTGGCAGCATCTGTGAGTTTGTCTTGTTTGGCCATTGCTTGTACTTGGACTTGTTTCTTTACATGCCACGTATAAGAGAGGTCATCTAATATTTATTTTTCTCCTGGCTCATTTCACTCCTCATGATGACCAAATAATATATATATATGTGTGTGGGCTGGAGCGATAGCACAGTGGTAGGGCATTTGCCTTGCAAGCGGCCAACATGGCCAATCCGAGTTCGATTCCTCCGCCCCTCTCGGAGAGCCCGGCAAGCCACCGAGAGTATCTCACCTGCACAGCAAAGCCTGGCAAGCTACCTGTGACATATTCGATATGCCAAACACAGTAACAAGAAGTCTCACGATGGAGATGTTACTGGGCCCGCTCGAGTAAATCAATGAACAACGGGAGGACTGTGACCGTGATATGTATGTGTATATATACACACATATATATACACATATGTATATGTGTATACACACACACACACACACACATATATATATATATATATATATATATATACACACACACACACACATATATCCCTTCCTGGTTCCACTGACCCCATGACTTCTGACTCCCCAAATAATATTTTTTTCAATTAAGTGATCTTCCAGAGGTAATATCTTTTATTGAGGTTTTAGAAGCTGCACTTTTTAAAAAAAAAAAAAAGACGTGGAGTTTTGACCTTCAGAAGTATAGAATTCTTATAAGACTTGGATTTTTAAAAAAGGACTTAAGTTTTACTTTTGTCAAAAGGACATTATGTACACCATTATTCATTGCTGCACTCAGTACAATAGCTAAGATATGGAATGAACCTACATGTCCAGTGATATGAAAGGATTATGAAGATGTAGTATATACACACAAAGGAATACTATGCAGCTGAAAGGAATGATTATATCATGCAATTTGCTGCAACATGGTTGAAACTGGAGGATCTCATGTTGAGTGAAGTAAGCCAGAGGAAGAAAGACAAACAGGATGATTTCACTTATCTGTGGAATAGAGACTACTGGATGAGGAACTGTATGTAGTAAAAGGGGGATGTCTAGATCATCTTTGATCCCAGTGTTTAGAGAGGAGGCAGATAGAGAAGGAAAAAAAATTAAGAGAGGATGAAGAGAACAAGAAGTAATGAATTAATAGGCAATAGGGCTGCATTTATACCAGTGATATGATTGAAGGGTAGAGCCATATACCCAATACACAGATTCAATAGAACTGAAACCCTTAGATCTAATCTGCAACCATTGAAACACTGTAATGTGCCTGACAAGTTGACAGGTGGAGGTGACGTGGGGTTAGGATGAGGAGAAATCTGGGAACACTCGGCCGATGGAAGATGACACCGGTGGAGGAATTGGTCTTGGATTATTGTATGCCTAAAACACAACTATCCGTAACTTTGCAAATCATGGCTCTTTAATGAAAATTAAAAAAAATAAAAAATTGTTTTAAAGTCTGTTATTTTATGTGGTGCTCTCCCCAGAACAATGTCATTCCTGAGGTGCTTGTCTACAGATTGGTCAATCAATTTTCAACCTTTTACATAACATGGTTGGAGGTAAAGAAACCTGTACCTGTACAGGAAAAAGAGAAAGGTTTATGTGTTTGGAAGAGAAAGTTTGTGGGTAATGAAAATTATAAATGGAGCATAGAGTGGTACTCAAAAAGAAGAAGAGATGAACTGTACAAGGCAATAGTAGTATAGTACTAAAGATGGAATATTTGAATGATTTTAATTCACAAAATTAATTTCAACTTTACGTCTAAGTTTTTTATCTGCATATTTTTTAGTTCTTGAAAGTTTTTCTATTTAGTTTATGATTAAACTATGTATGCTAAAATGTGTAAGAACATACACAGTAGGGAACAAAACAATTCTACAACTGGAAACTTCCCATCGCGGCAAGAGGTAAAGAGTACCAGTGAGCACACAATCAGCCAGGTAGGGAGAAGGTCCAACTTTGTTCCCAAAAGGTTCAAATGTCTGACTTGACAAGGGCAACTCTGTTCTCTGGGAGCCCTGTCTCATATGAAGGTGATCCTAGTAGGATGTAAGTTTCTACTGATGCTGATAAGCCAACCATAAGTTTATCTACTGATAAATGGTATTTCTTACCATCACGTTAGCATAACAGCCACTTAAAGAAAGTCTTAGAGGCAGGCTATAGAAAGTCATCTTAGAGAAAGATTTTGCGACAGAAGCTGGAGGCTGCTGGGCTGACTGACACAGGGGCACAGAGACCAGACTTTTGAACAGTATGTCAGAAAAATCAAGTTTAAATGAGAGGTGGTACTGGAAGAGCAGAGAAGTCGAAACCAAAACCGTTGCAGAAAGTAAGGTATCTTAAATGCCCTACTTGACACACACAAGCTACAACAAATCCCTAAGTCTTAAACCCAAGTCTTCATCCGCCTACCAACTACCACAGCGGGAACTACAATTCCCAGAAGGCTCCGCTCCGCCTTCCCCTTTGACTCCGCGTCTCGCCCTTGCCGGGAGTTGTAGTTCCCAGACTGACTTTTTTTTTTTTTTCCCCGTCCTGTAGTCGAGACCGAAGCACTCACGAGCCGATTCTGGCCTTTAATTTCGACCCCGTTGCGTCCGGGTTCTTCCCATTTCCGGGCGGCCCGAGCAGCCCTCTGGGCTCACGGCTCGGGTCGACGGCGGGACGGCGGGGCGCTCTAGGCCGCGTCTTCCCCGTCTCTATGACCACAGGAGGCGGCCCGGGCGTCGGGCTCCGGGCGCGCGGCGAGGGTGCGCGTCAGTGTCTCGCGGAGCTGCCCGGGCACCATGGCCGCCCCGAGAGGTGAGAGGCTCGGGCTGCCGGGACCTGCGAACGCGGGGCTCCCGGCGGCACGCGTCGGCGCGAGGAGGCTGCCAGCGCTCTGGCTCCGGAGCGCGGAGCCGGGGTCAGGCGGCCGAGGTCTGACCTGCGTCGCGGGGCCGCCAGCGCAGCCCTGCGGCGGACACTCGGACCCGGCGCCGCCGGGATGCGCGGGGAGTGCGAGGTGGGAGCCGGGATGCGCGCGGGCCGGGGCTGACAGCGTCGGTCCCGGGTCGCACTCGCATCCCGCGGCGGGGAGGTGGGGTGGGGGGCGCAGCGCCGCTCTGCGCGCTCACTGGGTGCCCGCGGCGGCTGCCCTCTTTTTCTGCGTCTCCCCTTTTGCTGATGGCACGGGGTGGGGGCGGGGGTGGGGGCAGTGCTCCAGGGACAAAGAACGAGCGGAGACTGGCGGGTGTCACAGCGCCCCAAAAACAGTCCTGGGCCGTGCCTGCCGCCCCCCAGAAAGCGAGACTCAGGAGGCAGGGTTTAAGGAAGCTGCTTCCCAGGAAAGTGTCATAGCGGGTCACAACTTGTGGGGTCACAGTGACTGTGCTACTCGGGCGGAGAGGACCACCACGCTGCGGGGTGCAGCGCACAGTAAGGACGTGTCGGACCCGGTGCCCTTTCAGGGGGCTGAGCTCCAGCCCCGCAACGCGCTGCTGGTTCAGCGGTTCCCTGGGGGCCCGAAGTTGGGGTCAGGACTGCGGCTGCCTTGCTGGAGGACGGAACAGTGTCTTGGGAGAGGTCGGGCTACATCCGTTTTCACCGCACCCTTTCCCCAAAGAGCACCTTGTTCAGCAAATATTGCACATCAGCTTACACAAAATCGTTCCGTTTGGGGAGCTAAGTTTTTCTTCCTGGTAGCCTGCTCCACCTGTCATTCAGCCCTGCTGGATCACTCACTGTCTTGCACACGCTTCTCTTACTCATTCTCCCTTTTCAAATAAGTCCCCCTTTGTTTGTTTTCGGGCCAAACCTGGTGGTGCTCAGGGTTTACTTCTGGTTCTGAGCTCTGGGGTCACTCTTGGCAGGGCCCTGAGTGCCAGAGATTGGACCCTGGTTGGCTGTATGCAAGGCAAGAGCACTCCAGCTGAATTCTTAACATCCACAGAACTGAGAGTTTAGACCTCTCAAACGAAAACTACTTTATTTGAAATATTACCTAGTACTCCAACTGGACTATTGCTTCGGTCCCTCTAGTTAGTCTATAGCACTGTCCTCCCGTTGTTCATGGATTTGCTCGAGGGGGCCCAGTATCATCTCCATTGTGAGACTTGTTACTGTGCTTGGCATATAGAATACATCATGGTTAGCCTGGTCACGGGTATCTTGCCAGGCTTTGCTGTGGTGGGGAGATACTCTCGGTAGCTTGCAGGGCTCTACCCCGCAAAAGGGGCGGAGGAATCCAACCGGGGTCACATGCAAGGCAAACGCCCTACTGCTGTGCTGTTTCCAGCCCTAATTAGTCTAGTCTTAAGATTTGTAGCAATACAGCAAGTAAAGGGAACAGTTGAATTTGTTTTGGTAATTAACAGAATGGGCACTACAAGATATTGAGCAAAATTTAAGCATCACAGACCGGAAGTCATCCGAAGTAGCTGAAAATTTACAGATTTATTGTTAACACATATATGTTATGTTTTGGCCTCTCAGAAAAATACAATCCTTGAAAAATTGCAGTTTTCTTTAATAATGATTAAATTTTGTGTATCTCATGGTGATTCAACAACAACAACAACAACAACAACAACAAAAAGACTAATAAAAAACTTCGGTTTCATAATGATTCATCTGGAACTGTCTGAATTTCCACTGTCTCAGGAATTAAAAATAATGTCCTCTCTAATATATGGAAAAGAATCTTAATTTTAGACTATAGATTTCATTTGGGGGAATTTTTCCACGTAGAAATATTCCTGAGAAATAATGGGAACTTTGTGAGAAGTAGGAAAATACAGACATGACAGTGTGTCAAAAATGGAGTTCAGTTGTTGGCTAGATTTATAATTTCTGTTTTGGGGTATGATTTGAATACTCAGTAAAATTTACAGGATTATATATGACTTAATCTATTGATACTGCTTTTGATATCACCCTAAAAAAAGGGAATTGCTAATCATTGAAACTTCATACTGAAGAATTTGTGGTTTGAAGAAAAAATACATTTGAATGTTAAGCTGAAGGTTTTTTTTTCTTTAAATAAACCTTTATAGTAAAATAAACCTTTATATGGCTTTAAATTAATATTTATTGCCAAAGCCTATATGTTTTACAAATATCTGAGTTTATTTGGTTACTTTTATTTAAACCCATTGTTTTTGCCAAGAATATAAAATATAAAATATATTCCATATACATATATAGGGCATTTGCCTTGTGCTGGCCAAGCTGGGTTTGATTCCTCGCTCCTCTTGGAGAACCCGGCAAGCTACCGAGAATATCTCGCCTGCCCTGCAAAGCCTGGCAAGCTACCCTTAATATATTCGATATGCCAAACATAGTAACAAGTCTCACAATGGAGACATTAGTGGGCCCCCTTGAGCAAATTGATGAACAACTGGAGGACAGTGCTACAGTATCACTCTGTAAATAGACTCTCAAAGTTGCTCATGATATTTGTAGGTCAGAATGTTTTTGTCGGCTATAAATATTTGGTTTCATGTTTAAACATTCACTTTATTGTTATTTTAATCAGGAACCTATGCAATAATTAAAATAACGTAGTTTTAGTCTGAGTGTTAAACTCTTATTTAGGATTCAGGCTGGCAAACTTTTTTCTGTAAAAGACTGGATTGATCTGTATTATAACCACCCAATCATACAGTTGCAGGCGAAAACGTAACCCCAGACAATTCAGAAACAGGGTTGTGGTTGTGTTCTAATAAAACTTCATTAATAAATCTTGAATCTTGAATTTCTTATAATATTTGTGTCACAAAGGTTACTTAAAAACTGTTTCTCCCAACCATTACATAAGTAAAACTATTTTATAGACTAGTGAAAAACAAAGAATAGGCTGTAGTTTGCTCATTAATGATCTAGAATCTGCAGGGAAGTGCTTACCACTGTAGTTAAGGTTATTGTGAGTTAGTTTTGAAATCAAACATGTTTCCATCCAAGAGGAAAGTTTTAGAACAAAAGAAGGATTTAGTGTTCTCTTTTACTTCCTTTTACTTAAACACTGCCTTTTTTTTTAACTCTCTCAGGTCTTCTGGAAAGAATGTCTAGGCAGAGATAAGAGCCATTTTTTCTGTTGTTCCATAGTACATTTTAATTAAGACAGTCACAATCACGACCATCCTGTTATTCGTTGATTGTCTCGAGCAGGCCCCAGTAACGTCTCCTTCATCCTAGCCAAGATTTTTTAAAAAAGTGCCAAATTCAAGGCTCTTTCAGAGTTAGGAGAATGAGACCCATCATTGTTACTGGTATTTGGCATATTGGGTACGCCACGGGGAGTTTGCCAGACTCTGCCGTGTGGGCAGGCTACATTCGGTAGCCTGCCAGTTTGTCCAAAGTAGGAATGAGATAATAAGATGTCACAATAAGATGTCACAGCTTCACAGCTTCCGGGAGCTGGGTTTTATAGTCTCTGAGTCTTGGCCGTTGATGGGATTACACGGTGCCAGGGGGCCAATTGGTGGGTGTGACCCCCACCTAATTAAGACAATGTAATTTAAAAAAATTGATTGTTTTCCAAATAATTTTTTGCCACATCCAGGAAAAAGCATTAAAATACTAGTTTTGTTGTCCTCCTGTAAGGTAAAGGCCTTCCTGTTGATCGTCGATTTGCTCGAGCGGGCCCAGTAACATCTCCATTGGAGACTTTGTTGTTACTGTGTTTGGCATATCGAATACTCTCAGTAGCTTGCCGGGCTCTCCGAGAGGGGCGGAGGAATCGAACTTGGGTTGGCCATGTTGGCCGCGTGTAAGGCGAACGCCCTACCCGCTGTGCTATCACTCCAGCCAGTCCTCCTGTACCATAGCTAAAAACTGTTTCAAATTCTTATTTTCCTGTGAAAGCTGTATTTGCATTGTGGTTAGGCTTCCAGAATGGTAAGGAAGAAAGTACTTGGGTATAATGTAGTAGCCCAGAGTCATCCCTGTACCTCTAATTCTTCCTGGTTGTCAGACTGGCCCAATGCAGCTTATTTTTGTATGGCACAGGAGCTAAGAATGGTTTTTAGAGATGAATATTTGCTATTGATTTGATGGAATATTAACTTTGAAGACCAGTGACAAAATTTGTAACCCTCCCAAGAGATTTCTGTTCTCAGTAGTAACCCTGAATTTTGAATGTTTTTTAAAAAATATGAAAATGTGTTTTTTTCTTGTTACTTAAATACCTACAGATTATTCGTTCTTTCCATTTCTTTTTTAAAACATACATTTTCTTTTTCTCTTTTTATATAAGACCACACTTGGGGCAGTGTTGGGGTGGGGCTTTAGGGTCACATGGTAGTGGATATGGGGGTTCAACTCCATAACTTGCGCTGTCTCCTTTGCTCTTGATTTAAAATTTTTTTTTAAATATTTGGGTGGTACTTGAGATTGAGCCCAGGGAGAAAATTATGTGAGGCAGACACTTTAGCCAGTAGGGACCCCCTGTGAAAACCTTGACTTTTTTTCTGGCCTATAAAAGCCTTAAGTGTTTACTATTGTTTCTTTATGGGGAAAAAGAATTGCTGTTAATTTCTTCTTACACTGAGCCTAAAGATTTGAAAGGTTAAAAGAGCTGGTTAATTACAAGTGGGAGATGAATAAAGAGTGGAAGCAGTCAGAGCATTGGGTGATGGCACTACTGAGTGGGTTGGGAATAGGGAGGAAGCAGAGAAAACTGTATCTGTCAGCCTGTCATTTGAAGGTGTGAGACAGCTTTGGATCCTGGATGGTGGCTGCTACTTAGATAAACTTGCAGTCACTTTTTACATTGAGCATATGTAAGTTTACGTATTTCTTGTATTTCAAATTTTATACATTTTCATTCTTACTACATTGGTATAAAATAGTTTTTCTGTATAATTTATGAAATGAGAAGGTAGGTGATTTGTTTCTATGGTAAAGATCTATTCTAAATCCCATTTTTATCTCTGCTACTTTTATTTTCCCTCTGTTGGCTTTAAATTTAGGATATACAGTGCTGCAACTACTTCATTTTGCTCTCATACTTAGATTTCATAAGTTTGCATGGTAAAGATGTATAAAATATATAATTTATAACTCCTCAAACTAAACAGTGTGCCACGTAATCTTGCACTTGAGTCACTGTGTCATCTGTTTTGTGTTTGTGTTCATGCGATTGGAAAGCATTGTTTTGAAATAATTGAAATATGTGTTTAAAATAAGTAGTTTGTTGGGGCTGGAGTGATAGCACAGCGAGTAGGGCGTTTGCCTTGCAGGTGGCTGACCCGGGTTCGATTCCCAGCATCCCATATGGTCGCCTGAGCACTGCCAGAGGTAATTCCTGAGTGCAGAGCCAGGAGTGACCCCTGTGCATTGCCGGGTGTGACCAAGAAAAAAAAAAGATAAAATAAGTAGTTTTTGCTTGAAGTTAGAAAACATTGAGATACAATGTATGTTAACATACACATATATATAATATTGCCTAAAAAATACTATCTTTGTTGCACTTATTTTCCAGAAAATGTCAGTTTGTTATTCAAGTTGTACTGCCTTACCGTGATGACCCTGGTGGCCGCAGCATATACCATAGCTTTAAGATACACCAGGACAGCAGACAAAGAACTCTACTTTTCAACCACAGCCGTGTGTATCACAGAAGTTATAAAGTTATTCCTGAGTGTGGGGATCTTAGCTAAGTGAGTATAAATACCTTTTAATGTGTTCACTTGTTACTTTTACACTTGTTTAAGGTATTTTCTTTGTGAGGAATTTGAAGCTGTGTCTGTATTTGATGGCTTCTGAGCAATGTATTATAACCAGGGTGATTCTATTCTCAAGGAGAGGGTCTTTGGTATCGCAGTTAGGGAGATGTCCTTGGTATTTGGTGAGTGGAAGTTTCTGATGTTGCTAAATATCTTACAGTGCTCATTACTTTTTTCAGAACAAAGAATTTTCCAGCCCCAACTACCAGCAGTACTAAGGTTGAAGAACTCTTTTCTAAATCAGGGACTGGCAAACTGTGACCTGTGGTTCAAATGCATCTTGAGGCCTATTTGTTGTAACAAAGACTGACTCACAAGCCTATACACTATTATTGATACTTAGGAAAAAATTTGTTGACCTCTGACTTAGAGGAGTATAAAGGTAAAGTTAGTATTTTCATATATGTCTCCTTTGCTAGACACTTCATGAATTATTAATCTATACCCCCTCTTAGGTAAGAAGTATCATTTTATCTGTACATCTCTGATTCCTCAATATCTCATAGGTAATATATGTCAGCACTGGCCTTTGAGTCACCAATACCACTTGATAATAATTTTTCAGTATGAGAGGATTCAGAACAGATCCTTGAGTGGGACAGACGTAATTTTAATCTGACTCACTGGGATTTTGCTTTCTTTCTTTTTTTTGTGTGTGTGTGAGGGGTGGGGCTGGGAGGTGGGCCTCCAAAGTGGTCCAAGGGAGGTCTGGGACATCACCTATACTCTGCAGCCAAGCCTAGGTGCAGGACATGGGCCTAGGGATGTGCTGTTTAGGCCAAGTAGTGCCAGAGACATCTGGACCTACATAGGGGTGCTGGGGGCCCTCTAGGACTATACCCAACGATTCTGGGGAATGGGTGGGTGAACCAGGTGGTGCTGAGAATCACACCAGGTCAGGAGCCTGCATGTGCTTTCACTACTACACTATTTCAAAACCTGAAATCAACGATTTTAAATTTGTAAGTCATAGTTCATTTGGTTTTTAATTATTATAGATGTTTATTGCTCAAGGCCCTCCCGTTGATCATCGATTTGCTCGAGCGGGCCCAGTAACATCTCCATTGGAGACTTTGTTGTTACTGTGTCTGGCATATCCAATACTCTCGGTAGCTTGCCGGGCTCTCCGAGAGGGGCGGAGGAATCGAACTCTGGTCGGCCATGTTGGCTGCGTGCAAGGCAAACGCTCTACCCGCTGTGCTATGTATTATACTAAGAAACCCCAAAACAAAATAAGCAAATGAAAACAAAAGCACCAAAAGGCAAAACAAAATGATAATAAAAAACTCCCAGAACAAAACTCAAATGAGTTGCTGTAGCTCAGCAATTGAACTCAGTGTTTCATCAATCCATTTGCAAGAGATGTTTTATTTGAATGCATTTCCTGTGTGTGTGTGTGTATGTGTGTATTTAATTTTTCATGTATTTAATGTTTGGGTATGATAAGTAGTTTGTTTTTGGAAGTTTTTTGAAAGTTATATCTAGAATAAAAGCACAAAAATATGCAGAATTTTAGAAGACTAATCAAATAATGGCATTATTGTAACACTAAAGAAAATCAAAACTGGGGCTGGAGCAATAGCACAGCGGGTAGGGCGTTTGCCTTGCATGCGGCCGACCCGGGTTTGATTCCCAGCATCCCATATTGTTCCCTCAGCACCGCCAGGGGTGATTCCTGAGTGTAGAGCCAGGAGTAACCCCCGTGCATCGCCGGTGTGACCCAAAAAAAGCAAAAAATTAAAATTAAAATAAAAAAAATAAAAACTGCATTCATATCATCATTGCTGTTTTCTGTCATTAGCATAAAGAATATTTACCTGCAGAGTATGCGAAGACCAGAGACAATTAGAAATTGGAAAAAATAAAGAATTCTGATATGCAGAATTTTGATAGTTGGTATTTGATGTTATATGGCCAACAAGAATTTGGCTGTGAAGACAAATCATTTAAAGTAGAAATAGTTTCTAAATAGGAAAAGCATTGGAAAAATTTGTAAACCACAAAATAAGTGAAATGCAGTTAGAAGTATTAGGCTTTTAAAATAATATAATTTTTATGGAAAAATAGGTTAGTAATGTTATTCAAAGCACACTGGTAAAACTCACTGCTGTTTATAACAAGGAAGTTTTAAGAGGGCATCTGAAAATACTAATCTCTCAGATAATGAAAGAGTAAAAGGGGCTGGAGCAATAGCACAGCAGGTAGGGAGTTTGCCTTGCACGCGGCCGACCTGAGTTCGATTCCCAGCATCCCATATGGTTCCCTGAGTGCCGCCAGGAGTAATTCCTGAGTGCAGAGCCAGGAATAACCCCTGTGCATTGCCAGGTGTGACCCAAAAAGCCAAAGGAAAAAAAAGAGTGAAAGAAAACAATTCAAAGTATGAAGTCACAGCTTGATAGCTATAAAGTGAAATAAAATGACATTGTGTTGCTTCTTCAGCTTGCATGTCTATATGTGGTAAGACAGTAATGAAATTATGGATGAGTTGTCAGTTTGGGCAAGATACCTAGTGAAATATTGAAAACTAGTTCTAAGTAGCACTGTAGCACTGTCCTCCATTGTTCATCGATTTGCTCAAGTGGGCACCAGTAACGTCTCCATTGTGAGACTTGTTACTGTTTTTTGGCATATCGAATACATCATGGGTAGCTTGCCAGGCTTTGCTGTGTGGGCAGGATACTCTTGGTAGCTTGCCAGGATCTCCGAGAGGGGCGGAGTTCTAAGTATTGAAAGGAAATTTAAAGAAATCCATAATTTCTATAAAGCAGTGTAGAATATAGAAAATCTGAATAAAATACGTGACCTGACTATGATTAGGCCACTAAGAATGAATTAAATGAAGAGTTATAATGAAAGAAAATCCTGAGATCTTTGAAGAAGAGAAACTATGATTGAAACCCAATCATGAACAATTTTGCAACTATGTATCTCACAGTGATTCAATTTTAAAAAACTTTTTTAAAAGAAGAGAATCTGAGGCACCACCCAGATGCAGAAATCAAAGGACCCACCTGAAGAAGGGTGGACCTTCAGAAAAGGAAAAGCTACAGAAAAATTCAAGAGATTATGGAAAAACCTATAATAGATTATGAGAAAACCTTCAGCAGAGCAAGGCTTTCCTGTGGCAACAACCAGATTAATTTTTATATATCCATTACTCCAGGAAAACCCATTTGGAAGAACTGTACTAACGATCCTTCTGGAAGCCATTGGGGCTTACTCTTCAAGCCCTTGTTCTCCCTTGAGCATGTATCTCACTTTACTTTATGTATCTTTGCCTATTTCCACTCTGGAGAAGCCTGTATTTCCTTTCTCTCCCCTCATATCTTTCTAAATAAATTTCAATAAAACTATTTTGCTTCACCCTCTCAAAAAAAAAAAAGAGCTACAGTAAAATATTTTTTTGGGGGGGGGAGGTCCTCCCAAGTACACTCAGGAGACCTGGGGGCCACTCCCAGTGTTTCTCTGCAAACTGGCCAGTGGTTCCATGCAAGGGCTCAAAGATCTGCTATGCTGCAGGCTCTAGTGCTGAGGACCACCATGGGTACCTCAGCAGTGTTTGCTGGGCTCAAACTGGGCTGGACCACATGTGCTGTCATCCCTGTACTGCCTCTCACACACAGAATTTTAGTGTCTTGGATTTACTGGTATGAAGTTTGTAAAGAACCAGAACATATTCCAGTTATTTGCCATGTATTGCTGTTACCTTTAAAATGAAAAATGAAAAGCCTAGCATCACATTTTTTTAACTTATATAAAGTTAAAATGTTTACCACTTAATATGTGGTAAAGAATCTTGAAAAAAATTTAAACACAGGAGCCAGGGATGTGGCAGAGCAACTGGCTTAAAAACAGAAGGCCCTGATCAAAAGCATCTCATTACCCTCCAAACACTACCAAGTATATCCCTGGTGGTCCTTCGCTTCACTCAGTGATTTGAGAAGGGACTGAAGCTAAAATGAGGTAGAGGACGCCAGCAGGCTAGTAAGGGTAATCCCTTAATCACCCTTCTCCTCCAGCCTGTGTTCAGGGCAGTGTTCAGGGTCTACTTGCTCTGTATTCGAAGTTCATGCCTGACGGTGCTTGGGGACCATATGCTGTGCTGGGGGTTAAACCAGAGCCAGTATATGCAAGGTACTGGCTTGGTACCTTAATACACGTACTGTCTCTGCAACCCGTTTAGAGTAATCTTATGGGCCTTTTAAGGATTTGGGTTTTTTTCTGTAGTGCATTGGGAAACCACTGAATGATTTATATCAATAACTAGCAAGGGAATCCATTTTGCTTGAAGAGCCACTCTGAAACCTATGAGAATAGATTATAAGGGTATAAGAGTTGAAAGTGGGGAAGCTTCTTACTCTAGGCCTGTGTTTAAAGAGTTATGAAGAGGAGTTAACATAAAACTTAAGTTATGTTCTGAAAGTAGAATCTTTATTACTTAGGGATTGGTTTGTGTACACAGTTGACTCATATCATTTGCAGTAGTTGTATTCTATAAACTCACCACCAACAATAGCAAATCATTAGTGAATGTAACAGAACAGTTGTTCTCAGGGTAACTTATAGAGTTTGGTACTTGTGAGCCTCTGGTCACAGTTTCCACTAATCACTACATAACTTTGTATTATTTGTCTCCTTCTCTAAGGTCTGAGTAATAGTAATTATATCTCTGGAGACTACAGTATCCAAACATTCCCATTTTAGATGCAGTCAGGAGCATTCAAGGGTGGTATGGTCACAAACTCATACCCATCATTAAAACAATAAAATTTTTGTAGGGTATTGCTGGCTTAAAAAAGTATTATGTGTATATTTCTTACTTTCAGTCCTAAATCTTTGCTGTATTTATTGAGAGCAGTAAACAAGTAACTGTCTCTATCACTATCATCCCATTGTTCATTGATTTGCTCGAGTGGGCGCCAGTGATATTTCCATTCATCCCTGTCATGTGCTAGTGTAGCCTGATGGCATATTGGGGGCTCTTTCAGGGTCGGGGGCATGAGGACCATCACTGTTACTGTTTTTGGCATATTGAGTACGCCACGGGTAGCTTGCCAGGCTCTGCCGTACAGGCGGGATACTCTCGGTAGCTTGCCAGGCTCTCCAACAGTGATGGAGGCTTTTGGGGCAGCCTCTTATCACCTTTACAGGTGTACCCAGTCAGGCATATATGCAGGCAGGATACTCTCGGTAGCCTGCCAGGTTCTCTGAGAGCGAGACAATAAGAGGTCGTGTGGTGGCAAATGCGGCCACGCGCTTTTGAAAGCTTGGTTTTAGTCTCTGGATTTTAGCCATTAATGGGGTTACACGGCAGTTGGTGGGTGTAACTGTCTAGCTACTGGAAGATGGGGGATCTGAGTGGAGGAGGTCCAGTAGGCTTAGCCCCAGGTCCCGCACACCTGGGTTCCTCTGCCAGTTCCTTCATGTGTGAGGCTTGTCCGAGCATGTGGAGAGTGGTTTTAGCATGGCTGTGGCTGGGTCCTGGAGGTCTTCAGCTGCCAGGGCGGAGAGGGAAACTCAACCTGCCCCCTCCAAGGGGCCCCGGTGAGTACAGCCAGGCACGGGGGCAGGAAACAAGTAACAGACATTATTAATGTAGTTCATTTGAAATGTTTCTTCAAATGTTTAGAATATGTATGTATAATTTTTAATATATAAATTTATATGTTTAGGATATATATGTATATGTACATTGTATACATATATAAATTCTTACTGGCAAGAAACATGGACTTTATTTAAAAGTACTTGATACACATTTCTTCAGAAAATGATAAAAACATCTTTCAGGTTGTAAAAAAAACAAGTCAGAGAACAGTATGCCTTGGTGTGGAACTCCAATGAAACTAGAAAGTAAATAGAACTGGAGGAAAATACTTTATATTCATTATCTGTTTGATAAGTAAAGTTATAAAACTTTTTGAAAGAAGCCAAAGATACATGCCTCTTTTGTAGGTTATGAAAAGTGACCTTCTAAAAGCAGACACCTGACTTCTTTGGAAAACAAGTTAACTACACAGCTGTTAGTTGCTGTCAACATGTGTTTTGTAAAGTGCCAAACATCCTCTTTAAAATCACAGCAACTTAAGTTGCTGCCTTCAGACATTCAGGATTGTTGCTATTAAGAGTGGCAGGTTGCCAGTGAGGGTGTTAAGAAAACATTTTTTTCCCCCTTGTCTTAAGTAATTGGTGAGGGAAACAGGTAAAAAGAGCTAATTTTCCCCCCCCACTTCATTCCTGTTTCTATTTCTATTTCAGCTGTTTCATTAAGATTTATCTTCTGTGAAGGAAGCTTTAATTTTCCAAAGGTACCTTAAAAACAAGTCACCCAGTCTCCAATTTTCAAATTGTAAATCCTCAGAACAATGAAATAATTTTAAAAATTGGTTAAATAAGCAGTTCTCATTATTATACAATTTCAGCTTTTTTAAATTTTGTTTTTGTTTCTGAATATTAAGATTTTGCCATGTCTTCATTATTATAGTCTTTTCTTTGTACGTATTTGTGTTAACAGGAATTTTCCCCTACACCTTTTAAAAGTTTTATACATGATGACTTGTCCCTAAATCCTCCCCTTTTTCTCCTAGTGCCAGGGATGACACCTAGGGCCTCAGATGCTGCTGCTGAGCTGCCCAGCCCCAGGTGGCGTCCCATACTGCCTAGAGGCCCCAGAACCTCCCGCCCCCAATGCCTTTCAGGGCAGAGCAGGGTTTTTTGGTGCTAGGGACCACTAGGGTCACATAGCCCATAGTGCTCAAAATCTTTAGTGTATCTTTCCTATAAGCAGGGAAATTATCTTCATAATCACAAAAAAATTCTAAATTGGAGACTTCAGTATTGAGACACTGTTAGCTCATTCACTGATTAGTTGTGTGCTATATTAAGCCTAGTTAAAACTATGAAAACTGACAGTTTTGATAAAAATCTGTCATTTGTGCCATGAATAAAAGGAAGTGAACACTTTCACATTATCTTAGGTAAAGGTAAAGGCCCTCCCGTTGATCATCGATTTGCTCGAGCGGGCCCAGTAACGTCTCCATTGGAGACTTTGTTGTTACTGTGTCTTAATGTCACCCTTTTTATTATTTGCTGTTATCTACAGACTATAAAACCTAAGTAAATCTAGCAGGATGTATGACTACATATATGCAAGGTGTGGTCAGTAATAAGACAAGCATATCTTAACTCTTTGAACTACTTATCCATCTAAGACTAGAGAAAACTTTAATATTTCAGGGTTATCTAGAATAATTAATATAGCTGTCAAATATAGTTTATCTTGCTCTATTCCCCTTCTCTTGCTGAGTTTCCATTTTGTCTGAAATGTTATACCCCTGGAGTAATGGTTTTAGGATCATGGGGACAAAGTAAGAGTTTAATATATATTTATATGATGGGTATTTTTAAAATAATCTTTCCCAGTGGCTTTGTTGTTAGTTTTTATACCTAACTGCCTGAAGTTTTTGTGTGTTTATTATGTTTTGTAGATGTTTAAAAATTGTAAATAAAATGTAAATATCTTAAGCTCATGAGCAACCTATGCTGTGTTCCATTTTGCACAGGGCCTTAGTAACCTAGCCAAGGATTTCATGCCTCCTAGTAGTTCTTGTCAGATCAGGAGATGAAAGAATGAGACCAACTTCTGACCAAGCATAGGTCAGAAATTATTGGTTTGAGCCAGTTGAGGTAACAGTGGAATCTCTGTCATAACATGGAGTGTCAGGTAACAAAAGTTGTACATAGAGTTTATTTCCAGTATTTAAATAGAAAAGTTAGTGGAAAATAAATGTAATAATATCTAAAAATTAGTATGTGCTTTTTGATTATACATATTCTTTTACCTAAGATCTAATTTATGTAATTAAATGTAACTTGATTTAAACAAACACAAAATACATGAAATTTATTTTCAAGAAAGTAACATGTCAGGAAAATGGAAGGAAAAATGTCCTTTGGTTTTTATGTGATACTTTTTAAGGTAATCAAGGCCAGTAGTGTATTTATAATTGATCATGTAATTTTTTTCCACTAATAGTAAGAAGGATAGATGATTACTAGTATTTCCTGGAAGATCTATTGGCTACTATTAAGGTTTTTTTCTCTTTAGTGAGTAAAGCTAAATGATATAAGTAATTTCTCAAAGATAGGTTAAACTGAGTAGTGTTTAATCTGCTTAATACTGAAATCATTCACCTCCTCTTTTAAATTTTATTTGTGTGGTAAGATTCCAACATAATCTTTCTTATATCTCTTAAATCTCTTTATCTTACAATGTTTTTATATTCTTTTGGGGGGGGCAGAGTGGTGTTGGGGACTCACTGTGATTATCATAAAACTTTGAGTTGGAATGGGTCAGTCTTCCCCCCAAAATATAATGGCCTTCCTAAAGAGAATTATTAATTACATTTAAGACCCTTTTGATTAAGCACCTTATTTTGTGTTTATAAAAAATTTTTCCTTCAGAAATAATCGAGCCAGTTTACAACAGGGGGAAATGAGCCATACTGATTAGTTCCTCCAGAAGGAAAAAAGAATAAAGAGCATGCATAATCAATATAGTCAAGTAGCTAGCTTTTAAATATAGTTTCTTTTTGTTGGTACTAAATAAATTATTCAGAATTTCTGTAAGACTATGTAATATATACTTGGGTTTATGAGAATATGGTTATTTAAATATTTGTCTATCACATTTCATAAGTTATAAATTAATTGACCCAAAGCATTCAATTCCCATCCAAAATAGCTTCCATAGATACCAAAGTCTTTTCTTCATAGTTTAAATCTAATTTTTTAAATGGATTATGGCTTGATTAAAAAATGATCAGGGTGAACTATATAAAATAATTAAATGATAGGAGGTAATTTTACACATAATAACAATAATACATTAATTTCATTAATGAAAATCTTTTGAATCTTTGGTAAGAGAATATGTTATCATTTTTCTTTTATGAGGATGTTTTGTTGGTGTATTTAAGAAATCTAAAATTCACTTAAAATTATTTAAATCATTCTTTTAAATGACATAATGGCCTTTTGCCATGTTTTTACAATGCCCTGTATGTGATACAATTCTATTAAATTGATGTTCTCTCCACTCATTCTTCCCCTTATCATTTTCCTTTTTGTTTTCAAAGAGAAACTGGTAGTCTGGGTAGATTCAAGGCATCTTTAAGAGAAAATGTCTTGGGGAGCCCCAAGGAACTGATGAAGTTAAGTGTGCCATCGCTAGTGTATGCTGTTCAGAACAATATGGCTTTCCTAGCACTTAGCAATCTGGATGCAGCAGTGTACCAGGTGAGTGGAGTGGTGATAAATAATAGTGTGAAGTGGAAAATTCTTGTTTTTTTTTTTGTTGATTTTGGTTTTTGGGGTCACATCTGTTTGTGCTTAGTACTTACTCCTAGCTGTGAGAAGGGAGCAGAGTCTGCAGTGCCAGGGACTGAACCAGAGTTGGCCACCTCCACGGAAAGCACCTTAACTCCCGTACTATCTCTCTAGCCCTGAAAAGTATAAAATCTTAAAACATGTATTTTATGGTGAAAATACTTTTATCAGCCTTTTACTGCTTTCAGATTTTTATTGATAATGCTTAGTGATATAGGAAGTAATGCAACAATTTCTTAGTGATATGGGAAATAATGCAAAAGAAATCATGTTTACTAATGGGAGATACACAAGCTAATAGTAAGTTCTGAGAATGTTGTTAGGATTTGTTACCTTTGAATGCTATACATGGGCCATGTGGACCTTTGGCGGGGTAGTCCCCTATCATCAAGCTAACCAAATTTCCCAGGGGAGAGTAGTTCAACTCCTGTGTGGTGGCTGAACTGTGCCTAGAAATTGAGTAGTGGAGAGCTGTGGATATCCATATTCAAAAATCACTGTGTAATCTTCCTTCATCTCCTTGGCTTTATCTTCAAGTTCAGAGTTCCTCAAATTTTTCTTCTCTTGCAAACAGCCTCTAAGCTTAAATGGATTGGGGTAAAATCATGAATTGAGTAGAAGCAGTAGTATGTAGGGATTCACGCTTTATTGCAACTCTCTGATACACACCTCATTGACGAAGAACTTGATGGTATTGATTCCTGAGCCTATGGGTGGTGTTTAGGTAATGAGTTCTTAGCTTACCCCACTGCTAAACAAGGGTTCGGTCTAGGGTCTCTGAAGTCAGTTTCTACTTGCTCATCTGTTTTCTGACTTCTTTATGAATTTCATGTTTCTAATTGTTTAAAATTTTAGATTGGCAGTTATGGTTACCCTCTGAAAAATACAGAGCCTAGGGGGACCTGCCTCCCCGTCAAAAATCCACAAAATTTTCAACATACTCAAAACAAAGACCATAAGCTTGCTGTTTACCTTATGCCTCACCTGGTAGATTGACACTATATATATATATATATATATATATATATATATATCTATCCTCGCCAGGGCCCAACAGCTGAAGACCTCCAGGTCCCAGCCAAGGCCATACTGGAGCCACTCTCCACACACTTGGATAAGCCTCAGGCATAACAGAACTGGCAGAGGAACCCAGGTGTGTGGGACCCGGGGCTGAGATCTCCAAGCCTGCATGGTTTGGGACTGGACCTGTCAGTAGATAGACAGTTACACCCTCCAACTGCCGTGTAACCCCAACGACGGCCAGGATCCAGAGATTATCACAACAAGCTCCCGGGAGCGTGCGGCCGCATTTGTGGCCGCGCGACTATTTATTTACTTTTCTCTAAGTTTTCAGGGTACCTTTAAATATCCCACCCGCACGGCAGAGCCTGGCAAGCTATCCGTGGTCTATGCCAAATAGACCAAATTGATATGCCAAATCCAGTAATAAATGGATCTCATTCCCCTATTCCGGGATGAATGGAGACGTTACCGGCACCGGCTCAAATAAATCGATGAATAACGGGGATTAAGTGATTATATATATATATATATATATATATATATATATATCAGATGCTGTATTACAGTAAACTAGAAAAAAGTTAATCATAGGGAAAATATTTACAATATTATGCAATATATGCAAATTTTACTTTTTCTATAAGAAAATCCACATTTAAGTGGGTGTTTACTTAAAGCTCCATAATCAGGGTTTTCAGGGGTCAATTGTATTTATATCAGAGACTACTGTTAGCTGAGTTACTTCTTTTCTTTTCAGGTAACCTACCAATTGAAGATTCCCTGTACTGCATTATGTACAGTTTTAATGTTAAACCGGACACTTAGTAAATTACAATGGATTTCAGTTTTTATGCTTTGTGGTGGAGTCACACTTGTACAGTGGAAACCAGCCCAAGCTACAAAAGTCATGGTAAGAAATAATGCTTACTCTAATTAAAATAGTAAACTCCCTTAAGTTTTATGTGCTGCAGAAAATGTCACTGACAACTGCAGCATATTATGTCTGTAGCACTGTAGCACTGTCCTCCTGTTATTCATTGATTTGCTCGAGTGGTCCTAGGAACGTCTCCATTGTGAGACTTCTTGTTATTGTGTTTGGCATATTGAGTACGTCACAGGCAGCTTGCCAGGCTTTGCCGTGCAGGAGAGGTAGCTTGCTAGGCTCTCTGAGAGGGGCGGAGGAATGGAACCCGGGTTGGCCAGGTCTGCCATGTGCAAGGCAAATGCCCTACCCGCTGGGCTATCACTTTGGTCTATAGATAGGCATTTATCCCCTAAGGATGTTAACAAATAATTAGATTTATTCAGGAAACACGTTACACATGTAAGGTGCTTTATTATTTATTTATTTATTTTTGCTTTTTGGGTCACACTGGGTGAGGCGCAGGGGATAATCCTGACTCTGTACTCAGGAATTGAATTACTCCTGGCGGTACTCAGGGGACCATATGGGATGCTGGAAATTGAACCCTGGTTGGCTATGTGCAAGGCAAACACCCTACCAGCTGTGCTATCGCTCCAGCCCCAAGGTGCTTTAAACTTAAGCACCTTGTTTTATAGATGAAAAAATTAAAGACCAAGTTGTTGAAGTAACTTGTCCAAAATTATGTATTTAATAGTAAATCTGTGATGAAAAAAGTGCTAACCTCCAAACAATGTATATACTAAAACTTGGCCATTTTTTTAAATTGAGTCACTGTGAGATAGACCCTTAGAAAGCTATTCATGATTAGGTTTCTGTCATATAGTGTTTCAATAGCCATCCCTCCACTAGTGTACATCTCCTAGCAACAGTGTACCCAACCCACCCCCAGCCTGCCGCCATGACAGCTCTTCTCTCTCCCTCTCTGTCTCTTTCTCTCTCTCTCCTTCCTTCCTTTTAAAGTTGAACTTTTTTAAGGGGCAGGGTTTCTCCATGTAATCCTCCTCTTCACTCAGCAGGTTTTAAATCCACTTGTATATACTCCTACTGTCAGTGACAATGATTATAGGAAATATTTATTCTCTATTTATTTTTGGTTTGGTGAGGTACATTCAGTGGTACGCATGGCTTACTCCTGGCAGGGCTGGGCAGGTGAATCAGTAGTGGTTGTGTGGTGCCAGGGATTAAACCCAAGTTAGCTACAAGTAAGGCCTTAACTGCTCTTCTATGTCTCTGGCCCATGGGAGTAGTTTTTTCACTTACCTAAAATAGAGCAAAAAGTACCTTTACCTTTTAGTTTGTTGAGTAAATGTTAAAATGACATGTTTATTCTGTGCTTTCATCATTTGTTTTTCTAAAGAGAAGTAGGAAACGATCTTCAGTGAATGACCGGAAAGTTTGGGATCCCTCTACATAATCATTCAACAATTTTTTAGGGGGTGGGGTTTGGCCATACCCAGCACTGCTCTGGGTTAATTCCTGGCTTTGCACTCAGGAATTACTCCTGGTGAGGTTTGGGGACCATGTGGAAGGAATGCCTGGGATTAAACCTAGATTGGCCACTTGCAAGGCAGATGCCCTAACCACTGTACTATCTCTCCAGCCCCTCCCCTACAATTTTTAACAAATACAAGATTATCATGATTCTTTTACAAATCTAGACCAGCTGGCATGCAGGAAGGAAGTCCATTCCTTTTTACAACTTTCTTGTCAGTTGCCTTTTTTAGTTACTTTTAGATACTTTTAGAGATTTTTTGCCCCTTCAGAAAACTGCCACTCAGATCCTCTACTACTTAGCCACACTAATTGTTCCTTCCTGTATTGAACTCTGTCTCATAACTTCTACTCTGTGATACTCTTTAGATGTCTTGGTGATTCTCTAACAGACCTCCTTAGTTCTCAGTTACAAACTTCATTCTCACTAAAACGAGTCAAATGTTCATCTTGGTTCCAGTGCTATGGGCTAGGGCAAAGAGAAGAAAAGAATACGTCAGCTCTTTCACACCCTCTCACCGGTTCTCCATTGTGTCCCACATATAGTTCCAGGGCACTTTCGCCAACCTTACAGAGGGATTGAGGAAACCCTATACTTCTCAGATTTCCATCTATATTCAACCAAAAGCTTTTTGTGTCACACCTGGAGATGCACAGGGGTTACTCCTGGTTTTGTACTCAGGAATTACTCCTGGCGGTGCTCGGGGGACCATATGGAATGCTGGAGTTGAACCCGGGTCGGCCACGCGCAAGGCAAATGCACTACCCGCTGTACTATACCCCCTCAACCAAAATTTTTATCTTGAGAGAGAATAGAATACAAATTCCCACACTAACATTTCAACTCTAGTTTCCATTTCGGAATTTGTGAGAGCTTCAGCTAGCCCAGAAAGGGGCCCTGTTCTCTCTGGCTAACTAGAGACAGCTGACAGTAGATATACTTCCACCCCATATGTGAATATAAAAATTCCCTTCCTGCAATTTCTGATTCTTGAAAACCAAAAGCTCTTTGACATCTGAATTCTCATCTCTATTAGTGACTTTTCATTAAACTTTGAGTTTTCAGAGATTTCATTAAGTATTTCTATGTTCTGTTTTCTCCTCTCCTTCTGTGGTGTCCATTATACATACATGTTCTTGAGGATGCCCTATGGGTCTCTGAACCTTTGCTCATTTTGCTTTATTACTTTTTCCATGGGCTGGAGCAATAGCACAGTGGTAGGGCGTTTGCCTTGCAAGCGATCAACATGGCCGACCTGAGTTCGATTCCTCTGCCCCTCTCAGAGAGCCCAGCAAGCTACCAAGAGTACCTCGCCCACATGGCAAAGCCTGGCAAGCTCCCTGTGATGTATTTGATATGCCAAACACAGTAACAACTGTCACAATGGAGACGTTACTGGGTCCGCTCGAGCAAATCGATGAACAACGGGAGAACAGTGACAGTGATCTGATGATCATAGCAGCCATGTCTCACTCTGTATTACAGTATTCATCTCCAAGAAAAGACTGATTCCTGTCTCATTTGTGAACTGTTAAAGAATCAGAGCTTTATATGGTCTTTATCAACTTGTGTATATAACACAGCATATCTGGAACACAGCATACTAATATTCAGCAAGATATCAAAAACAGTAGGTAACATAAAAGTTAGTACTGCTTCTTGTAGTTGATTAGGATATCCACAACCTTTGTACCAGACCAGAGGTTGAAAACCACCAAGTTAAACCATAGCTTTTCCATGATTGATGTTGGTAGGACTTGACTTAGGATGGTGGCACAAATAAAGACCCTGCCACACGTAGCACTGTCCTCCCATTGTTCATCAATTTGCTCGAGCGGGCACTAGTAACGTCTCCATTGTGAGACTTGTTATTACTGCTTTTGGCATATTGAATATGCCATGGGGAGCTTGCCAGGCTCTGCCGTGTTGGCGGGATACTCTTGGTAGCTTGCAGAGCTCCCTGAGAGGCACGGAGGAATCGAACCCAGGTAGGCCACATGCAAGGCAAATGCCCTACCCCCTGTACTATTGCTCCAGCCTTGATTCTGCAAAATTTTCACTGTCACTGTCCTCGTCCTCCCATTGTTCATCGATTTGCTCGAGCGGACCCAGTAACATCTCCATTGTGACAATTGTTACTGTGTTTGGCATATTGAATAGACCATGGGGAGCTTGCCAGGCTTTGCCGTGTGGGCGAGATACTCTCAGTAGCTTGCCAGGCTCTCCAAGAGGGGCAGAGGAATCGAACTTGGGTTGACCATATTGGTCGCTTGCAAGGCAAACGCCCTACCTGCTGTGCTATCGCTCCAGCCCCAAATCTTGGTGTTTTCTTTGAACATATATAGTGTAACCAGTAAATGATCTTGTGAAACACTGTCACTGTCCTCCGGTTGTTCATCGATTTGCTCGAGCAGGCCCCATAACGTCTTCATTTTGAGACTTGTTACTGTGTTTGGCATGTTGAATACGTCCCGGGTAGCTTGCCAGGCTTTGCCATGCAGGCAAGATACTCTCGGTAGCTTGCTGGGCTCTCCAAGAGGGGCGGAGGAATCGAACGCGGCTTGACCGGGCTGGCTGCGTGCAAGGCAAATGCCCTACCGCTGTGCTATCATATCACTCCAGCCCTTGCAAAATTTTATGCTTTGGAAATAGTCACAGATATTATATTAAGTATTGACTATACCTGTAACTGGGAGGACATGTTTGTAACTAAAGTGTTTGGCTAGTCTCTGATATGATCTTTCCTTTGGTTCTATCTATTCTGTATTGTAGCTGGATCTGATAATGGCACCTACTTTCAGTAGAACTATAGCACATTTTTGTATTTATTTGTTTGATTTATTTGAATTTCTATTTATAAAACTAACCTAAAACATTATTGTTGCAGGTGGAACAGAATCCATTGTTAGGGTTTGTGGCTATAGCTATTGCTGTTTTGTGCTCAGGATTTGCAGGTAAACCATAAAAGCATTGTTTTGTTAATTAAAACTAAACATCTAAGAGTCTAGTTCATCTTGCTTTATCATATAATGATTTTATTCCCAAGGCTCTGTCTTTTCCTTTTTGAAGCACTGGGGCTCAAGCCCAGATCCTCTACAACACACAAATTCTTATCAGTGAGCCTTATCTCATGCCCTTTATTATTTTATGTTTGGATTTTTCCAGGTGTCAGTGTTATACTCAGTTCAGTCCTTATTTATACTTACACTGAACTAAGAGTATGCTGCTTTGTCTTTTTTTTTTTTTTAAATCACTCCTTGCAGTACTGAAGATCATAACCATGTTTCTTGCATGCAAAGCAAGTGCACCAGCCCACTGAGCTTGCTTTCTCTATTCTTGGTACAGCCGGGGGAAGAGACAGCCTCTGAAGATAAGAGAAAAAGCACTCATCAGAAAGCTCAGTGCCAATCTCATCTTCCTTGAACGGCCATATTTGCTCAGGCTTATATTTGCTCCGTTAGGGGGTTGTTACCAGCTTCATAACTGTTTTTGTCCAGTAACCTTCAGTTCTTTCTCTGCTAAAGCATACTAAGAACTATGGAGTAGGGTAGGAAGTAGGGAGATGAGGACCTAGAAAACAATATAGCAAACATTGCAAAACAGGGAGGGATGAGAATCAAAATCACTAATATAAAGTAATATTTGGAATGATGTATTGAGAGAGAAATCTTTCACTGAACTAGAAGACAAAGCGTGAAAACTAAGTGCAATACAAGGAATTGTTATCTTGCAAATATTTCCAACAGAGAAGAGTCAGTAGAGAATATTAGTTATAGCTGTGTACCTTTATAAAAGAATTTATGCAGTTTCAGGACTTAAAACTCATTTTTGGATTACAACTAGGTTGGACATGAAAGTAAAATAACTGCTAATAAAAAAAGTGATAAGGGTGAGTCAAAATTTTGATAAATATTGGATATCATACAGTTTTTGTAATTAGGAGCCAGCAAATTAACAATACTAAGTTACCCTTAATATAACTTCTATTTATTTAAACAAATATTATGTCCAACATTATTTTTAATTCGACCTTCCAATAAGTAACTGAGGAAATGATAATGGTTTAATACCATCTCTGCTTAGAGTATCACTGTCATCCTGTTGTTAAATCGATTTGCTCGAGTGGGCACCAGTAACATCTCCATTCGTCCCAGCCCTGAGTAACCGAGCACTAAATAATTGGTTTTCCTACGTAGTAAAATCAGAGGTGGAAGGCAGTTATAGCCATCATGTTAGTTTTGTTCTTTGGTTCTTTTCAACATAGGTTCATCAAAATCAAGATTTTCATTTGCATTTTTACTAGTACTTTAGTAACAAATTTCTGATCTCTAGCATGGTGATTATAACTAAGATTTTTTTTTTTTGGCTTTTTGGGTCATACCTGGTGTTGCACAGGGGTTACTCCTGGCTTATGCACTCAGGAGTTACTCCTGCCAGTGCTCAGGGGACCATATAGGATGCTGGGAATCGAACCCGGGTTGGCTGCGTGCAAGGCAAACACCCTACCTGCTGTGCTATTGCTCCACCCCCTATAACTAAGATTTTTAATGTCTTCTTAAAAATGCTCCGCCCGTCTCGGAGAGCCTGGCAAGCTACTGAGAGTATCTCACCTGCACGGCAAAGCCTGGCAAGCTACCTGTGATGTATTTGATATGCCAAGAATAGTTTGTTGTGAGACGTTACTGGTGCCTGCTCGAGCAAATCGATGAACAATGTGAGGACAGTGCAGTGCAGTGCTTAAAAATGCATTTTTAGTTCAAACCTTAGAGCATTTAGAGCACTAGCCTCATACTAGATTCTGACTTTTGGAAGTGGTAGTATCATGTGTGCCTTTGGAATATCTAAAAAGAGCTTTGAATCCTCAGTCCCAGAAATATGTTCACAAACATTCATCTGATTTGGGAGTTCATGGACCAGACACTTGTCTATGAAATTGACTGGTGGAATCCCGCTTTATTTTGTGATGCTGAAAACTGAACCATGGACCTCACATATCCCTGGCCTGGAACCCAGCTATAAAGGAAAATAGTGGAGCCTTGCCTTGCTCGGGGCCAACCTGATCATGTCCCATATGTTCTCCTGAGACCCACCAAGGAGAGATCCCTGAGTGCAGAGCCAAAAGTAAGCACAGTCAGGTAGAAAGAGGGAAAATGGCTTTATTCAAGTGAATAGCTTATTCTGATCTGACTACTGTAGTAAAGGAAAGAATTCTTTTTAACAAAAATTTAAGTCTACTTCAGTGTGGATCAGAGAGTCTTCTTTTTGTTTTATTTATTTGTTTGTTTATTTAGGCTTTTTGGGTCACACCTGGCGATGCACAGGGGTTACTCCTGGCTTTGCACTCAGGAGTTACTCTTGGTGGTGCTCAGGGGAACTAAGAGATTCTGGGAATCAAACCCGGTTGGCCACATGCAAGGCAAACGCCCTACCTGCTGTACTATCGCTCCAGCCTTTGTTTTGTTTATTTTTGGGCAACACCCCATAATGCTCAGGGCTTACTCCTGGCTTTGCACTGAGGAATTACTCCTAGTGGAGCAGGGGAGCCATATGAGATGTGGAAGATCGAAACCGAATCAGCTGCATGCAAGGCAAGCACCTTACCTACTGTAGTATCTCTTCGGTCCAGTTCTGTGTTTTTTACAGTGCATTTTGAAACAATTAGTATGTCACTTGTTATAACCAAGAAATGCTTTTAATATAAAATTTATGTCACAAAATTATGTATTTTCTATCTCTAGATTACTCAAAGAAAGACATTTTAAAATCATCTTTATATTGTATTTGCATGTTCAATTTTTTCCAGGAGTGTATTTTGAAAAAGTTTTAAAGAGTTCGGACACTTCTCTTTGGGTGAGAAACATTCAAATGTACCTATCAGGAATCGTTGTGACATTAATTGGTGTCTACTTGTCTGATGGAGCTGAAATTAAAGAAAAAGGATTTTTCTATGGTTACACATATTATGTCTGGTTTGTTATCTGTAAGTATCTAGGAATTAAGGGTTCTGAGTAGATTTCTTTTTAAAGTTTGATGTCCATTTTAAGTCTATAGCATTTTGAAATTGTTCCTTTGATACTTGTGAATGAACATCAATTTGAAAATGTGAGTTTGCTACAACTATCCCAAAGCAATATTTCCTTCACAATCAAAAGTATCTAATGTGTTAGCAATGAATGTGTACAGTTTACTAGTAGATCCATGTTGCCCTTGGGCATCTCAAGAACAATGTTGTTTTGTAGAAACTATGATTCAGTTTTCATATGAATTGTCAGATGACTGCTTCTAAGAAATAGCATTTTCCTAGGTAAATTAGTAAGGCATCCTGGGATGAAAACTGCCTCACCTTCATGACCTGTTTGTTTGAAAAATTTTATTTCTTTTTCTTTACAAGTTTTGGCAAGTGTTGGAGGCCTCTATACTTCTGTTGTGGTCAAATACACAGACAATATCATGAAAGGTTTTTCTGCTGCAGCAGCCATTGTTCTTTCTACTATTGCTTCGGTGATGTTGTTTGGATTACAGATAAGTAAGTCTTAATTTTGTTATATTTTTAACACAAAAGACCATCTCAGTTCTTTGATTCATTTCATTTTTATAAATATAGCAGGTAGTTATAGTGTTTATAAAAATAACAAATTTTGTTTCAGTTTATTCTACAGGTATTGCAGTATATAGATTAGGGCATGTGGATCAGTGACACTTGGACCGTTTATATGATCCTAGAGCTTAATCTGAGGAGTGCTCAAGTCTATGTGAGAAGTAATGGGCTAGTTACTAAAAGGAACATTTCTTCTGTCAAGGTGCCTAATTGCCGTTGTATTACATAAGACAACCTACATAAGACAACTTAGATACTATAGTTCGATTATTAGGTATGCAAGGAACCAAATACAAAGTACATCAAGAAATGATTACTTTCAGCAGGGAATTAGTAATCAACTATACAGGGTTATTATTTTGAGGAAAAATCAGAAGTTATACTACCCTGTTTTTTTGTTTGTGTCTTTGAGCCACATGCAGCTGTGCTCAGGAGTTACTCATTCCTGGCAGGCTTAGGGAACCAAAGCAGGTGCCAGCAATCAACCAATTCATTGACGTCAGCAAGAAAAGGATAGATACAGAATGATACTCCAGCCCCCGTACCATCCTTTTTTTTTTAAAGGTTTTTTTTTGAGGTACTGTGATTAACAATACCATTACTGATACGTTTCCCATGACAGTTTCCCATGTACATAATTCTAACACTACACCCATCACCAGTGCACCCACTCCTCCCCGAAGCTCCTCAAGTGCCCCACCCCTTCTTCAGTTTTGAGGATCAATTTTCCTGTTGTGTTAACTTTATCCCTTTGTTCCACCTTTTCTTTCTAACCTCACTGAGCGTAACCTCTAGTCATGCTCATCTATGTCATGGTAAACTATATGATTTTGTTTGTTCTTAAGAGTGGTTCAGTATTCCATTATGTATCTGCATTACAACTTACTGATTCATTCATCTGCAGCTGGGAATTTTGAGTTGCTTCCATATGTTGGCTATTGTACTAAATACTGTGATGAACATAGCGTACAAATATCTTTTTGTACCATCTTGTTTTGAACATGGAAATGGTTGGGAAATGACATTCCAAATCTAAATTTTATTTGCTCTTTTAAAGAGATACCTTTGTTTTATTTAACATCCAATTAAAGTTCATTACATAGAAAGCCAGTCTTATAGTAGGCATCTGACAATACTGCTGTGTTATTTCTTCTAGTATAATTTTCTTTATCCCACACAGAGCATTATAATAGCTTTTGCATTACGTGAGCAATGGTGTTAATACTTCAGAGTGCTTTTATGCTATACTATTTTCTTTACTAATCAAGTATACCATAAACTAATACATGAGGAAAAGCCAGTTAAATAATGTGAATAGATCTTATCTATTATATCTGATTAAAAAACTGATTATAATGCAGACAGAGGAACACTAATACCTTGTACAACTCTTAGAAAACTATTTGCTGTGTAGCCTTGGGGAAATTGCTTAACCTGAGCCCCAGCTTCTTCATCTGTAACATCAAGATGCTAAGATCACTTACCTCCTAGCATTGTTTCAGCCCCGTGAGATAGCATTTTTAACATGATACATGATACCTATTTGTCAAGTTTGGACAAGTTGTGATTCAGTTTCTTGTGTCCTGTTTTTAGAATTAAGATAAAGACAGGGCCAGATTAAGGGCTCAGTGAGTTGGAGTGCATGCGTTGCATGTGGGAGACTGAGGTTCAATCCCCTGCACTGCATGGTCTCCTGAGCACCCTGAGCAACCAGGAGTAGCTCCTGCACCACTGGTGTGGCCCCCAAACAAACAAACAAACATTAAAAAGAATAGGCTAGCAGAAAATGGAACTTTACTATCTAAATGGTTTTCATTTTACTAAACATTTTTACTTTCTTAGCGCTCTAGCACTGTCTTCCTGTTGTTCATCGATTTGCTCGACCAGTAACGTCTTCATTGTGAGACTTGTTGTTACTGTTTTTGGCATATCGAATATGCCATGGGGAGCTTGCCAGGCTCTGCCATGCGGGCAGAATACTCTAGGTAGCTTGCCGGGGTCTCCGAGAGAGATGGAGGAATCAAACAGAGTCAGCAGTGTGCAAGGCAAACACCCTACCTGCTGTGCTATCACTTTAGCCCCTCAGAGTTCATATGTGTATATATAATCTTGCATGGTACACTTCAATATGTTAGAATTTTATTTGTCAATTATATCTCAAGAGAACTGAAAAAAATGGGGATGGTGAGATAGTATAGAAAGCAGGGTGTTTGCCTTGCACACAGAGGACTGGGGTTCAATCTCTGGCACCCCTTATGAAACTTTCATAGGTTCCATAATATGCATATAAGGCACTCCTTATAAGACGTCATAGGTTCCATAATATGAATATTTCACTTCCACTGCTTTTCTTTTTTATCAGCATATGGGGAAATTTTGTTCTCTCTGTTAGAGGTCCAGGACAGGCATACTTGTATTCCTGGAATGTCAGTTACGGTGAATGATTGTTACTTCCTTGATTGCATCACTTTGAAGAGGGGCTGGGAGGGGGAGGCTGAAGAAAGGGACCATTCAGATTTATTTTCTGTCATAGTCAAAACTTCAAAATTTTAGGACAGAGTATTAATATTTCTCCCCTCTTCCCTCTTACAGCACTCACCTTTGCTCTGGGAACTCTTCTTGTATGTGTTTCTATATATCTTTACGGATTACCTAGACAAGACACTACATCCATCCAACAAGGAGAAACGGCACCAAAAGAGAGAGTGATTGGCGTGTGATTTCAACCTCAAAATGATTCTTATAAAGACTAAATTATCTGCAGTAAACTAGAGCCTTAAGTCAATCCCAGAAAGTAGCATAGAAACTGGTATAAGAATTAAGAAGGGCCGGAGAGAAGAGGAGGGAGTGAGATGCCTGCTTTGCAGGCAACCCCTAGCACCACTTAGGGTCCCCTGAGCACCAGTGGGAGTACTGAGTACAGACCCAGAAGTAAGCCCTGAGCACTGTTGGATGTGGCCGAAGAACCCAAATCACACCTCACCCCATTAAAACTAAGAAGAAAGCTGAATGAACTGCTACAAACATAATGTGATTTGTCTGCCTGAGATGAACCTGTTTTTAGAATGAAGGAATTTTATAATTGTATATATAATGTACATACCAAGTATGGAGATAATGGTATTTAAAAAATCATGTGATGCTACAAAAATCAAGTAACAAGATTTGGGACAAAGTTGTTACAAGTGCCAAAGCCATTTCTTCTGTACTGTCTCTTGTTCGGACACCAGGGGAGAAGGATGATCCCTCCTTGTTCTCAATTCATGTACAGTATTTTATTCCAGCAGCAGTAAAGATCTAGCTCTTTTCTTTTCTTTTTTTTTTTTTTTTTTACAAAAGTGAGGCAAAAATAAGACTGACTGGTTCAGAAACAAACTGAATGTGTAACTTCTTAAAGGGAATCCTACTCAGACAATGATTTCTGGATGGTAACTGAGTACTCCTTTAAGTGCTGTAACTGTGCCATTCATTGTCTGGTTTCATATTTCTTTGCTGTTAGATGATATACTTTTTTCTTCAAAAATATTTCTAATGTCACTTTTATACTTTTTTTTATAAAGTATGTTTAAATGTTGGGCTCAATAATTTGTGGAATTTCAATGTTTTTTAAAAAAAATTATAATGTTAACAGGAAAATTCAGCAATAAACTTAATTTATATGAAATGTATTTGATCGTTTTTGTATTGCAAGTATGATTATTAACATAATTCAGAACCAACCCTTCCAATTATAATTTAACACTCATGCTGAACACTAGATTCCTGGATACAAATAGCTATAAATCTAACTTGGGTTTGCTTTTAAACACAAAATGTAATGTAATGTGTATGAATTGTATTTAGAGCTCCAGGCTATAGGAGTAAGGAGCAACTTTCTCAAAGAGCTGTTAACCACCAATTGTCACTATAACATTTCACTCAAGAGTCAAATACTAAGAGACTGCACAGAAAAGTGAAGGGGAACATTTCTTCAAAGAAGCCATGAAAAACAATGTCTCAGTTGTATATTTTTATTCCATAGTTGGTTTATAATATTAATGATACTTTAAATAGAAATCTGGAAATTGTTTCACAATTATGATTGCATGAGTCTTTTGAAGGACTAAGAAGACACACCATGTCTGTAAATATAAAACTATCATCTTTTGGGGCCATAAGATAGTACGGTAAAGAGCTTGCCTCACACGCAGCTGACTCACATTCAATCCTGGCCACCCCTTATGATCTGCTGAGTCTGCCAGCAGTGATCTCTGAGTACAGAGCCATGGAGTAAGCCCTGAGCACTGCTAGGTGTGGCACCCAAACAAAAACAAAGCAAACGAAATCTGTTCTCTTCTGAAACTTTGGAAAACTCTTTAATTTGATGCTCTATGCATAAAGAGGATATTAAAATACTCTATGCGTAAAAAAATACATTATCATTAGTATTCAGAAGATACCTGGTAGCAACATTTCTGGTAGCCAAATCGGAGTTGAATGGAAATGCTGGTAGATAGCCATAATGCTCAAAACCAAATCACACCTTATTCATATTTGTTACTCTATAAAATATACCTTATCAATGGGAGACTTAGGTTTCCTAATGAAAGCAGCCATAATTATAAGAAACTTTGGATTTTTAATTTTTTTTTACGTATCAATAACCCCCCCGCCCTCCCTGCCCCATGGAAATACTATGAATGAATCTCAGTTTCATTTTCAGGAAAAATGACACTGAATGAAGCCTCAATCTGTATTTTTCATTAGATAACACCAAATTTTAAAAGGTTTAACATGGAAATTTCAGAAGAGAGCCACAAGCTGCAGGGAAGCCTTTGGACACTGTGCCAGGCTGAAGCAACCTGGGGGGGGGGGGGTTAGACTAGCACCAGCCCCAACAGAGACCCAGCAGCCGAAAACCTCCAGAACCCAATTGCTGCCATGCTCATGGCTGATCCCCAACAGGCTTAGGATAAGCCTCATCCATGAGAATTAATCTGCTGAAAAACTCAGGTTGTGGCTTTTGTGATGGAAATCTCCAGGCTCTCATAGAGCTGGGAATGGGTGACCTCGCCCCCCCCCCCCCCCCATTTCCCTGTCTTCTTAGGAGTCTGGCAGCCATGCCCATTAACTACCTCCAGTACCATACAAGCTCATTAATGGCCATGATTCAAACTCACAAATCTTGGAAGAGTGACGAGCTGCAGAGATGCCCCCAGACCCCAAACTCATCTCTAGTTCTATCACCCTATTACAAATTTTAGAATTCCTGGAGTACACGACCGCATTTGCGGTGATGTGACATCTCATACTCGATGCCACTGATGTTCCGAGAGTAGCACACCACATTCGATGGGGTGTAAGGTAGAAGGTAACCGATCTCATCAAAAAATAAATTGATATCAGCACACAAGGCTCAACATGTAGTAACATGTTAATAACCTCTTATATAAGGGCTTAATGGCTCCAGGGTAAGTTACAATAATTTTCTCACATTTTCCTCTAAGAAAACTTTTTTTGGATCATTTTTAACAGATTATTCACAACAAGCAACAAAATAAATTATTTAGGACCTGCTTTTGGGATAGGCTTGGGTGGTGGTGGTGGTAAAATTCGAAATAATGGTGGTGGGAAGTTGTAATGGTGGTGAAATTGGTTTTGGAATATTAAATGCAATAAATTATTGTGAACAACTTCATAAAAATAAAATAAAATTTGGGGAAAAAAGAAAGCTTTAGCATAGCCTCATAGAAGTCTATTACACAGATGACTTTTTAAAATGATAAAAAGAAAAGACATTGGTGGTGGGAAATGTATACTGGTGAAGGGACAAGTGTTGGAACATTGTATGATTAAAACCCAATCATGGACAACATTTTTGTTTTTTTGCTTTTTGGGTCACACCTGGCAATAGTCAGGAGTTATTCCTGGCTCTGCAGTTAGGAGTTACTCTTGGTGGTGCTCAGGGGACCATATGGGATGCCAGGGATCAAACCCAGGTCGGCTGTGTGAAAGGCAAATGCCCTACCCATTGTACTATTGCTCTAGCCCCAATCATGGACAACACAGTGTAGGGTAACATTGGTTTGTCCTTTCTGCCTTGCTACAGGGAGCTTAGGTTTATTGGGTTAGTCCCATCACAGTGCTCCCATTCCTTTGTGTTTACTTGTAACCTCCCTTTTTGCTCTGCTTCCCCAACCAGTCAATCACCTTTATCTCCTAATCAGACTCTATTAATTTGTAAATATTGCTTTTCTCTTCTCCTTAAGTCCTTTGCATAGTTAATTCAGAGCAATGTCCTTTTTGAATAGACACAAGAAGACAGTTAATGCTATACTTTTATAAATTGGGAGTTAATTGACTCCGAATAATATTCAATCCTGGGCATCTGTTTTCTTAACTTAAGCCTCAGTTGCCCTTGCTTCCTAGCACCCCAAAAGCTGGGTCCGGACGAGGGACTAGATGGACCCAGGGCAAGCTGTGAACTACCCTGGCATCAAAATGGGCCTGACCAAAGAGCCCTGATACTTACCTATAAATTAAGATCATGGTTCTGAACAAATTCTGTCATGATCCAAAACAGCTGGATTAGGACCCTGATAGGGTTAGGAAATATTAATCTGGCCTGAACATTGTAGTCTGAGATCTATAGCAAGCTGTCCCCAGGTGAGCCACCCTACAAGTTTAATGTTCTCTTACTGTGTCCATACAAAATAACTAATATTAAGAAGTAGAATTAAGATATTAATTAAGATGTTAATTAAGTTATTGGATTAAGGAGAGGAGAAACACCCTTAAGTGGTATTTTGCCCTTGAGCATGATGGGGGTGGGGGTCAGGAAGGGCTTTCATATGTTGATTGTGCTACCTGAGAGGGTGTGGTGGCTACCTCCAATGTGGGTAGTTGGTGGGAGACTAGAGAGAGACCAGGCTTTGAGATCGAGGGCAGAGAAATGAGTGGGAGAGACAGGAGGAGACTGGAATGAGGATGAGGGGCAATGTGAGACTAGAATCAGCAGTTTAGTGAGACGGGAACAGGCGCGTGAGAATGGAATAAACAGCAACTGATCACCTACCAGCTTGGCCCTCGTTTCCTGGAACTTCATCCACCTATGACATTGGCCATCCCGGGTGGGGAAGTGGCATGAGACCACCAGACGCAGGCGGCAAGAGAGTCAGGATTCCCCAGTGGTCCTCGTGATTACACAACAAAGCGTTGTAACTGTTTATATAAGGGTGATTTAATTAAAATATTTTTTTGCTTTTTGGGTCACATCCAGTGACGCAAAGGGGTTACTCCTGACTCTGCACTCAGGAATTACTCCTGGCGGTGCTCCGGGGACCATAAGGGATGCTGGAAATCTAACCTGGGTCAACCGCGTGCAAGGCAAACATCCTACCCACTGTGCTATCACTCCAGCACCTAATTTAAAAAATTTTAAAATATATTTTAAAAAAGATGGATAGAGGCCAGAGAGAGAGTACAGTGGGCTGGTCACTTGCCCTGCATGTGGTTTACCTTGGTCTGATCCCTGAAATCCTATAGAGTTCCCCAAGTACTGCTAGAAGTGATCCCTGAAGACTGCCAGGTGTGACTCAAACTGCCCCACTCTGCCCTTGCCAAAAAAAAAAAAAAGGTGGATCAGTTAATAACATTTATGTAACAAAATATACAGATTCTGGAACAGAAAAATATTTAAATTCTAAACAGTAAACAATAACCAGAATTTAATATTTTAAAAGTCTCTTAAATTAGAATTTACATCTTACATACAGGAGTTATTCCAAGAAGTTTCATTCCGTTGGCTAGAACAGAACGAACAGCTCTGAAAAGATGAAGTCTAGCCTAGAAAATAAGAAAAAGAATGATGAAATGTTCAGTAACAAGCCAACTGTAAGTGAATAAATCAGAAAATTGTTAAAATTAATTCTAACTTTCTTCTAAATTAAAATAGGAACAATATCCAAGTGCCCTAGGTTTTGCAACAGAAGATATGTGCCTAGCATCCCTTATTTATACTGGCACCCAGAGCTGTGTGAGAGAAAAGGCAGTCTCAGCAAATGGCACCGTTTCAGATACGGGGAACTTAAATATTTGATTTCTGAAAATGTGTTTCAAATTGTAATGTGTTGAAAAGCAAGCATCGACTTCTAATTACCTGAATTGAACAAAAGAATGCTAGTTTAGAAACATTTACAATACTAATTTGGTAATAATGGTCTGAGGATGCTGCAGATCACATAGAAAATATAACATACCCCGGCCACTTCAGGAGGACTATCTCTTATATGCAATGTTTTGTGTGCCACAGCTGCAAGATGACTGAAATGGGAAGAGAGACATCCGATTAGAATCAGCAGTAATTTCTTTTGTAAAATCTAAGTTTCAGGTCTCTAATCTTACTCTCTGAACTAAAGGGCCAGCAATGTAGCTTAACTGTAAAGCACTTGCCTTCCATGTGTGAGGCTCCGGGTTCAATAGCCACTTCTCAGGAGTAAAAATTTAATAAAGATAGGAAGCCTAGAGCCATATAAGCATGAATTTATAGCTGAAGTTAGAATATTGAGACAAGAGATTTACAACTTTTCTATTATCGGCAAAATAGAATACGAAATTCAAGGTTTTAGTCTTAGGTTGACTATAACTAGATTATTGATTATTCATTTTTATAAGTATAGGACATTCCTTTCTAATGGCTATTTTCCCCTCATTTAGGTACTCTTTAAGAAAAAAGTATAACAAAGCCTGGCCTTTCTCCCTCTGTAAAGTGAGGTGATGAAGAGACAAGTTATCCAAGTCTGCATGCACAATCTAGGCTATTTTTAAAGGATCTTTTCTGCTTAGGTATGACAGAATGTAGAAAATGTGCTAGAGAAATGATACTTATCACATTGTTTTAATGATAAAGTGACATTTCATTAGATTTTCTGATTTCTCTGTATGCCTAAGTAAAATTTAAAGGAAAATAATCTTTTTTCAATCTGGGGAAGAATAGGTAAAAAGCATAATTAAAGAAATAGTCCTAACCTCTGATTAATAAAAGCAAGAATTTCCTTTCTTAAATAGCTTTATGAGAAGATATAGCTTTTGCTATAGACGAGCAGACTTAATTTCTAGACAAAGCTCTTAAAAAGCTACCATTAAATTTCTTGCAAATTCTCACTGAATTCCCAATTTACTCTCTACCTTTGAGTTGACTGATTTCATACTTAAAAAAAGGTAGGTTTCCAGTGTGGCTCTGAGCCATTTTATTTTTTCTAAAACGGGTTGGGAAGATCCTCCCAGGATGGGAGAAGCATGCTGAAAATAGACTATAGACCAAACATGATTGCCACCCATTGCCTCTTTTGCAAACCACAACTCCCAATAGTAGAGAGAGAGAACAAAAGGGAATGCCCTGCCACAGAGGCAGGGTGGGATTGGGGGGGATGGGAGGTGGGAGGGATACTGGGATCCGTGGTGGTGGGAAATGGGCACTGGTGGAGGGATAGGTATCTGATCACTGTATAATTGAAACCCAAGCACAAAAATTTGTAAGTCTACAACTGTACCTCATGGTGTCTCACTCATAAAAATTTTTAAAAAAAAGTAAAAATAAATAAAAAGGGGGCAGTTATTTATTAATTATTCCCACAAAGTAATTTTGGGATTCTCTGCTTTAACTTATTATCTCTTTATTTAACTCTGGGCTGCTTTCTTCCTTTTCTGTCATCTTGTTTCTCATGTTTAACATCTAATTTCTTTCCTTTAATAAATTCTTTCTGATCCTTTAAGGCTGAGCTGAATGTCACAATACTGCACTCTCATCACACATCTACACTGTACTAAAATTATCTGTGATGAAGCTGGGGGGGGTGGCGGTCCCCACTCCCTTGGCCAGGGATTTCAATGGCCAGTTCAAGGATTAGAGGTGGTCTGCAGAAATTTTCTGCAGAATGTGAAAAAGTTACTGCTGCTTAAAATGGGCGTGGACCTGAGTCATGTTATGACAGCATTATAAATAACTTTCTATTTTAGTCTTAGTGGTTTGTGAAATAGTTCTCCTATTTTTATTGCTCCACAGGTGTAAAAAGGTTAAAAGCAAATGCACTAGACTGTAGTGACTGTATGCTTACTTACATCACTAAATGCACAGATGAATGAATAGATAAACAATGGCGGGTGAAGCAAGAATTCTAGTAACTTAAGTGCAACCAATTCTAAGGTCAAGGTTTATTTACAGAAAACCATAGATAAAAGGATTCTTTTTCAAATCAGGTACAATGTCATATAAAATAAAATACCTTAGAGTTAGAAGGTAATTGACAATGTGCTTGGGTTCAAGGTCCTGAGATGATCGATAAAGCACCTCATCGAATCTGAAAGATAGGAACAGTTGCCAGGATAAAAATGACTTCATATCATACAGTAAACTAGATGTTAAGATAAAGATCTTGGGTGTAGGTTGACAATAGAATTAAGAACATATATATGAAACAATGTCTTTTTCTTTTTTTTTTGGGTTTTGGGCCAAACTGGCAGTGCTTAGGGCTTACTTCTAGTGGGCTCAGGGGTCCAAATGGAATGCAAGAGCCTTATCCACTGTACTGTCACCCCAGACCCTGAAACAATGTCTTGTGCACATCTGAAGCTAGAGGCATTTTACTTTCTCCTCCTACTCCGCTCCCTTCCAGCCCCACCACAAATTCTTTAATGGCCAGTACTTGCTAAATTCTTTAAAGGGACACTATAGGATACTTGCTATCCCATAGGTCTAGTCCACTGCTGACTCAAAAAATGGTGAATGAAACATATACACAAAGCTTGTAGTCATGTTCTGGATTATCACCTAGAAAATATCAGTCTACCTTCAATACTAAGAAAACCTGGTCTTATTTCCCCCACAAATAAGCTAAATTCAAGTAAACCTATTCCCAATCCCAAGAAAGAGCCAACAATAGTGTGGCAGAGAAAACTGCCTTGTTAACCACTCATCCTGTAAGGGATGAAGCTAATTCCTTGTGACAAAATTCCGCTTCACCCATGCTGTGAGAGGTCAAAGGTGTGGTCTCTTGCTCTACTCTACAGATTCACAACTAAATCTTTGAAGAGATGCAAACAACGCTGTTGGAACGCATGGGTACATTGGTATCCATCCTGCTTGGAAACTCAGGTGCCCTTGGGAGGAGTGATTGGGTTGAGTCCCCACCCTGCCAAAGCCCAAGTAGCTGTACCCACACCCCACAGTTGCCACTGCAGTAATGGCCTAACTCCACTGCTTCAAAACTAATCTCTGCAGAGACACCGAGCTGTGAAAATTCCAGATATGCTGGTTTGCAGGCTGAGAACTCAGAGGTCTTCCTGAAGTGGAGGCAGGCAGCCTCTACCCACTCTCTGCCCACTCCTATACTCCTGGGAGCCCTGCTGATCACACCCACATCCCATAGTTGCCTCTAAGTCAACTAATTGACCCAGTTCTACAGACTCCAAAATTCTGGTTTGCGGTTGTGTGACACTTCTCAGTTCCACAATACTTACATCCAATAGGAGCACACTGGATTAGATGTTAGAAAGTAACACAGAAGCCTGCTAAACTCAACAAAAACAATGACACAGAAGGCTCAACTTGCAGCAAATTACTTAGTAAATCCTTAGCCGAGGACTTGAAGACCCACGGTGAGATAAAACAAATTTTCACAAATGTTCTTACTTAAGTAGTTTTGATAATTCTATTAGCCATTTACTTGTAACAAGCAATATAAAATAAATTATTATGTGCCTGCTATGAGAGAAGGTCACTGGTGGTGAGATTGGTGTTGAAGAATTGAATGCCCATAATGAGTGTAATATGAACAACTTTGTAAACCACAGTGTTTAAATAAAGTAAAAAGAAATTTAAAAAGGTGTGGTCTTCTGCCAACCTGGGGTGTCCGGCAGATACATATTTGAGGGTTTAAACTGAAACTAAGAGGAATGAACTTTCAGGGAAGCAACATAATTGCATGATATTCCTTCACTTAATATGGGTGGGAAGAGATCTTTTTCAAAACTGAAAAGGTAGTATTTTAATTAAACTTTACCTTGTTATACCATGACTTTGTGCTAGTATTTAGCAGTAATAGTACAACTGACTTCTCTGGTATGTCCAGTCTATCATAAAGTTACACAATCACTTTTTTACCACACTTCTAGCGTAATATGTGCCACGTAGAGGTGGGGACACAGGCCAGCTAGTGGCATGTTCACTACACTACAGTGCTCAAGAAACAGCCAGCAGTCATTTTACTGGAAGAAGTTGACATAAAAATACTAGAAAACTTTCATACCTGAGAAGATGCTGGATAACTGAAATACATTGCGGCTCTTGTAAATAAGGAGTGTTGAAGTCATCTAGATAACCACACCCAAATGTTTCTTCCAAGCTGTAATAAAAGTTAAAGGATTGAAAGGATTACAAGTGTCTAAGGACACAAAGAAGTAAATAATAAACACCAACTCACAATACCCAATCTGGCCTTCCTCAATGCAGCTCTAGATTTTGAGGCTAACACTGCTTGACAAGTTGCTTCAATTTTGCCTTAATCTCTATCTTCATCAGAGATTCAGTTTATTCTTTGGGATGGATATTTTTAAGACTAAGGTAATAAACAAAAAGAGCATTTGGAGGTGGGGGGAATGGGTTTTGTGCCTTGGGCAGTTCCCCCTTGCGGCCCAGTAGCTGCCATCCTCCAGAGGCCACTGGACAGTCAGGTTTGGGCCCACAGTGATGAGACATTTTGGGCCTCACGGGATGGGGGTGGAGCCGGTCCTGTCCTCCCCACCCCAATGAGACCCCAAGTCATTGCCCACGAACGGCCTCTCTAGGTCCTGATCAAGCTGCTTAATGGCCATGATCCCAGACTCAGAAGTAAACTGCGAAACCCAACGGCTTTTGGCAGAAATGCGTCTGGACCATGCAGTAGATTACTGTCACCAGGCCACCCCAGGGGCGAAAGGGTGTTGTCCCTTCGCCTGCTTCCCCCTGGCGGCTCGGTGGCTGTCATCCTCCAGAGGCCACAGTCAGGTTTGGGCCCGCACTGATGAGACATTTTGGGCCTCATGGGATGGAGGTCGAGCCGGTCCTGTCCTCCCACCCCAACTAGACCCCAAGTCATTGCCCACGAACGGCCTTTCTGGCTCCTGATCAAGCTGCTTAACGGCCATGATCCCAGAGACTCAGGAGCAAATCTTGGAACCCAGCAGGTTTTGGCAGAAATCCCTCCAGATTTAAGTGTTAAAATTTCGAAATTTCAAAATCACGTGACCACTATTGCAGCCACGCAACATTATATGTTATTCATAACCATCAATAGAAAACAAATTTTCTACTGTTGCCTTTTCAGCAGATCTGTGTGTTGGGGTAAAATCTCAAATAATAATGGTGGGTCTGGTGTCTAAATATTGAATGTGATCAAAGTAGAGAGAGAGCAATGTGGAAATCATCTGCCCCACAGGTAGGGGGAGGGTTTGGGATGGGGGTATAATGGGGTTGTTGGGGGTGGAGAATGGGCACTGGTGAAGGTACGGGTGTTTTATTGTATGACTGAGACTTAGACCCAAAAGCTTTGTAGCTGCTCTCACAGTGATTCAATAAATAAAATTATACAAAATGAAAAAAAAAAGACTAAGGTAATAAACAAAAAGAGCATTCTTTTTTTTTTTTTTGCCTTTGGAGGGGGTGGGTCACACCCAGCAGTACTTGTAGCTACTCATGGTGGTGGATAAGGGACTATTTGGTGCAGGGATGAAACCCAAAGCAACTTCACCCCTATACTATGTCTCTGGGGCACTAAAAAACATTTATCATCTAGGTGCTCAGTAAGTATGTTTTTAAAAACAGAAAAACCTCCAAATAAAAATCCTCCAAACCAAAGATATAATTCACTATATTTTAGGTAGCTTTGAATATGAGATGCTAGAGAAGCCTAGAAGCAGGGCCTTTGATCTTAGACTCACTCCAGTCACATGCATCCCGAGTCACTTCTCACCTGTGGAGGCGGGCATGTGTATACTGCAGGAAGACTCCAGTGTCCCCACGACTCTGCAAAACACGATCCCAGCTGAACTGATAGTCAGAAGAGAGTGAGCCTTTGAAGTCCTAAAATGACAAGAGTAAATCTTCAGCACTGGGAGCTATTTTTGTACCAAACCAAAGGGCATCACAGAGGGGCATCTGAACAGACCTGAATAATGAGCGCAGCAAGCCCAACCTTCTCGGCTGTCTCCTTTGGGTTCTCCAGTTCTTTGGTAGCTGAAACAGACAAAGGCAGTTTACTTTTCACCTGCAGAAAAATATATAGCACCAGCCTTTGAAAAATGGAGATAAAATCTGTCAAATAATATAAGATAGCACCAAAACGAATCCACTGCTAGCAATTTACCTTTCCTAACAACATTTCATCTGCCTACATGCAAGGGGAAGAAATACAAATTTAGTTTCCTAAAAAATATTCCCTGTAAGACACTGCAAATAGCTGGTACTGGATGGCCAAAGTTGAGGATTAAACAAAGCTACAGAGACTTGTGACTTGCTACAGAGCACAGAAACTTTGCAAACTACTTCGACAAATGCAGTGGCAATACGGGGGCTACGCAGCTGTATCTATTCAGATTACTGAACCTCACTCAATCAGCAAGTCTAGATTCTGGCAGCTCTAATTAGTGCAAGCTGTTTAGGGCAGTATTGGTGAAGTTTAGGGTAAGAACTGTCATAAATCACACTGCATAAAAGACCAGCAAAACTTAAAAGTGGCACACAAATTATGACTATTAAAAAAAGGGAATTCACTTTTAACAGAAGACATGTTCTGTAGCATTCTTAACTGAATCTCATTTAAAACATCTTCTAGAAAAGTAACATCTCCTCTTCGCGTCTTCATACCCCGAATTACTCCAAACGGTATGTGCTGGCACCTAAAATGGAGTGGAAATACAGCTGGATAAAAACTGAAAAAATAAAATAAAGCCTGTCATAAAAGTACATGATAATATATGTAATAATACAATATAATACCTCTTAAGAGTATAGTTTGGATGTTAGCTCTCATAGTATGATCATATGCTAGGAAAGATTTTTCAGATGTGAAACTTCACTTAATAGATTCTAGAGAATTGCTATTATCGAATTACTAAAATGTAACTAACTTTTTGAAAAACAGTAGATTAAACATTTTGAAAATGTCTACTTAAAATACATTCAACATTTATAAGTCAGAAATTAATATAAACAGGACATAAATTAACGCAAAAAACCAAACTTGCATTCCACACTGATATCTTAAAACAGAAGAAAATTTAAATAAAAATTTGGGATTGGAGAGATAGCACAGTGGATAGGGTGTTTGCCTTGCATGAGCCTGTCCTGGGTTCAATCCCCAGCATTTCACGGGGTCCCCAAGCACTACTAGGAGTAATTCCTCACAGCAGAGTTAGGAGTTACCCCTGAGCATTGCTGGAGGCTGCCAATTTTTTTTTAAAGTTTAAAAAAAAAAACTTGATATATTTTTTGGACTTGACTCACCTAACATACCTTTAAGGACCTTGAGCAGGTAGATTAAGAACCAGGTAAGGAAGACATTACCTTTGTGCCCAATCATATCCCATAATCTGCAGCATTTGGAAGACTTGCTGAAAATGTTTTCTTTGCCCTTTATCTGTCTTGGAAAGAAAATATACTTATGATAAAAGAACCGTGATAAGTTAATATACAAAAATGGATTGGGCATAAATAAAATTAAAATAGATCTAAGTTTTGGGGCCAGAGAGATAGTACAGTGAGCAGGGCACTTGCCTTGCATGTTGCTGACCTGGGTTTGACACCTCATATGGTCCCCTAAGCCCTGCCAGGAGTTATCCCTAAATACAGAGACAAGAATAAGCCCTGAACATAGTTGGGTGTGGCCGAAAACACCAATCCCCCACACTCCCCACCCCAGCCAGTAAATAACAGATAAATTCAGTAAATTGATTTGTTCTAAATAAGATGTTTTTTAAAGAAAGTCTAAACTGAGTGGTCTACAAGAGTAGCTAAGAAGCCAGTATTCCATCTTGTCAGGAGGAAATGAAAACTTTAATGTTCAAAATATTTGATTTAAATTTCTTCTTTCTCAGCTATTATCTCCAATAAGCCTAATGGTAAGTTCTAAAAAAAATTATAGCTTAGAAAACATGTTTATAATAATGTTAATGTTTATGGTTTTGATATACAAAGTTTTTGCACCCATCACCACCACCACCAAAGTGCCCAAGATTATCATTTAAAAAAGATAGTCAGTGACAATGATTTTGCTTAGGGGTAAGAGAGATTGTACATGGAAAGGAAGAAAAGGGAAGGAATAGAAAACTACACAATAATAAAAAAAAATCACAAAACAAAGAAGGAATAAACTATTGATAACACAAGAGCTTAGGAAGATCTCAAAGTCTGATGAATGATAAGTACAATATAGATAAAAAAATATGTGTTAGGTGCTTTTTCAGAAATGATAAAGAACTGTGCCGATGGAGAACAGAGAAGCTGCTGCCAAGAGGTAGAATGGTGGTGGGAAGAGGGGTAAGCTATGATTCTGGAGTGGTTGCTATCAGGTAAATAATTTTGTAAATACACAGTTCGGATTTCTGTTTATGGTCATGGTTATTATGTGAATCTATACACGATGACATTTCTTACAACCACACAGACATACAAACATGAACAGCCCATACAAATTTACTTATTTCTTTTTGTACTGACAATAAACTAAGGTTTGGGAAGATACTATCTCTGGGGAAAGCTGGTGGAAAGATTCATGGAAACTATTATTCTGAAGCTTCTAGTGTGTCAAACTATAAAAGTTTTTTTTTTTTTTTTAAAGTGAGCTTTAGGGGCCCATGAATACCTCCATGGTAGAGCTCCTCTTTGTCTTGTAGGCAAGACAGCATCACCTTAAGGTAATACCCAGCACCACCTTAATGACAAATACAATCCCAGTGGCACTGCCATTTGGGATTCCTGGCACCACTGTCAAGTGTTCAATCTCCTACACATGTTAACAAGTACATGTGAACAACAGCATAGTCCTAGCCATCACCAAAACAAAGTGTATTTGACTTTGGTCACTGCAGTAAAAGGGAAGGAAAAGAGAAGGGGCAAAGTGTATTATATAACCATTCTACTGTAAAATTTTAAATTATAAAGCAAAATGTGAACTTTTTTTGTTGTTTTGGGGTACCCCCATTGGTGCTGAGGGACTACTCCTGGATCTACACTCAGGAATTACTTCTGGTGGGTTTGAGGGACCATCTGTGTTGCCAGGAATAGAACCCTGGTGGGCCATATGCAAGCAAATGAATGCCCTTTAGGCTACATTATCGTTCTGAGCCTAAACATTTTCATTAAAAATTTATTTTTTATAAATTTTATTTATTCATTGGCTTTTGGGGTCACACCCAGCGATACTCAGGGGATAATCCTGGCTCTGCACTCAGGAATTACTCCTGGTGGTGTTCAGGAGAACATATGGATGCCATGACTGAACCGGGGGTTATTCAGGTATAAGGCAAATGCCCTACTCACTAAACTTTCACTCTGGCCCCACTTTTTCATTTTTAAGTGGATTTATTTCAAAATTAATGTGACTGTCACTATAAAAACTCTTTAAGTTGCTAGAAGAATATTAAAAATGATTTTAAAGCCCCCCCCCCCCCCCATCTTACAGCACACAGCAACAAAGAAGAAAACCGGCTGGAGGGCCCCACAGCTCCCGGAGAATGCTCCGTGCCCCAAACAGAGCCAATATCACCAGGAGGTCCCAGATGGGGTAGGTGCTGTCTCCCCACCTTATCCAGATGGAATCCCGGTGACCATGAGCTTCTACAAGCATGGCTCTGGCATGCGGGTATCAGGACATTTTTTCTGAACTGCAATGGGGCCGCCCCGGCTCCAGGCAACCTCTGATTCCAGAAGTCACGCCCACAACTCACCCACCAGTGCCATCTTACAGCACACAGCAACAAAGAAGAAAACCAGCTGGAGGGCCCCACAGCTCCTGGAGAATGCTCTGGGCCCCAAACAGAGACAATATCACCAGGAGGTCCCAGTTGGGGTAGGTGCTGTCTCCCCATCTTCTCCAGATGGAATCCCGGTGACCATGAGCTTCTACAAGCATGGCTCTGGCATGCGGGTATCAGGACATTTTTTTTGAACTGCAATGGGGCCGCCCCGGCTCCCAGGCAACCTCTGATTCTGAAAGTCATGCCCACAACTTGCCCTCAGTGCCATCTTACAGATACAGCAACAAAGTGATCGATGGAAAGTAAATCATCCAGCATTTCTCCCTGAAAATCAGGTTTGAATGGTGGTGGGAAAATCTGAGCAAAAGATAATGCCCAACCGAAATGCATCTGGACTGTGTATTCAACTATGGTGCTATGTCACCCTGGGAGGGGAAGGGTGTCTGTCCCTCCGCCTGTCCCCCTCTGTGGCAGTGACATGGTGTTCTGCATTTTTTAGAGCCTAATAAACAGACAGGTATGTGACTGCATTAACGACGCATGTGGGGCTTCATGGGATGGGGGGTGGAACCGACCCTGCTCTACGCCATGACAATGCTCTGGGTTGCTACCCTCAAATGCCTCTCCGGCTTCTGACTGACCATGAACCCAGAGGCACACATACTAATCTTGGAACCCAGCAGCTTCTGGCAGTAATCCCTCTAGGTTTATTACTAAAATATTAGAATTCCAAATTCACGTGGCTGCTATTGTGGCCACATGACATCATATGCTCTTCATAATCAGCATTAGAAAACAAATTTTCTAATGATGTCTTTGTGGCAGGTCTGAATGTTGGGGAAAATTCCAAATAACAGTGGTGGGTCTTTTTGTTGTGATATTGAATGTGATCAACGTAGAGAGAAAGTGGAAATCTGCCACACAGGTGGGAGGAGGGTGGGAGGGGGGAATACTGGGGTTCTTGTTGGTGGAAAATGTGCACTGGTGAAGGGACAGGTGTTTGATCATTGTATGACTGACCGAGACTTGAACTGAAAGGCTTTGTTACTGTTCTCACGGTGATTCAACAAATAAAAAATATTTTAATGTAGATAAAAGTCACAGCTGTTGATAAAATTCTAGAATTAAAATTGATTAGATAACAAAGCTGCAGTAATAAAATTTTGATGTATTTATTTCAGGTACTGTATTTTCTTCTCTCAGCTTGCTTAAATAATTAAAAAAAATGGCATTTAAAATACAATATTGAAACATGTTCTAAAATTTCACAGTTTTTATAATCAATGTTCTCTTTATATAATCTTTAATAAAGTTTTGACAATAAAAATGATTTTAAAAATTAAAAAAATTGTGATGAGTATGAAATTGTTATAGATGTCAATTAAATTATAGCAATAGTTTTATAATATTAGAAATATCACATATTAACATTGTATATCTAAAATGAATACAATGTCATATGTCAAACACCTCAATATAAAAGCATAACAGAGTTATCTTTTCAACATGGCACTCCTGCTGGTGCTTGGGGGACCATATCAATACTGGGAATCAAACCTAGGTCGGCTGTGTGCAAGGCAAACACCCTACCTGCTGTGCTATTACTCCAGCCCCGATGGCACTCAATTTCTATCTCTGTAGTATTCATAATGCTCATACTATAGTGTACTTTGTTGTGACTACTTACCACATAAATCATTGTGTCAAAATTATACTTGTCCATTCGATCTATAGCTGCAGCAAGATCTCTGGGAAAAAAAAGTGTACGAGTTATTAATATCTGTTTTGCCACTTTATTGCTAATGATATTTTAGCTAACTCTGGGCAAAGAGTCCATAGGAAATTTTCAGGGTTTTTTCATTAAGTCACTACTAGGTTAAAAAAAAAAATCACTTGCCCTGCCACAGAGGCAGGGTAGGATGGGGGGGGGGGGGGGGGCGGGGAACGGGAGGGATACTGGGATCAGTGGTGGTGGAGAATGGGTACTAGTGGAGGGATGGGTATTCGATCGTTGTATAACTGAAACCCAAGCACAAAAATTTGTAAATCTGCAACTGTACCTCATGGTGTTTCACTAATAAAAATCTAAAATAAAAAAAAATCACTATCACTGTTTTGCAACACACTCTCTTAAAGCATAAGCAAAGCAGTAGCTAAACAAGTCTCTTGCTACTTTTAGAGGGTCTTAATAATTTTGACAGTCATAAAGCAATACCCTCTAAAACATGTTTTATTTCTTTGGGCTTTGGTGCCACACCCAACAATATTTAGGGGTTATTCCTTTGCTCTGTGCTCAGAAATCATTCCTGGTGGTTTTTAGGGGGACCATATGGAATACTGGGAATCTAACCTAGGTTGGCCACATGAAGGCAAGGACCTTACCTATTATAATTCAAATTAATGAGAGTAAGACACAGACACTAGGATTTGATAAGAGTTTGGAGGATAAAATTTACTATGGTCCCACGAAAACATTTTGAAAGACAATGGAAGACTTAAAATAGCCCATTTATCAGATAGTACAAAAGTCTTACTTTGCCTACATAAATGTGCAATAAAATTTAAAAAATCTAGGTTAAGAAATTAAAGTATGGAATTTCAAGTCCAGACCTCAAAGTTACAATAAAAATTTAAGATTTTTTAATTAATAATGCAAGATACTTAGAGAATTAAAAACATTTTCAAGAGGGCCAGGAGATATCGCAAAGGGCTAGAGTGCCTGCTCTGCAGGCGAGAAGTTTTGTTCAATTCACAGCACTGATGGTCCCTTGAGCACCATTGGAATCTGGACTCCCACCAACCTCCAAGCATTATGCTGGGCTGAGTCCATGAGTACCTCTGGGATGCGGACTAGAAACAAAACAAAAATTCCTGGCCCCTAAAAATGAGAGGGATCATAAAAATGTTATTAGTACCCAATGTCAAGATACCGAGACAATAAAGCAGGCTTTCTCAATGGAGGTAGAAGATTATTCTTAAGGGACAAAATTGAACTTTTTATATATAAAGCACATACAAGTATATAATAATACAGACATATAGTATATATATACATATATATATATGTGCTACTAAAATCTCATGAGTAAAGTAGTAAAGTAGTAAAAGTAAAGAGAAAAATGCTTCTAAATAGTTACAAAAACGAAAGGTTGTAAAACACTGGTACAGAATATTATGAAAAACATTATGACCCCAAATAAGTAAAAATTTATACAAGCATTTTTTAAATTTTAATCAAGGAAAAAAATTCTCATCCAAAGAAAAGATGCAAATAAAAGAGAAAAATTAGTTTGCTTGTGAAAACTGAATTTGAAAGTTAGAAGAAATACCATGTCATTTAGGTACATTTAGTCTCACTTCACAAAATGGAACCATGACCCAAAGAGGTTAAGTGAAGGCCTGGGTCACAGAAGAAAAAGTCCAAAGTCCAGCTTCACCCTATGACTTCCTTTGCATTCTCTTGAATTTCTGCATAAAATAATTCCTTTAAGGCATACCCATATGTAGAGATGAATTGTAAAGAAAACCCACTAAAAGGGCAGAAACTAAGTTATAGGACAATAAACAACCAGATGTTTTTTGTTTTTGTTCTTATTTTGTGGGAGGTCAAACCTGGCAGTGCTCAGGGTTCATTCCTAGCTGTGGCTCAGAGATCACTCCTGGTAGTGCTTGGGGGACCATATGGGTGCCTGAGTCAAACCCAGGCTGACTGCATTCAAGGCAAGTACCCTACCCTATGTATTATCTCTTGGGGGCTCACTCCTTGCATTCCTCAGGGGATATGCAGTGCCAGGCAGGGACTGAAACCGGGGCCTCCTCCTCAGCCCATTGAGCTCTCTCTTGGGTCCCCAAATTACTTCAAACTTATAGTTTACAGAACAATGCTTTCAGCAACTAAACTAATTATTAACCATTTTTGGTCTCTTTTTTGGATAATACCAAACCATTTCAAATCGATCTAAACCATAACTGTCAATAAAAAGAAATGGAATATTTTCAAATTAATGAGAGTAATACGGCAGAGCCTGGCAAGCTCCCCGTGACGTATTCGATATGCCAAACACAGTAACAACAAAGTCTCCAATGGAGACGTTACTGGGCCCGCTTGAGCAAATCGATGAACAACAGGAGGACAGTGACAGTGACAGTGACAATGAGAGTAAGACACAGGCACTAGGATTTGATAAGAGTTTTGAGGATAAAATAAGATCTGAACATTAACCCAAGAACAAAGAACATGGAATCATATATATCATCCATTACTGATTTTTACAGATGACACATACCTCGTTGCATAGAGAGAAGTCCCATCACTTCGCATTACAGTACAGACGGAGGAGGGGTCGCCATTCCCAGACAGATCTACTACAGCTGTTCCTTTTCTAGAACATTGTGGTTGACAAAATGGGATAGTTTTATTACATAATGTTATTTAACAAAGAAAACAGGAGAGAATATAACCAGGAATCTATAAAGAGTATCCTATAAGTTCTATTGGGCTATCCAATCTTTTAAAAAATCTATGCCCACAATACTTAGGTAATTAAAATCTTTTAATATACTCCACTGAAAAATAAGGTTTCAACTGCAGTTTAACTATGTTCTTCTAGCTCAAAATATTATAATTCATTACTAGGTTAATTTTTTAACTTGCCAGAAAATATCCTTGGGTTAAAAAAAAAAGGCATGAAATGTTATTATCTTTTATCTATTACCTAAATCCTAAAATTAGAATTTATTATGGTGACCTAATTTTTTTCCTTAGAGGCATAATAAAGATGCACAATCTACATTCTCTATATCTTTCTTAGTATGATGGAAAAATTGCTTTTTGGTACAAACAAAAGTGGTATTTCTAAAATTGGTATTATTGAAACAAGTGATCTGCTTCATTACAGATGCCCGGGCTCCTATGACTAGAACCATTTTCCTGTTTGTTTAGCTGACAAGCTTAGAGCTAAGGTAAATCTACCTTAAGCAAAAAACCCCTCTGCCCTCCCCCCCACAAAAAAACCCAACATACAAAAATACCTCTTAAGAAAATTTAAATAATGTAAAAACCCCTTCCCTGACTTCCATTTTATTTTTTCTGTTCCTACTTGCTGATTTCCTCTTTCAAAAATTATTTTTAAAAAAATGTATTTTTATCAACTGCCTTTGTTTTTAAAATTGCAGGATTAGGCAAAAAGTTGAGAGTTTTCTGTCCTTCTTTCCAATTATGTCATTACCAAGAGAGTGACCGAAGGCAAGTCCTTTAAAGTCACAAGCACTTTTTGTGCTTCTGTTTCCTCATGTGCAAAGAGGACACATCCTTTCTTGTTACCCAGATCCCAGGATCTTGCTATGGCAGCAAAAAAAAAGCATGTAGTAAAGTACTTTTAGGCAAAAGGAACTATGCAAAAATCAAGAAAGTCACACAAAGACATAGTTTTGTCCTTATTCAAAGAATACATAAATATCAATTTCACAGAACAAATAACTCTAGTAACCTGATCATACATGGTTTTCTGCAGGAGTCCTTTACTGTCCAGCAATTTTAAGACTTCTTGAGATTTTTCACGATAAAATGATTCTCCTGAGTATTCATCAAAATGTACTCCAAGACGCTAAAAGAATTCAAAAACAAGAAAAAAGTGTTACTTCAAAGTCCTATCATCGTGGTCCTTCATGCCCTACTGAGGCCACGAGTTGCCCCCCACGAGCGGCTCTCCGGCCACAGCACCAGAGGCACATAGACCTAATCCTGACAGCTTGCAGCAGAAATGTGAATGGACTGTGTGTTAAACTATGGTGCCGTGCCCCCCCCCCCCCCCAGGAGGGAAAGGGTGTCTGTCTCTTCCTCCTCTCCCTCCCCCCCGCAGCACGGTGGCCACTGCCTCAGAGCTTATTGGAAAGCCAGGTATGAGCCAGCAGTATTGGGGGCAACTGCAGCTTCATGGGATGGGGGGGCGGAACCGGCTTGTCCTTCACGCCCTACCGAGGCCATGAGTTGCCCCCCATGAGCGGCTCTCTGGCACGGCCATGACACCAGATGCACAGAAAACAATCTTGTAATTATCCGGCTCTTGGCAGAAATCCCTCTTGACTTAATTAGTAAAATATCAGAAATCCAAAATAGTAGCCGCATAACATCATATGGTTTTCATAACCAGCAATAGAAAACAAATGATTTTACAACGCCTTTTCAGCAGCTCTGATCGTTGGGGGAAAATTCCAAACAATAAAGGTGCATCTTTTGTAGAAATAATGAATGTAATCAAAATAGAGAGAGAGAGTTAAGTAGAAATCATTTGCCTCACAGGCATCGGGAGGGGTGGGAGAAGGGGTATATTGGGGTTCTTGGTGGTGAAAAATAATTATTAGTGAAGGGAAGAGGTGTTTGATCATTGTATGACCGAGACTTAAACCTGAAAGCGTTGTAACTTTTCTCACGGTGATTCAATAAATAAATTTAACCAAAAAACAAACAAACAACCCCCCCCCCCAAAAAAAAACAGTCCTATTATCTGATGATAAAATAGGCTGCTCTACAGTCTGTCACACAGAAAGGGATATAAGTATCAGGTCAATTCACTCCACTGCTTCCCTGATCAAGTCCACCCCAGCACTGTGCTGAATAATTGCTCACACATGCAGGATATAAGAAATGCAGAAAGGGATAACAAAGTAATCAAAGGTGACAGAAACTGAAAACTGGTTCAGTAGGAAACATACCACAGGGGAGGTTGGGGGTGACACTGGAACAATGAGGGAGGGAAGTAGCTGGAGGGTATTAGAATGTTTTATGCATGAAACCCTACCATTAACAGTTTTTGTAAACCATGGTGCTAAAATTTAAACAAACAAACAAAATCCCAAATCCCCAAACCAAAAGTATGTGCTGTCTAACATATTCCCAAGTCATAGTTGGCTATCCAAATATAGAATGAAATTGAAACTCTTAGTTTCTTTCTTTCTTTCTTTCTTTCTTTCTTTCTTTCTTTCTTTCTTTTTTTGGTTTTTAGGCCACACCCAGCAATGCTCAAGGATCACTCCTGGTGGGGCTGAGGGACCATATGTGGGGTCAAACCCAGGTCGGACATGTGCAAGGCAAGTGCCTTACCTGCTGTACTATCTCTCCAGCCCCTGAAATCTTAGTTTCTGAGTCATTATTCCCATTATTAATACTCAATAGTTACACATTGCCAATGGCTACATACAGATTAACATATACATAGAACAATTCCCTCACAGCAGAAAACTAGATTTGAAGTCCTGGAGAAATACTCTACATCATGCCATACTCTACTTACCATGTCTCCTATAGTTCCTCATCTCATTCACTTATTCAGCCATGTGGATTCTTCACCAAAGCTCATTTTGCCAAAAGACAGAACACCTGCTCTGACCTTGCCTGCTTTGTTTTTCTCTTACAACGTTACTACTATATCTAACTGGCTATATATCTGTCCTTATTTAGTTTGCTCTTAGTTTTCTCTCCTTATTTAGGTTAGAGCATAAAGTTCATGAGAGAAATACTTTCTTCTCTTTTATTCACTGCTGTATTCCATCACACCCCTTAAAGTGTTTATTAAATGAATTTCTGGTCATTGCTTATACACCTAAGGAAATGAAAGAAAACAGACTGAAGTCACCAGAACGGCTTCTGGAATTCAATCCATGAAACTCACAGCCTTAGAATTATTTTATAGCTCTAAATTTCAGCTCTCAAAATATTTGTTTCTGATTTCAATCCTCCACTACTCAGCTGCGGATGCCCTCCAGGACACTTTCTGGACACTCAGGCCAGGATTCACGCACGAGTGAAGCCCCAGAGAGCCAGGGAAGCAGAAATCTGTGACCTTGGACTCCAGGCTCAACGGACCCGGGAGCAGAGATCCTCTGCCTGCTCCCAGCAGCCTGGCAGACCTCCACTACCCCCACAACCCAGCTGCAGACACCCTCCAGAACACTTTCTGAACCGTGGCCACGCGATACATCATAAAACACTTAATAAAAGATTATTGCACCATATTTGAATGCGTTGAAATGTGGTTTGAAGCATGGGAACACCTGTAAGGGCGATTAGAGGTCACCCTAAAAGCGTCTATCCCACTCGGAGAGTCTGACAAGCTGCCGAGAGTGTTCTGCCCACACAGCAGAGCCTGGCAAGCTATCCGTGTTGTATTTGATATGCCAAAACCAGTAAATACAAGGGGTCCCACTCTCCTGACCGTGTAAGAGCCACCAATATGGCAGCGTTAAGAATGAGGAAGGAGAGGCTCATAAAATCTCAGGTCCTACCTGGGCTGCCAAAACAAAGAAGGACAAAAATGACTGTCTGTACTTTCAATGCACGTACACTGGCATCGGATGCATCCATTGAGGACCTGATGGTGCAAGCGTGAAAGATCAAGTATGACATCATTGGTGTGATCGAGACGAGAAGACGTCAAACACATCATGCCGTTTTCCACACTGGGGAAGAACTGTTCCTCGGAACATGAGACAAAAGAGGTGTCGGTGGTGTTGGTGTCCTTGTCAACACAAACTTGGCCATGAACAATGATTCATTCGAATGCCTAACAATCCGAATCGGACAATTACACTTGAACAGATGTGGCTCACTGCCACCAGTTTCTATCTTCGTTGCCTACGCACCAACATCCAATTATGATGAAGGAGAAATTGAAAAGTTCTACATGGAGCTGGAGAAGTTCTATAAAGAAGACCACATTTTCTCTAAGATCATTGTCGGTGATTTTAATGTCAAGGTAGAACCGAGAAGATCAGCTGAAGAACTCCACATCGGGACCCATGGCCTAGAATGGAACGAATAGGGTTGAAAGACTGTCCAAGTTCATCATGTCAACCAAGACCATCCATGGTAACTCACAATTCCAGAAGGCCGAAACTAAACATTGGACATGGGAGTCTCCTGGTGGACGGTTCCACAATGAAATTGACCACATCATATTCAATCTACGGTTTTGCCTGACTGTCGCTGTTGTCCCCAAATTCCAAATGGGATCGGACCACCATCTCCTTCGTGCAAAATTCTACTTCACAGAGTGGGGATAAATGGCTGCAAAGTTTAAGAAGAGAACTCCCAGAACGACCACCAACTGGGAGCTCTTTGGCACTATTGCAGAAACATGGGAAGATGCTGTCATTGACAACATTGACGAGGAATACGATCGACTGGTTAAGCACCTCCATGATAGTGCAAGGAATGCCGAGACAGCCACAAAAAGACGACTGTCTTCGAAAACTCTTGAGCTTATTCACCAGCGTGGCGTGGCGCAAGCTTTAGGCAACTGCAAGCAAACGTCCGAGTTCGCAAAGCAGTGCAGAGAAGCGATCAAGGAAGACCTCAAAGAGAGAAGAGCAGCAGTGCTGGCAGATGTGGCAGAAGCTGGGAAAAGCACTCGCAATGCCCGCCTATCCTTCGCCAACTACAAGACCAAGATGACTGCCCTCCGACATCCTGATGGATCTATCATATCTCCAGAAGGGCAATGAGAAGATTATCCATGAATTCTACTTGGATCTCTTTGAAAGCCACGGCCATCTGCCCACATATCAAATTCCGCAGGATGGATATTTTGTTCCCAAAGTTCTTCCTTCCAAAATCCAACACACCATTTTGTCAGTAAAGAAGTGAAGAGCACCTGGTTCAGACAAGGTCTGACCTGAACACCTTAAGAACCTGCCGTCAGTACTCATCAATACACTGGCTCGGCTCTTCACATGCTACCTTTCTGAATGCAAGGTTCCATCCCAATGGAAAACCAGCAGGACTGTACTACTGTACAAGAAGGGAGACATCCACGACATTGGCAACTATAGCCCGATCTGCCTGTTGTTTGTCATCTACAAGCTGTTCACTTGAGTTATCCTGAATAGGATTGGCAGAATGCTAGAATGAAGGACAACCATGCGAGCAAGCCAGGTTCCAAAAAGGATTAGCACAACCGACCATATCCACATGATAACCAAGCTCACTGAGGTTTCTTGGGAGTTCAAGATGCCGCTCTCTCTAACGTTCATTGATTTAAAGAAGGCCTTTGATTCTGTTGAGATGGAAGTGGTCATTGAGGCCCTAGCCAAACAGGGCGTTCAAAGTCAATACATCAGGATCCTCCGTGAGCTGTATTGCGGATTCACTACCAGGATCTCACTATTCTACAAGGAGGTGATCATTGACGTTAAAAAGAGGGGTTCAGCAGGGTGATACCATTTCACCGAAACTCTTCAGTGCCACCCTCGAGAATGTCCTATGGCGACTGGAATGGGAAGGAATGGGAGTGAAGTTAGACGGTCGGCAACTACATCACCTCCACTTTGCTGATGACATCTTTCTTACATCAGCTAAGTGGCACAAATGCTGGCTGACTTCGACCATGAGTGTGGAAAGGATGGACTACAGCTGAATCTAATGAAGACAATGTTTATGAGAAATGGTCTCGTTCCTGGCGTTCCATTCACTCTCAATGGGACGAATATCCCCGAATGCAAGTTATGTGTACCTAGGTTGAGAAGTCAACATGACGGATGACCTGGCACCTGAGTTGTGTAGGAGGAAGAGAGCGGCTTGGAACGCCTTTAAGAACACCGAAGAAATAGCTGAAAGAACAAAGAACCTCTGGCTCTGGGCACATCTCTTCGATTCCACTGTTCTTCCTGCATTAACATATGCCTCAGAGACCTGGGCCCTACGAAAGCAGGATGAGAATGCGATCCGGATCTCCCAAAGAGGAATTGAAAGAGCTATGCTTGGAGTATCATGCTTCACTCAAATGAGAGAAAGAATCTGGAGTTCCGACCTTCATTGACGGTCAAGAATCAGGGATGCTGTCTCGTTTGCCAAGGTGTCGAAAATGAGATGGGCTGGACATGTAATGAGATTTGGAGATGACTGCTGGACTAGAGCCATTACCGACTGGATTCCACAGGACATCAAAAAGATTGTGTTGCCACCCACCTATGAGATGGTCAGACTTCTTCGTCAAGACACTTAACAATCGGTTTGAGGCTCTTTGTGTTCCTAGAATGAGCAGGTGCCATTGGGCTACATTAGCATGTGACAGGGATGAATGGAGATGTTGCTGGCTCCCGCTTGAGCAAGTCAATGAGTAACGGGATGTCAAGTGATCAATTTCAATCCACATAAACAAATTCTTCCATTTTTGGCCATTGTTAGAAATAAAAAACAATTCCTTTGCTCATTTATTTGGATTTTGGGCCACACCTGGCAGTGCTCAGAATTTATTCCTGGCTCTGTGCTAAGGGATCACTCCAGGCAAGGCTTGGGGGACCATATGGGGTGTTGGGGACTGAACTGAGTCAGCTGTGTACCTTCTGTACTATGGCTCTGCAACCCGCGCTCCCTTTCCCCCCACCACCTCTGCCGCCAGCAGTTATTTTAAGTGTTTTATAGATTTCAGGGTGTTTTGGGGGGGAGGCAGGGTGTGGTGACAGGGTCTGATCTCACTTGCAGTGCTTAGGAATTACTCCTAACTAGGTACTCAGGGATCACTGATGGTAGTGCTTGGGGGACTACATGTACTATGTACAGCGCAACTGCCTTACCTCGATACTATCTCCCTGGGCCCCTGAGTTTGGTTTTTTGACTAGACTTCAATGAGTTTATTGTGCTGTATGAACCTTAAAAAGAGGCTGAATTAAACACGTGAAAAATAATTTTTCTCTCTGAAACTGTTTATGAAATATTTTTAATTATAGGAAATATTCTTCATTGCCTTGGAAAGAGATGATCATTATTTTTTTTTAACTGAATCGCAGTGGGATACACAGTCACAAAGTTGATTTGGTTTCAGCCATACAATGTTCTAGCACCCGTCCTTCACCAGGGTGTATGTCCTACCACTAATGCCTCCAGTTTCCCTACTACCTCTCCAGTCTCTATCCTTCTCCCTACCCTGCCTGCCTCTATGGCAGACACTTGGAAAAAGTTCTTAAAACATAAGTAGCAAGGGTGGGTGAATACCTTGTAAATTCGAATATACTCTTCAATGCTCAAGTCCCGAAATCTTTGCCACAGTGCAAGTGCTTGCAAGTCACCCACTTCCAATCGCTGGAAAAACTTCTGTGCTGACTTTGTTATACTTTCATCTTCTGCTGCTTCTTTATTAATTTGTACGTAAATCTAAAAAGCACAACAGTACGTCACTGATCACTATTGTCTTCAATAAACAGAAAAAAACAACACACATCTTTAAGATTTCCATTTAAAGTTTATCATTTTATCATAAAGCACTTTTTTCCTTTAGCTTTTTCTATCAGCCCTTAGTGAATCAAACAGATTCCCTCTCAAAATGTTTTTAATGTGTAGTTTTTAATGCAAAACATAAAATATAGCATTGCAAGTGAAATAATGACACTGAAATATTCATCTAAATTTACAAAGTACTGATATAGTAATGAAGGAAATTACTAAATTTTGTATAGTGCTTAGTGAAGATTATGTGGAAGAAAATAAGTAGAAGAAAACAGGACTTTTCTTCCTATTCAAATTCTCAAGGTTAAGGAAGTTCTACTTACGACTGTTTGAAAGAAGCCAAAATAGGGGCTGGAACAATAATACAGTGGGTAGGGTGTTTGCCTTGAACGTGGCTGACCCGGGTTAGATTCCCAGCATCCCATATGGTCCCCTGAGCACCGCCAGGAGTTACTCAGTGCAGAGCCAGGAGTAACCCCTGAGCATCACTGGGTGTGACCCAAAAAGTGAAAAAAAAAAAATTAAAAAAATTAAAAAAAGCAAAAATGTTATTTGTACAAATTCTATGAGAAAGGGCTAAAAAAAGTTGGACTGCTCAATAATTGCTCAATGTGGAAAAGGTCAAAACAGATTCTCCAGACATAAACACACACGGTGATCTAAGAGTTTTATGATAGTGAGGTTTAATTACATTGTATGGAGAGGTCTTTGCATGGAGCATTATTCACTAAAGTGTTTCTGCACAATCTCTCTTGCTACTCTAGTTTTCCACCTACCTAATGACAGGTGCAAGTTGGATCATTTGCTAAGGGTTCTTTCAGTTACATTATTACAATGTTAATAATGACATTAAAATATCACTATGGTTTTGATAGCACTAAAACATGTATGTATATATGTGTATATTATATATATATAATGTATATATCTATTATAAAAATTTTACACATAAATTTTTTAAAGAAAAAAGTCTTATTCAGAATTTATAAAATATTTTTAGTAAACTTATCATATCTAAAATAATATGCCATGCATTTTTATAGCAGTAATGATTTCAAAATGCATTTTTTTACATTTTCTTTGTGCGTAAAAATTTCCAGACGCTCGGGCCAAGACTCAAGCTCAAGTGAAGCCCCACAGAACCAGGTAAGCGGAACTCTATGACCTTGGACTCCAGGCTCAATGGGACCCAGAAACAGAGATCCTCTGCCTGCTGCCACCAATCTCCAGGGACCCAGGGATCACAACCAGAAGCCCCACCCTACCGGTACCAAATAAACACCTCATCAGCAGATCTCCACCACCTCCACTACCCAGCCGCCGCCACACTCCAGGCCACTTTCTAGACGCATCATAAGACACTTAACACCCATCTTCCAAGATTACCGCACCATATTTGATGGGGTTCAAATATGGTCTGAACCATGGGATACACATAAATTTTAAGTCATTTCCCAGGTTAAAATATGAACAATAAATTTACTATCCTCATACTATTTACCAAAATCTCTTAAAATAGCATGAAAGTAATGAAAATTATCAAATAAACTATAGAACAAATGAAGTCTCCTACTTACACAGTAGTATCAAAATGACACTATAGCAGCAATTATGTAGACAAAAATTATTGCTGGAGAGTAACTGGGACCACAGACTTCTATGGGCATCATAGCTTATACTTAATAGATTATATCCACAAGATCGAGGCATTAAAAATCTACCTTTTGTTTGCTTGCTTTTGGGTCACACCTGATAGTGCTCAAAGATACTCCTGGTGGTGCTCAGGAACCAATGTGGTGTCAGGAATAGAACTCAGACCTTTTGCAAGCAAGGCAGGTACTCCAACCCGAGGAGATGGCTCCCTATATATGTACCTCAAAGTAAAAAATAAGTCTTATTACACCAGCAGGCATTTGTATTTTCCTACATTAAGGATTGTCTCTGTGGGCCTAAATTTCATGAAGCACTTACTAATCTTGTGATAAAAAATACTTGCCATTATTCAAAAATTTAAAAATCTAGTAAAAGGTTCTAGCATAAGGTTGGCATGCTATATACTATACATATTTATATACAACTATAAATATTAATTTTTAATGGATAAAATTTATAAGAAAAATGATTTTGGTTAAAAAAGTTGAACATCTTATAATACTGTTTCTTGCCAACTTACTTCAAAGAGATGCTGTAAAGGATTGCACTGCAGTTTTTCTTCATAGCCAAATAGCTGAAAGCCCGTCCCCAAAAGACCTATCAAAATAATTCATAAATGAAAAAAATTATAAACCGAACAACAGAGAACATTATAGCTCTATAAAAACAAGAAATTTTATAAAAAGATCAACTTACCAAAATTTTATATTTTAAAACTATTTTTAAATGCTATAATCCTTTGCTACACCATAAACTGACATATGTCAACATCAATATATTAAGTCAAAAATTCAATTGCAGCTAGACTGCTTAAGTTAACTTTACAGAAACCAACAGACATGAAAGCATCAAAGGCAAAGTCTAAGACTAACCTATCTTAGTACTAGGGGTGCCAAGCATGACCCAGCAGACAATAATAAAACAAGCATTTACTGAGCAGCTCCTCTGTGGAAGGATATTCATGATGCTAGGCAATAGACTCTGGAATTTTGTGAGAACAAACTGATGGGAAACAATCTCAAAAAAGTGTTGAAATAAAGCTTGTAGATATTAAAAATCAAAGTTAGAGATGGATTTGGTTATGAGCTCTTTAAACAGATAACTGAAGGAAAAAAATAATAAAATTATAAATATCCCTCATTGCTTATCCCATTCAAGGTAACCAAGAAAGAAAATTATTTTATCTGGCCATATATATTTTTCCTGTAACATTTTCTTGGACACTAATAGAAATAAGTTCAGAGTTTGGGGACTGTATTAATCTGAAAATTTATTTTTTTTAAAAATTTATTTATTTATTGAATCGCTGCGGGAAAAATTACAGAGCTTTCGAGTTTAGGTCTCAGTCATGCAAATATCAATCACAATTCCCTTTACCAATACTTATTTTTCACCCCGAAGAACCCCAATAAACCCCCACCCCCCAACCCCCCCAATGTCTGTGGGGTAGATGAATTCTAGTTAACACTCTGTCTACCTTGACTAGCTTCATTGTTTTGATAAAAGTTGCACCATTATTATTTAGACTTTACCCCCCCCCCAAACTCAGCCATGCTGAAAAAGCATTGTGAAATGATCTGCTTTCTACAGCTGGTTTCAAGAATTAAATGATGTCGCGCAGCCGCTATTGCGGCCACGCAGTTTTGGATTTCTGCTATTTTATTTATTAACCCTGCAAGTATTTCTACTGAGAGTCAGATAATTAAGAGATTGGTCTCTGTGCTTCCTTCTGGGGCCGTGGCCGTGCCGGAGAGCCGCTCGTGGGGGGCAACTGGTGACCTCGGTCGGGCGTGAAGGACGTGAAAATTTATTTTTAAACTAATAACTGAGGCTTTAAAACTAGCAATAAAAGTGCTTAGTATAAACTTTGATTCTTCATATGTAAGATATTTTCCTAAAAATAAAAACACCCAGCAAAACTAACTTCTAGACTCAGTAAAAACTAAGTGGTTCTTAGAAGGAGAAAGGCAAAGGAATGAGGTGTGGTAGGAGAGTGGTTAGAAAAGAAAGGGCAGGGGTCTTTTGGATGGAGGGATGACACTAGAGTCTGGTGGTGGGGTTGGTGAGTATTATGCACCTAGAGAAGTGTGAAGCTAAACCCCTGAAATCCCTAATATTACAAACTAGTGATAAAGCAATACAGAATTAGAATATACACACAGCCTAGTTTCAAGAGCAATAAGAGGTAGTTTTACTATCCTAAAAAATTAATGTGTTTCTCCAATTATATCTATCATCAAGCTTCGGTCTAAAGAAGCTGTGGTCCCTGGGCTTTGCTGATGTAGGTTCTTTTGTATAAGGCTCAGCATAAAGTGGGCTAGGTACTGAACACAGGGATATATAATACTTAAGAGCTTAGACAGAAACTTGAAGGTCAACTGAAATATATACCAGCTTTACTCATTTTCAAGCAAAAGCAGATGTGACTATGCTTCAGAACCTTGGGTACTCTGTGGAAAGATGCCCAGAATAGTCCAAAATAACTGATGGGAAAAACAAAGGCCACTTTCATTTAACACTCAATCTATTACATTTTTAAAACTAATTCTATGCTTACGATCTGGTTTTGCCGGCTTTTAACAATGGATAGCTGAAACAACCAAAATTAAACCTCTTCCACAATCACCATTTTAAAGAAAATAATTTAGAAGAATAAATTATTAACTCAGTGGCCACTTAGAGAAATACTGCTGTAGTAAAATCCTGTAGCTAAAATTTAATGAATATCACAATTATATATTTGCAAGTGCCTGAGATATAGCTAACCAGTCAAACTAACGTAAAGCAAATGCCACATATTAAACCTATTCGTTTAGAACAGTGCTTCCCAGAGTGGATGATGCCACTCTTATTCGGGCTATAGGCGTATGTATGTGGGGTAGAGGTGGGGTTTGAACTGATGGGGTGGGGTGGAAGTCTTAGGTGCAGCTAAGGGCTCTTTCTATTTAAACAAAGTGAATTGGAACAGAGAGATAGCATAGTGGGTAGAGCACTTGTTTCGCACTCAGCTGACCACGGTTCAAGCACATTTCCTCTGAGCATGACAAAGACTGATTTCTGGACACAGATCCACAAATAAGCCCTGAACATAGCTTGGTGTGGCCCTTCGCGTGATCTCTCCCCTGTTTGACACCTCCTCTGGGGGGTGGGAGGGGGAGGAAGGATTTCCAGGGAGACACTGAATAATCTTTTTTCTGAAAAGGAAGGTTATAGATCAAGTAAGTTTATGAATCTCTCGCCCAGAGCCTAAATCCTTTATCAGTTGCTAGAAAAAGCATGAAGATCCTTTGTTTGTTCTGAATTTTGGACCACACTTGGTGGTGCTCAGGGCTTACTCCTGGCTTGATGCTTTAGGGATCACTCTTGGCAGACTTGGGATCATTTGAGATGCCAGGGATTGAACCCTGATTGATTGCATGTGAGGCAAGTGCCTTACCCATTGTACTTTCACTCTGGCTCCCAACAGCAAGTAGATTTTTTAAATGCAAGGCATGCTTTCTGATTCTTCTACTGACTGATAACAGTGAACAGTAAGGACTATTAACTACTGTTAAAAGGTTTCATATCTGCTTCTTTTAGAGTAAGAAAAATATTCTCGAGTAAAGTTCATGATAACTTTGGGAACTTTGATTTCATTTCACTAGACAGTGAACAAAATAACATCAGTAAGCTTTAGAATAGTACTTTATTGTAACTATATTTTATCCAACTTAAATATATACAACCCTTCTATATTTGTGTATCTATCTATCTATGTATGTATGTATCTATCTATCTATGTATCTCTCTCTCTCTCTCTCTTTCTCCAATGCCATATAAGTATAACTATATTTCAACTATATTATCCATACAAATATTTTGGAAGACAACTTTGCCTCAATAATAAGCAAATAATCATTTAAAAAAAAACATTTCTAGGATCTATTTATTCATTCACTTTAAGTGCATCTTATGTGCCAAGCATATAGATACAAAGTAATTAAAGCATAGTCCATGCCACCAAGAAACATACCACATACTGGGATGAATAAGCACAATACTAAGGCCCATTTGGGTAGAGCTCAGAGCTACCAATTGGTGATATGAGAAAGTGGACAAAGATGTGTATGTATATAAATGTTCTCCAGAGGTAACCTTAGTCTGGATCTTAAAATATACAAAGTAGGTGCTAGAAAACCTAACATTTATATCTCATATGTTACTAGTTTTTTACTACCATAGAAACTTGACTTATCTTGCCTTTTCTTAGCTTGATTATTGGTGTACATGAACTGAGACTGATGCATATAGCTGAGGACTCATGACATCAGAAATATTTCGTGGCACACAACTATCTGGGCTGTTTCTCCTCTTTCTCTGTTGACACCCCTTTGGCTCCCCCTAGCCCCTAACTCCCACCCCAGTTACTATTAAGAAGATGCCAAACTAGAATAGGTTATAGAGCAACACTTACTTTTTCTATTATATTCATTTCTACATTCAACTAGTAGATATAACAACAATTTTCTTTAATTAAATCACAAAATCCTATATTTATCTAGAGAGATTATGGGGAATACTGTCTGCCATAGAGGCAGTGGGAGTGTGGGAAAGGGGGCGTATACCGGGGATGTTGGTAAGAATGTGCACTGGTGGAGGGATGGGTATTTGGTTATTGTGTGATTGCAACTCAAACATGAAGGCTTGTAACTATCTCATGGTGATTCAATTTAAAAAAAAAGAATCCTTTATTTATCAGATTCTTTTCTGAATGCATCAAGTCTTTTTTCCTCTAAAGTTTAGTAAAGTGGTGAAATTTATTCTAATAAATAAAAGATTTATGCAAAGGAACCAATAGGGAAAAAAGTACGAGACACTACTTCATCCAATGGTATTCTATCTATAATCTGTCCAGATAACCAAAAAATATTAAGAGAAATTAAGCTTAACAATAAAATAACAAATTAAATCTTAATCTTACCAAACTGCATACCCCAATCTCCAAGGTAATTCATTCTTGTTACCTGATGTCCTAAAGCTTCTTTGAGATTTGCTATAAAATTTCCTAGGAATTAATAAAAGAGTTTATCATTTTTGATCTGTTCTGGTATAAAGACCATATATGATGCTCTATTATCAAGGTATAACAGAAAATTATTTTGGAAAATGCAATAATTTTTTAAACAAACAATATTGTATTTTCATTTATATTGGGGAAAGGGAGTAAGAAATTATTCTTGGACCAGGTATTTCAAAGAATCCTATGGAACAGAATTTTCATCAAAGTTAATGGGAATTGGAAACATGGAGTTCAAGAAATTGCTGCTATTCTAAGCTGCTATCCTTGCAATTGTCCAAGGAGGAAAAAAATGATAGATCTCAGTAATTAACAAGAAATTCTAGGGCAAACTTTTGGATATTTCATGTTCATTTAATCTAGGGATTCCTAAACACTCCAAACTCTATACACTATTCAATACTTTCTAAGAATCTCTTCCTTATTTTACTAGAATGAATTAAATTTTTTCTTAATAATTGTTCACCAATATACAAGGCTGACAATTACTCTTTTATCTGTGGGTGACCACACCTGGCAATGCTTATGGGTTCCTCCTGACTTTGTGCTCAGGAATCTCACTCCATATCCAGGGACCATACGGGATGCCAGGGTTCAAACTTGGGTCTGGCTCCTTATAGCTGACAAATTAATGCACCAACTTATTTTCCAGACTGCCTATTTCTAGATTTTCCCCAATATACCATTCCAGCAAATTAAAAAAAAGAAAAATAAACACCTCTTATTAATAGGAACTACTTTATTTGGCACTCATGAAAGTCTTTCTATTTTGTCTTGTTACTTTATTATCTTCCAAATCCAGCTGAAGGACTTAACTGGGACTTTTGGATTTAGGCTGACTAATTTCATATCTTGGTTCTGTATCTGCCACTTAGGAAAAGAAATTAAAAAAAATTCAATCACTGTGAATTACAAAGCTATTCACGATTGGATTTCAGGTATACAATATTCCAACACCAATCCTTTCACCAGTTTCCACTTCCAGTGTCACTGAATGTCACCAGTTTCCCTCCTGAACCCCTAGGAGGGAAACTTTGCCCTTTTTCTATTTTCCTTTTAGGCACTGTGGTTTACAATACTGTTGATAGGTTTTCATGCATATCACTTTACCTCTGAGGCAAAGACAATTTTGTGTTTAAATTTCCTTGCCCATATGTAAGAGTTAACAATACTTGTGAAACAGAGCTGTTTGTGAAACAGATAATACATTAAAAACATGGTAGATAATAAATAGGCAGTATTATGTATTTAATAAATATTCTTAATTCTAAGTTCCAATATTTTTTATTAACAACTTTTTATCAAACCCCACTAAACATTTTTCTGAAGTCAATCTTGCAATTTATCTTAACTCATGCAGTTTATTTTATACAGTACACTTCTCCTTTTTTGGGTTAGGGTGGGGTGGGTACTCAGGTGATACCATAGGCACCATCAGCAACTCGTGGCCAACCAGGCTGGTAGTTCAATACAAGGGCTCAAGAATGCAATACTGCTCTGGCCCTTCAGTGCTGGACACATCTGGACCACTCTGCTGATGCCGGGCTCTTTCGGTGCCACGCTTTGCCAGGTGTGCTTCATGGGACCTACAGAGCTGCATCTGGTGATACTCAGGGTAACATATAATGCCAGAAATCAAACCGGGTCAGGTGCATGCCTAACTGCTGTCGAACTTGGGCCCTGAGAGTGTTTTTCATTTGGGGGGTGGGAGGACATCAGGACTTATACCTGGTTCTGTGCTCAGGGATCACCCCTGACATGCTTGGAGACCAAATGGAGTGCTGGAGATTGAATATAGGTGGCCATGTGCAAGGCAAACGCCATCCACCATTGTACTATTGCTCCTGTCCCTGTGATTTTTAAATTGGGCAGTTGCATAATGCTATGTTTTAAGCAAATAAAAATATTAAGTGTGTATAAAAACTAAAGTATTAGGACTATTAAGTATTGGAGCAATCTCTCTTTATTAAAATAGTCATTTCACTTTCCATTCTTGATCACTATATTCAGTTCACAAATGACTGATAAGAGAATTTTTAAAAAACAAAAATGAAAAATATAAGGGAATTACTATCATCACTACATGACAGATTTTCACAACTTTCAGTTCTTCATATGCATATATATTCCTTAAAAGTTAGATTCATTATATACACCAGTTGAAACTGGTTTCTGAGATAATCTTTCAGTTTTGAAATATTAATTTTTCCACTTCTAAAACAATTTCCCAATTTCATGTAACATTTAATTACATTTACTTACATCAAACTCATGTACATTAAAACTTTTCTGGTTTCTGTTCTTTTGTTACTTAATTATATTAGTACACATTGCTCGTTATCCTTACACAGTACCCCAAAGGCAAGTTTAGTATTTTCTGTGAAACTAAATTCACTTACCTATGATGGTAGAACGCAAATGTCCAACATGAAATTTCTTGGCAACATTAGGTGAACTACAAATAAATGAAAATGTTATTTTTGTTAGAAGAATAAGAGTTCTGGAATTAACTAGGTCATACTTCCATATTTTTAATATAATTGGCAATAAGGCCTTTGTTAATTAGGGTAAAGATAAGTTAAAAATGAGAAATTTAGAATAAAAGTGAAATAAAAGTTAGAAGATATCCTTAGTGAAATTAATTGTGTGACTTATGAAGTAGTGCCATACACAAAAGTAGTATACCTATTAAGCAGATACATTTAAGGGTTGATAAAGATAAAATAATTCAGCTACTGTTCTGAACAAATAATGTTAATTATTAAGAATAAAGTTTAGGGTACCAATTTTCAAATTCTTATCCTCTTAAAAACTTTTGATGACCCTTCAAATTTTGTTTATATGCTAATGTCTATCAATATTTATAGTATCAGAGAAAACTGATTCACTATTCCAATTCTCAAATGATACATTTATCACATCTCTGATAAATGTATTAAATCTCTCATTTATTATCTTACAGATGAGGGAACCGAGGTAAGAAGGAAAATATATTGGAGCAAATGCTATAATTTCCTTATCACCCTTGAATATGGGTGCTAGTCGGTGGAAATTATACTATTCTTATGAGTTTACCTATGTATGAAAATCTATAAAGTTTTTCAGTATTAAAAATATAAATTAACTTAAAATACTAGCGAAATGTGCAAAACTTAGAGTTAACTTTGATTTGTCTCCAAAGCCTTAATACATATATAAACACACACACACACACACACACACGAAATTATGCACTATAGTACTGTAGCACTGTCTTCCCGCTGTTCATGGATTTGCTCGAGTGGGCACCAGTAACGTCTCCATTGTGAGACTTGTTGCTACTGTGTTTGGTATATCAAATACGCCACGGGGAGCTTGCTAGGCTCTGCCATGGGGGTGGGATACTCTCGGTAGCTTGCTGGGCTCTCCAAGAGGGGTGGAGGAATCGAAACTGGGGCAATCACGTGCAAGGCAAATGCCCTACCTGCTGTGATATCGCTCCATCCCATACACGAAAGCATATAATGAAAAAATAAAACCCTTTGGGTCAGAAAGCTGTATAGCAGGTAAGGTTCTTGGCTTGCAAGTGGCTAACGCGGATTTAATCCCCAGCACTCCATATGGTGCCCTAAACACCACCAGGTCTGGGCTCCCCCGCCCCCAAAAAAAGTTTTTTAAAAAACATTTAAGATCAGCAAATAAAATATTACATGGAAAATAAAATCTTGGGAGAAAGCCAGAGAATCAATGGATGAATGGATAAGGAAGACAGAGAGAGGTCTTAAGTGGTGTAAGTTCAGTCGGGTGAGGGTGAAACAACTAGGTAAGGTGTTAAAAGTAAACATTGATTACAGCTTTTCAATTTTCATAACTTGTAATGGCATTATTGTAAGGATGAGTGCAAGGCAACAGATACTATGCTCCCTTCCTGATTTTCCTTAGCTGCTGGATAGGTAATAGAAAGGAACATAAGACTATTATAGTATAAATTATCCTCCTTAAGAGTTGCATCCTTCAATATACAGAGGTAAATTATGAGAAATTAAAGACAGTCACAAATTCTTTGCCAGTCTTGCCATTATGAAATGGAATCTACTTTTCTTCACCCTGAATCTAGAGTAATTTTATGACTTTCTTTGACCAACAGAAATTATCAGAATTAATATTATGACTGTTTCAAAATCAAATATTTTATTTTTTTGTTTGCTTGGAGTCTTGAGCATCTTTACAAAGAGATGAGAGAAGAGAGAAGGAAGAGAGAGAGAGGAGAGAAAACAAAAAGAGTGAGAGTGAGTGTGTGTGTGTGTGTGTGTGTGTGTGTGTGTGTGTGTGAGAATCTTGCTTTGCTAAGAAATATGGTCAGAACCACCAAATATATAAGCCATCTAAATTTCAAGATCCAGCATCGTCTCTACATTACCAAAGCTGCATCATCAACCACAGGTAACCAAAAACCAACTAAATAAAACAAACCAATGAGCTACATCTTCATTATTCCACATCCCTATTTCATTACTCATTAAACTTATCAACATCAAAATGTTTATTGTTTCAAGACACTTTTTAGGAGTTTCTAAATATCTTCTCAAAGAGCTATTTAGTAAGAAAATATTTTAGACTTGCAGACTATCTAGTTTCATCTTAACTGTTAAATTGTATTCAAGTACAATTGAAGATAATATATAGAAAATATTACAAGCCTAGTAAAACTGTTATAAAAATATTTATGACTTTTTGCGTCATACTTGGCGCGCTGGGTGCTATTCCCAACTCTGTTGCTCCCAGAAGTGCTCAAGGAACTATGAGGTATTAGAGATAAAATCAGGGCCTCTGGCATAAGAAGCATGTACTCAGTCATTGAGCTCTCTGGTTCCAATGCAATACGTAATTTTAAACTCAACTATAGGTATCACAGTTGAGGTGCACAAGTTGCATAATAGATATTCATAATATCTCTCTGCTCTACAGAAGAATAAGCTCACTCAGCAATTGGTTCTTATAAAAAAATAGGTACATTAACAAAGCCTTGGAAGCCCTGCCTATCCGAGAACAGAAGTCAATGGCAGAGACAGTGTGAATGTAAAATCCATAAAACATATTCTTCTGAATATCCAGGTGGTCAAATATTCAGGTGGTAATCATGGCTCAAGTTTATTTTAGCAATAAAAAATTATGATGAGTATAAATTATAATTTCTCATACCCATTTTTAAAATCCTACACAACAAGCAACTTTCTGCAGAGATGGTCCGGGAGTTTGCAATAGGCCTTTTCCACTAGGCTGCTCCAGAGGGGGGCAGATGTTGTTCCCCTGCCTGCCCTCTAAGAGCTCTGGCAGCTGCCATTTTCTAAAAGTCAGCCAGAAGCTCCAGGTATGAGTCGTGGTGACTACAAATTCCAAGTCTCATAGGACTGGGTAGGAGTGGGCACTTCTTACCCCCCGCCCAGATGGGACTCTGAGATGACACCACATCCGCCCATGTTCTACTTAAGCTCCCACACAGCCATGATCCAGAGACACACAAATGAATCTCGGACCTGAGCAACTTGCTGCAGCGATTTCTTCAGATCCTAAGTATTTAAATCTTAGAATTCCTAGAGACATTATATTAAATCCGTAACAAGCAATACAAAACACACACCGTCTAGCATTGCATTTTTGGCAGGTATGAGGACTGGTTTTGAAATATCGAAGGTAACTAAAGTACAGAAAGAGTATTTTACAAATTGTCTGCCACACAGGCAGGGGGAGGTGTGGAATGGAGGGGTTGGGGGAATACTGGGGATTTTGGTGGTGGAAAACGTGCACTGGTAAAGGGATGGGTGTTTGATGACTGTATGATCGAAGCTCAAACATGAAATTTTTGTTAGTGTGCCTCACGGTGAATTAAAAAAAAATCCTACACAAAAATACAAACATATAGGGGTTGGAGAATACAGCAGGTGAGATGCTTACCTTGTGTATAGGCAACTACATTCTATTCATGGCATCACATATGATCCCTTCTAAGCCTTGCCAGGAATGACACTGAGCAGAGTTAGGGGTAAGCTCTGAGAAAGGCCATACAAAAATAAAGCCTCTAACAAATTCTCTTTTTTTTTTCCCTTTATTTTATTTTATTTTTTTTAAAGTTGTAGATTTACAATTTTTTGTGCTTTGGTTTCAATTATACAATGATCAGATACCCATCCCTCCACCAGTGCCCATTTTCCACCACCATGGATAATATCCCTCCCACCCCCATCCCCCCATCCCCCCTGTCTCTGTGGCAGGGCAATCCCCTGTGTTCTCTCTCTCCTTTTGGGTGTTGTGGTCTGCAAAAGAGGCATTGAGTGGCAAACATGTTCAGTCCATAGTCTACTTTCGACATGCATCTCCCCTCCTGGGAGGATCCTCCAAACATCCTTTATTTGGTGCTCCCTTCTCTATCTGAACAGCCCTTTCCTCTAGGATACCCGGCTGGCCTCTAAGTTATGGAGTAATCCTCCTGGTGCTGATCTCAGCTATTCTTGGGTATTAATCTCATACTTTGTTACTTTATATCCCCCAGATGAATGCAATCTTTCTATGTCTATCCCTCTCTTTCTGACTCATTTCGCTTAGCATGATACTTTCCATATTGTACCACTTGTATGTAAATTTCATGACTTCATCTTTTCTAAGAGCTACATAGTACTCCATTGTGTAGATGTACCAAAGTTTCTTTAACCAGTCATCTGTTCTTGGGCATTCAGGTTTCTTCCAGTTTCTGGCTATTGTAAAGAGTGCTGCAATGAACAAACAAGTGCAGATGTCACTTCGACTATACATTTTTGCCTCTCTGGGATATATTCCCAGGAGTGGTATTGCTGGGTCAAATGGGAGCTCAATTTCTAATTTTTTGAGAATCGTCCATACTGTTTTCCAGAAGGGCTGAACCAGTGGACATTCCCACCAACAGTGAAGGAGTGTCCCTTTCTCGCCACATCCACGCCAGCATCGGTTGCTTTTGTTCTTTTGAATGTGGGCCAGTCTCTGAGGTGTGAGATGGTATCTCATTGTGGTTTTGATCTGCATCTCCCTGATGATTAATGATGTAGAGCATTTTCTCATGTGCTTTTTTGCCATTCGGATTTCTTCTTTGAGAAAGTTTCTGTTCATTTCATTGCCCCATTTTTGGATGGGGTTGGATGTTTTCTTCTTGTGGAGTTTAACCAGTATTTTGTATATCCTGGATATCAACCCCTTGTCAGATGTGTATTCGGTGAATATCCTTTCCCATTCTGTAGACTGTCTTTGTATTTTGGTCACTGTTTCTTTGGAGGTGCAGAAGCTTCTTAGTTTAAGATAGTCCCATTTATCTATCTCTGTTTTCACTTGCTCGGCCAGTGGCGTGGCATCTTTGAAGATACCATTAGCTTCAATGTCATGGAGGGTTTGCTGTTCAATATAGTACTGGAAGTACTTGCAATAGCGATTAGGCAGGAAAAAGATATTAAGGGCATTCAGGTAGGAAAGGAAGAAATCAAGCTCTCACTATTCGCAGATGATATGATACTCTACTTAGAGAACCCAATAACTTCCACCAAAAAACTCCTAGAAACAATAGACTCGTATAGTAAAGTTGCAGGTTATAAAATCAATACCCAAAAGTCCATGGCTTTCCTATACGCAAACAGTGAGAGAGAAGAAAGCAACATGAAAAAAAACAATCCCATTCACAATTGTGCCCCAGAAAATCAAGTACCTAGGAATCAGCTTAACTAAGGAAGTAAAGGACCTGTACAAAGAAAACTACAAAACGCTACTTCGGGAAATCAAAGAGGACATGAGGAAATGGAAAGATATCCCCTGCTCATGGGTCGGGAGACTTAACATTGTCAAAATGGCAATACTACCGAAAGCATTGTATAAATTCAATGCAATCCCTATAAGGATACCCATGATATTCTTCAAAGAAATGGAGCAAACACTCTTGAAATTTATATGGAACAATAAGCCCCCATGAATAGCTAAATCAATTCTTGGGAAAAAGAAAATGGGAGGAATCAACCTCCCGAACTTCAAACTGTACTACAAAGCAGTAATAATTAAAACAGCATGGTACTGGAACAAAGGCAGAACTGCAGACCAATGGAACAGGGTTGAATACACTGACATCTCTCCTCAATCATATGCTCATCTAATCTTTGATAAAGGTGCAAGTAATGTGAAGTGGAGTAAGGAAAGCCTCTTTAATAAATTGTGTTGGCATCACTGGACGGCTACATGCAAAAAAATAGGCTCAGAACTCTGCCTAACACCATGTACAAAAGTAAGATCAAAATGGATTAAAGACCTCCACATCAGACCAGAAACCATAAGGTACATTGAAGACAAATTCTCTTTTTTAACGTGGAATAAGTTCATCAAGACTTTTCTTCAGCTCTTAGGAAGGCAAATATAATAACTCTGATAATTTTCATGAGCTGATACCCTGCCAAGTATACTATGCAAGTGTTTGCTTTTCTTTCGTGGCTCATTAAAAAAATGACTAAATTTGGGCTAGAGAGATAGTACAGAGGGTAAGGCGCATGCCTTGCACATGAATGACCTATGTTTAATCTCCAGTATCCCATATGGTGCCCGGAGCAATGCCAGGAGTAATTCCTCAGTGCAGAGTCAGGAGTATTCCTGAATATTGCTGATTGTGGCTGCCCCTGTCCCCAGACTTAATTTACACGTTTGTTGTGAAGACTATTTATTTATTTATTTTTGGGGGGGTCACACCCGGCGATGCACAGGGGTTACTCCTGGCTCATGCACTCAGGAATTACTTCTGGCCGTGCTCAGGGGACCATACGGGATGCTGGGAATCGAACCCGGGTCTGCCGCTGTGCTAGAGAAATGCCCTACCCACTGTGCTATCACTCCAGTCCCAATGAAGACTATTTAAAGGTGTATTTTAGGTCATTAAAAATATTTACAGGGAAAAACAAAAGAAAAAAATATTTACAGGGGGCTGGAGTGATAGCATAGTGGGTAGGGTGCTTGCCTTGCATGTGGCCTACCCAGGTTTGATTCCCAGCATCCCATATGGTCTCCCAAGCACCGCCAGGAGTAATTCCAGAGTGCAGGAGCCAGGAGTAACCCCTGGGCATTGCTGAGTGTGACCCAAAAAGAAATAAAAATTACATTAAAAATACAAAGTGGTATTCTTTGATTATCAAATTAAAATTCTAAATCCTGTAGTATATATTATCTCTCTGCAAACACCTATCAAAATGAAGAAGTTTTTCTAACAAAGTGACTGTCAAATATCTAATTTAAAACTTTGAAAACTGGACAGGGATGTAAGTTCAGTTGTAAAGCACCTGCATTACATGTTATGAGAAGCTCTGGGTTCAATTCCCAGGACTGCAGGGGTGAGGGAATAAAAGCCAAAAAGAAAAAAGAAACATAATTATTTTAGTCCAAATTTTAACTATGCCCCAAATTTTTAATTTAAAGTTTAATAATCAATTCTCTGTGGTTTTAAGAAAATACACTTTCACTGCTTTTCAATTTTCTACATGTAGCTTCATGAGACTCCAGATAATAATGATGAATGAATGCATTTACATACTCAGCCAGCTCAATTAACCAACACATAAAATGGCTAAACCCTTACCTGAATTCAATCACAATTTTTTTTTGAGGAAGACCAGAAAAAAGCTCACTTTTTAATCCGTATTTTGAGCCATCTTCGATTACTTGTTGTAACACAGTCTGAAAAAGCAAAAGGCATGGAATTTAATGACAGTCAATTTAAATTTTCTTAATTATGTTCACCCTAATTTAAGGAACTAAGAACTTTACATTACTGACAGCTGCACTACCTTCTGTTGTTAATGTTAGTCAAAATGGTAGTAATGAACTAATCAATGGAGGGAGGTATTTGTGTACTTTTATGTCATGTCTATTTATCTGTATAAAAACCCAAGATAACAGATTTTTAAAGATGAAGAAACTGAAGTTTAAGAGGGTAAACACCAGTACAACAGCAAGTATTAACAGTAAAACCAGTAGCAGCACATAGTATTTATTAAACAAAAGGTGCCAGGCACTACTGTAAATAGTTTATGTTAACTCATTTAATTTCCACAACAACTCAGAGATGTTTTATTTTTGTTTTTAAAAAAGGAGACAGACACACAGAGAAGTTAAATAACTTGCTCAAGATCCAAGGTCAAACTATTTAAGTCATGTCAAAAAAATCTTTCTCACTTCTTTGAAGTTCATCTGTTAACTAATACTACTACTGCCACTTTTATGATACTAATAGTCATAAACAATGGTAGAAAAAAATATGTCAGCTGGCCAAATAAGTGAAAAACCAAGGCAATGTCACAGAACTGCCGGAATACATTGCAGATTAATATTAATTGTTGAGACAGAACTACTATAGAGTTCACATAGTTCATGATTTTACTTACTGGTAATAGTGATGAGGTAATTATGCATGTATTTGTTTTATAGCATATACTTTTTGTTTTTTTATGGTTTCAGAGATAGATCCCAGTGTTTCATGCATGTAAGAAATATGCTCTACCCATGAGTTACATTCTTGGGGCTGAAATGAAAGTACAGTGGGTAGGGCTCTTGCCTTGCATATGGTCAACCCAGGTTAAATCCCCAGCAACTCATTGGTCCCCTGAGCCTGCCAGGAGTGATCTTTGAGTGCAGAACAAGGAGGAAGCCCTGAGCCATACCAGGTGTGGCCCCCCAAAACCATATATACATGGTTTTTATAGACATACATATATGTTGATATATATATATATATATATATATATATATATATATATACACACACACACATATACATATACACATAATAGAGGCACATTTAATACTCCTTTTTCAAACAGTGGGTCATCACTGCTTCTGGAATGTATTTTTACTCATAGTAGCCCTGCTGAGTGCACAGTGGATAATCTGTTCCTATAATGAAAGTAATATAAGTCACGGTCACGGTCCTCCCGTTGTTCATCTATTTCCTCGAGCGGGTCCAGTAACGTCTCCATTGTGACAGCTGTTACTGTGTTTGGCATATCGAATAGTCACGGGGAGCTTGCCAGGCCTTGCCGTGGGGGCAAGATACTCTTGGTAGCTTGCCAGGCGCTCCGAGATGGGCGGAGGAATCGAACTCGGGTCGGCCATATTGGCTGTGTGCAAGGCAAACGCCCTACTGCTGCGCTATCGCTCCAGCCCAATGAAAGTAATAGATTCAGATAATCAAGGACACAGTTAAAAATAGATTTTCATGTGCAAAAGAATCGCAATTCTGACTTCTGCTCTTCTGTTGTCATAGAAGGATTGTGAATATATTTGAAAAATGAGCTATGGGTATCCTTAAAATAAAAAAAAAGCATAAAAATTCACGGTCAATTAAAAATTTAATATAAATGCCACGCCTTGAAATATAAGCCATAGCTCTCTCAATTAAGCAGACTAAAAAGAAAAAACTATCACAGGCACTTTCCTATTTCAAGAAAAATACCGCTGCCTACGAGTAGTTTGAAAAGCACTTTGTCAAGCTGCATTTCACGGCTATAAAATAAATAAATAAATAAATAAATAAAAACACCTGAGATAACAACTGGCAAAGTCACTAATCTCAAAATACTTAATTCGACTCAGTTGTTTAGTAAGTTGACATGAAATCTGATCAAGAGCAGACAACCTGTAGATACATTTCAATAACTTCAAGATAAGCTTCCCTTGGGGCCAGAGAGATAGCACAGCAGGCAGACACTTGCTTACACACAGCCAACTGGGGTTCAATCCCCATGTGGTCATGAGCCCTGCCAGGAATGATCTCTGAGTGGAAAGCCAGGAGTAAGCCCTGAGCACTGTTGGGTGTGGTGCAAAAATTGAAAAAAAGAAAGAAAACCAATAATAAAAAAGGAAGCTTCTATCTTGTCACTGTGATTTGTTTGGTGAACTAATTAAATGAAAAACAATGTAAGATCATTGTAATTACAGTAAGTTTTGCCAAGGAGGGAAACAGTGCTTTGTGGGCAAACAAATGAAGGGGTTAGAAAAGAATGTTAAGGAAAAAGCACTATTGGGATGAGTTAAGCGTTGACTTGGGTGGAACTACAGGCAGAAGGACTGGAATGTGCAAAAATTTTTGAGACAACACAGATTGAAGAACTGAGGAAGACCACTTATAGCTAAAGCAGAGAGTGAACTACGATATAACAGCTGGAACATAACATTCTTTTTCTTGTTAGGGTGAGGGCAGGGCTTGGCCACACCAATGATGCTCAGAGCTTACTCCTGGCTCTACCCTGAGAGATTACTCTTAGCAGAGTTCAGGATAACAAACGCAATGCTGGGTATCCAATAATCCAACCTTTTTTGTTTTTGCTTTTTTTTTGGGGGGTGACATCCAGTGGTGCTCAGAGCTCATTCATTTCTGGCAGAGCTTAGGAAACCATATGCAGAATGGGGAATCAAACAACCTGTTAATATTTGGGTTTTGCTGTTTTGTTTCTGTGTCACACTCAGGCCCAGTGCCAACGGATCACTCATGGAACTGCTCAGGGGACGATATGAAGTGCTGGGGGTTGTACTGGGGTCAGTTGTGAGCAAGGCAAGTGCTTTAACTCCTGTACTATTGTCTGAGACCCCAAATAATCCATTCTTACCTTTGTTAATAGTTCTCTGTTTATTTTGAAATTTACAGTTCCTTCACCAGTGCTTATTTCACTCACCACTGTATCACATTTTAGCTAAAAAGATATCAAACAAAATAGTGAGTTTGAAAATAGATCCTATGAAATCTATAGTTCTAATATCAATTTGGGTAAAAAGGAAGCATCTCATATTCATCTCAGTCTCATGTGTTTTCTCCCATTCTGTCTTGACCCAGCCACAGCCAGCCTCTTTGGCCAGCCACTGTTCTATTCATTCTATTTAGGGAAACATGTTCTCTTCTTTTTCTGACTAGAAGGCAAATTTTCTCTCCCCTTTTCTCATTTTTCTCACCTCAAATTCTTGATCTTGTTTTCATCTCTATCCTATGTACCCTGACCTGTAATAAACTCTACCTTATTCACCCTTCATGCCAACCACAGAACATGGCAGTCTGTTAGATTGTGTCTAAAATAATAATTTACTTTGAGATTTTTTTTTCCCAGGGGGTGGGGGATTTTTTTGGCCACACCCAGCTGTGTTTAGGGTTTACTCCTGGCTCCACACTTAAAAGATTACTTCAGACTGGGCTCAGGGGACAACAAGCAGTGTCAGGAATTAAATCCTGGTCAGCTGAGTGCAAGGCAAACCTCTTACTCCCTGTACTATCTCTCTGGCACAAATGTAAATAATTTAAGTGCTTTTTCTTTAATGAATATGCCTTAGAATTTTAATAAAACGTTCAAAGCAGCAAATAAACCTGCAGAACCTGAAGAGGTATCTATTTCCAGTAAAGAGTCACTAGTCTTCTCCTTAAAAAAAAAAAAAGTTTTAAGGGAAGGCTTTGGGTTATATTTGGTGGTACTCAGGTATCAATCCTTGTAGTGCCAGGGATTAAACTAGGGATAGGCCATGTGTAGGGGTGGTGTGTATTTAACCCATGTACTATCTCTCCAGCCCCTGGTCTTTATATCAGAGAACACACAAAAGGTGGAAGGAAAGAAAATTAAATATTATAATCAAGATAATTCTCCTTGAATAATGTAAATAATTTGACTTCTGGTGTACTTATTACAAATCTGTAGTAATTTTGCAATCAAATTAGTACTTAACCACTCTATTTAATCATGCTCAATCTTTAGCCCCTTCCCTGTTCACACTCCTCCCCCACTCCTCACCTCCCCCAGTGCAAGGGACTGCTCTTGTGGGCCTTACACATGCAGTCTTCCAGTGGGCCACACCCTAGTTCTCTACATATTTTTCTGATAATAACTTTTATTGTTCAAGTTCTTCAGAATACCCAGAGACCTCCTCTATCCCATGTAATAACAATTTATGAAGAAATACTTGAGCCAACATCTGCCTTTTCTGATGGTATTACACTAACAAGTTAGAGTTGGTCATTATCCATAATCCTTTCAATTACTCTTGGATGATAAATCCATCAGAGAAATTAGAAATGGAGAGATTTATTAAAGCATTTAACCACTTCTCTGCAATCATGGTTCTATTTATATCTAATCACTGCTACTCATATTTAATGTTCATCTCAGAAACTCATTTTAAACTGCAACCCAGTGCTTATTCATCAAGCTTGTTCTCCTAAATTCAGAACTTCATTCAGCTTCAATCTGTAAATTTAATTAACACTTCAGTTCTCCTGCAAGCTGTTAAAAATTGAATAATGTCAGCTGAAAAAGAATGCCTTTATTACCAATCTGAAATAACATCCTAAGCTTTCAATACATGGTTAAAATGAATTTAAATTATATTTTTCAGAGTGTCCTGAACAAAGAACATTATTAAGCTATTATGGCAAAGCTAGCTGCAGAGTATTATTTTCTGTATAATAAGTTTATTGTAATGTCAAAATAGAAACAGTGCTAAAAGTACCTTCTCTGCCAATCTAATGGCTTGATCTTGAATGTTTGGTCTCGAATGGTCATCACTGCTTTTTAATAGAGAATCCACAGAAAGCTGAAAATCAGCTACTTCTCTAGACAGACATTGAAATAAGGAAAGGTTATTGTTACATTAAAAACATTACTAGTGCAACAACAAAAAAAGAACTAATCACATGGTTTCTCCACAATTTTACCAGTAGAATATTCTATTATTTCAAAATATTAAGCAAATAAATTAGAAATGTTACTTTTGTATGTATTTAAAACTTTATCTTGTATCATCTTACAAAATCTTCCTACATATTTATTTCCCAACTGTAGCTTTATGAAATTCATGAATTAGAGTAGTCAACTTATTTTAAAGAGATCAATATACGAAAAGCTCAATGTTTCCCTTAAAATCCTACCACAATTAATAAGCAGACTCAAAAGGTCAGATCTTGATTTTTTAAATTATGATTCTTCCACTAAATACTTGATTCCTCTCAATCTTTTCTACTGATTTCCAAATGATCAAAACAAAGATATTTTAAATATTGCAATGTTATTCGAATTTCAATATAAGAAAACGTTTTTTGTTATTGTTTGACGAAAATTCTTTCACGGGAGGTGGGTGTGGAAAATGGGGAGGGGGGAGACAGGAACACACTAGACAGCAATAAGGGGCTATTCCTGGCTTTTGTTGCTTGGGGGACGATGCAGTGCTAGGTATCAAGCCGACATTTTCTGCATAAAAAATATGCTTTGAACTAACTCTTCGGTATCTCTAGGATTACTATTTTTAAAAAATTTCATTTACTGAGAAAATATTGGTTTATAAGAGAGAAAAAACATCTAGATCTACAGGTTTTTCAAATATCCAGGAAACACAATGTGGCAAAATGATTTTCTGCAAGCAACTTAAAAAACTGTAAATAGCAGAAGGCACACATAATTTATTATACATGAAATATAGGGGCTGAAGAGACAGTACTGCAGGTAAGGTGTTTGCTTTTCATACAGCTGACTCAGGTTCAATCTCTGGCATCCAATACTGTTCCCCAAGCATTGTCAGGAGTAATTCCTGCGTGCAGAGTCAGGAGTGACCCCTTAACACCGCGGGGTGTGGCGCCAAACCCCAAATTTAAAATACAAATTTAAAAAGAAAAAGAAAAATGAAACTAATTCAATTAAAAATTTTTATGATTTCAACAGAATCACATTATTTCCAATCAGTTCAGTATTTGAAGGACCAAGTGAAAATTTTTCTTTTAATCTCTTAATAATGACTAATACCAACTTATTTTTTTAGTATTTTATTTTTTAAAGAACCGAATTTGCAGTTACTAATAGCTGTGTTTTAAACATATAGTACTTCAACACCAATCCCACTACCAGTGTCAACTTTCCTCCACCAGTATTCCCATATTCCCTCCCTACCCAACACCTGCCCTATCCCCACCTGTCAACTTGACAGGCACATTACAAAGTTTCAGTGTCTGCAGCTTAGATCTCAAGTTTTCACTTTTGCTGAGTCTGTATTTTGGATATACGGCTCTACCACTTACCCATATCACCAGTATAAGTGAAGTACTGATGCATACTATCCTTTACTTTCCATTCTCTTTCCCCCCTTGATTCTTTCTTTCTCTATCCTTCTTCACTCTAAACACTACGGTGAAGGGTGATCCAGGCATCCCTCTTTTGTTGTAGTACATTTCCTAACTCAGTATTCTCTATATTGAAGATAACTGAGATCATCCTGTGTTTTTCTTCTTCTGGCTTATTTCATCCAACATGATGTCTTCTAGTTCCATCTACATTATAGCAAATTGCATGAATTTATCATTCCCTGCAGCTGCATTGTGTATATATAATACATCTCCATGATTCATTCATCTGTCATTGGACACTTTGGTTGATTCCATATCTTAGCTACTACACCGAGTGTAGCAATGAATAACTGTGTGCATATCTCCTGTTAAGAGTGTTTTTATGCCCTGGAGGTAGATGCCCCCAAATGGAATTGCTAGGCATATGGCAGTTCAATTCTAAGTTTAATGAAAATTCTCCATACTGTTTTCTAAAGGGGTTGTACCAGACAACATTCCACCAGCAGTGGATGAGAGTTCCTTTTTCACTATTGTGAAAAACACAGATTGTTCCTACAATTTTTGATATGTGCCATTCTCACTGATGTGTGGTAGTATCTTGTTGTTGTCTTGATTTAGATTTCTCTGATGACAAGTGATGTTGAGCATCTTTACATGTGCCTACTGGTCATTCACCTGTCTTCTCTGAGACGTGTCTCTTAATTTCTTCTCCCCAGTTTTTTAATAGGGTTTTTCAATTATTTTTTGATGATCTTTTTGAGTATTTTATATATCCTGAATATTAAACATTTACCTGATGCATTGAATGAAAATATTTTTTCCCATTTTAGTAATACCAACTTATTAAGCTAGATATAGTTAAAGTATGTTTTATGAAATTATGTGATGCATTTGCCAATAAAAAAGGCAAAGAGAAAAGCAAATATTTTCAGGATTGGGAGTGAAAATCAACTGACTTAACCTAATTCCCACTTTTGTATTTTTTTACATTTTATTGAATCACCATGAGATAGTTAAAAGCTTTCATGTTTGGGTTATAATCACACAATGATCAAACACCCATCCCTCCATCAGTGCACATTTCCCACCACCAATATCCCCAGTACACCCCCCCTCCTTCCCACACTCCCCCTGCCTCCACTGAAGACAATATTCCTCATGCTCTCTCTTTACTTTTGGGCACTATGGCTTGCAATACAGACATTGAGAGGTTATCATTTTTGGTCCTTTACTTTAAGCACACATCTCCCTTCCCAACTGGTTCCTCAAGCCATCATTTTCTTAGTGATCCCTTCTCCATTCTAGCTGCCTTCTCCCCTTTGCTCATGAGACAGCCTTCCAGCTATGGAGCAATCTTCCTGTCCCATGTATCTACTATCCTTAGGAGTCAGCCTCATGTTATGTTGTTTTATACTCCACAAATGAGTGCAGTCCTTCTAGGTCTGTCCCTCTCTTTCTGACTCATTTCACTTAGCTTGATACTCTCCACTTCTATTCATTTATAAGCAAATTTCATGACTTCATCTCTCCTAATAGCTGCATAGTATTCCACTGTGTAGATGTACCAAAGTTTCTTTAACCAGTCATCTGTTCTAGGGCACTTGGGTTGTTTCCAGATTTTGGCTATTGTCAACAGTGCTGCAATGAAGAGGTAGGTACAGATGTCATTTCTACTGTGCTTTTTTTGCATCCTCAGGATATATTCCCAGAAGTGGTATTGTGGGGTCATATGGAAGCTCAATTTCTAGCTTTTGAAGGACTGTCCATATTGTTTCCCAGAAAGGCTGGACTAGTGGGCATTCCCGTCTACAGTGAAAGACTGTCCCTTTTTCCCCACATCCACGCCAGCTCTGGTTGCTTTTGTTCTTTTGAATGTGTGAATTCACAGTTTTTGCTTTGCAGAGCTTTAAAGTATATATTCACAAGGGATTTTTTTTGATAATTTAAAGAATTCTTGAGTGTAAATTATATATAAAAGCAGAACTGAAAATTACTTATAGGATCACCAATGTAGGGGGAGGAGAGGTTGTTAACCTTTATCATTTATCCTTTGCTAAAAGAATCTGCCAAAATAAAAAAAAAGGCACAAGGTCAAGGGAAAAGGGTTGAAAAATCATAGACAGTAGCTTTTGTTTTTTGGGCTACAGCTTGTGGAGCTTGGGGGAAATCATATATAGTATCAGGGATCAGATCAAATCCAAGTCAGACACATGCAAGGCAAATGATTTACCCAATCTGCCCCAGATGGTAGTTTTTTACCATGTTTTTAAAAAAGGTTTCAAAGATTTAAGGAGAAAGATTAAAAACACAACTTATTTATATCACATATTCTTCTAGAGTAAGATTACAGTGTCCCCAGAATAGGCAAACACCATTCTTTGGGGGGTGCTGGAATGATCCAAGGGGATGGCAGTAGCCTGGGAAACAATTGGGGAATAACTTTGTGTTGTTTTTCTTAAAGGACAGATTTCCCTGGTGGGGTAGCACTGTAGCACTGTCTCCTGTTGCCTTTTCAGTATATCTGAGTGTTGGGGTAAAATCTCAAATAATAATGGTGGGTCTGGTGTCTAAATATTGAATGTGATCAAAGTAGAGAGAGAGTAATGTGGAAATCATCTGCCCCACAGTTAGGGGGAGGGTGTGGGATGGGGGTATAATGGGATTGTTGGGGGTGGAGAATGGGCACTGGTGAAGGTACGGGTGTTTCATTTGATGACCGAGACTTAGACCCAATAGCTTTGTAACTGCTCTCACGGTGATTCAATAAATAGAATTATAAAAAATAAAAAAAAGTAAGGTGGAGTTCATGCACAATTCAATCAGCTCATCAGTGGCTAAATAAATAGCAGTACTCCTACATTAAAAAACAAAAGAGTGAATCCCATACTCTTGAGGATTACTGTCTTATAACAAAGTTATTAGTCTTGTCTATTCTAATCAGTTTTATGTGTAAATTTCACCATAGTTATAACCTATTCAAGAGAATTGGGAAACTAGAGAAAATTATTCACAGCATATTAAATAAATGAAACTAATAAAAATAGTATTTCTTAATTCTACTGGCACAGCACTTTAGAATAAAGTTAGAAATACAAGTTAGCTTGTTCTTAGTATTATAAAGCATTCTCAACTTTATTATGGTGGTGTATTCTGTTTGTTTTACAGAAATTTAATGTACTTTTTTGTTTGTTTTTGGGTCACACTCGGGAGTGCTCAGGGATTACTTCTAACTGCATTCTGGGATCACTCCAGAGGAACTAGGGGCACCATATGGGATGTTGGGGAGTGAACCTGTATTGGCCCATGCAAAGCAAGCACCCTACTTGTTGTTCTATCATTCTGGCTTCGACATACAGATTTTTTGACTTGTAGACTAAAGAAACTGAGGTCTCTGCATATTTTCTATAAACCTGTATTTAAGACTATTTAATACCTGTATTTAAGACTATTGGTGCAGCTCAAGGGCTCCAGGCAAGTGAAGAAAATTGTATTCAAAAGATGGGTCAGGGGCTGGAATGATAGCACTGCGGTAGGGCATTTGCCTTGCATGTGGCCGACCCAGGTTTGATTCCCAGCATCCCATATGGTCCCCCAAGCACCGCCAGGAGTAATTCCTGAGTGCAGAGCCAGGAGTAACCCCTGAGCATCACCAGTGTGCCCCCCCAAAACAAACAAACAAACAAATAAAACAAAGGATGGGTCAGGGACCAGAGTGATAGTACAGTGGGGAGGGCATTTGCCTTGCATGTGGCTGACCTGGGTTTGATCCCCGGCATCCCATATTGTCCCCCAAGCACTGCCAGGAGCCAGGAGTAATTCCTGAGTATAGAGCCAGGAGTAGCCCCTGAGCATCACTGGGTGTGACCAAAAAAAAAAAAGGGTCAGGCCTTTTGTAAAGGACTCTTACATAAAGACCTCTGAAACGAATGTATGCCCTTTATGCAAAATATCATGTATAGATTTTATTGAATATGTCAGTCGTATGAAACATTATCAACTTATATATAATTATGAGGTTCTCCCAAATGAATATTTACCTCAGTTCTTAGAACTCAATACAGTGTTACGCAAGGAATCAGGATAAGGAAAGAGACCACTCTCATGATGCAAAAGAAAGGAATTTTATTGCTAGCTTGAGCTAGGGTCCAAGTTCCCACTGAAACAGGTCTCAGGACAAGGACCCCGACTCTAGTTTTAGCACACATTATATAGCATATGGTTACATAAGCTGCACATACTTTGTGGTCTAACAGTCATTATTCTTGGCACACAAGGTGCTGATACGGGGCATGGTGTTGGCCGGGTTCTCCCACTGGGTCCCAAAATTTGTCTTGTGATGACTGATTGTTTCATTTCGAGGAAACTGCAACTGCCCATTTCCAAAACTGGGGTCTAGCTAATTTTAAAACTTTTATCACTCTCAATGGTGTTTCCTCTGACAATGTAACTGGCCCAAGTCTTATATTTTAAAACTTATTCTTTCAATGAGTTGTTTCAATTGGCCATTATAAAGTGCTCTCTTTCATAAGATCTTATATATAGCCTTTCTCTCCCTTTTTGATTTACCACTTTATTCCTTTCTGGAAGCATGACTACTCATCTTACTTTAGCTTAAAGACCTGAAACAGTTAAGGGGAAACAACATGAGAACTATGGGGTCAAAAAGTTAGTACAGGGGTTAAGGTACTTGCCTTACATTCTGAACCAAGACCAGTTCAAAACCCTGCCACTGCATATGACCCCCTAAGCACCAGTAGCGGTGGACCCTGAACACTATTAAATTTGGCCCCAAACTTAATAGTTAATCCCCAAATGGTTTAATGTTACTGTTAATTACATCTTTTTAAAATATTTCTAAAGGTTTATGGCTTAAATGTCAACTATGTAGTTAAATTCTTTCCATACTAATTAAACATTTTTATCCAAGTACTCAAGTTCTGGGCACAAAAAAACGATAAGCAAATACATAAAGAGAAAGGAACTTCATCCAAAAAAGGAACTAGTTGTTGTATGTAGTTGTTTCTATCACTAGCTTTCCTCAAAAAGGAAAATAAACATTGCCTCCTCCAACTACAAAAAAACCACCTGGAGAATATGGTGGTACCTTTATTCAAGTATCAGACAGGTATATAACCTTCAAGATCCCATCAAAAACTTTGACATTCGAAGGGGTAGAAATATATAGTACAGTTAGTAAGTTTTTGCCTTACACATAGCTGATTAGGGTTCGGTCCCCAGCACCCCATATTGGAAATGGCCACTTGAGCATTTCCAATATGGGGTGGTTCCTCGAGTCCCACCGGGAGTGATCCCTGAGCACAAATAAATCCTTAGCACCATCGGGTATGGCCCCAAAACAAAACCAAAACAAAACAAAACAAAACAACAACCAAATAAAATTTAGAAAAAAGAGAAAAGCTAACAAAAAAAGTTGACATTCTAACAACAACCTTAGTTCTTTTATTTGTAATCCAGATTAAATTTAATCCTCAATCCTAAAATACTTATTTCAAAGGAATATTCTGGGCTGGGGAGAGAGTACAACCAGCAGGGCACTTGCCTTACATGTACTTACCTGGATTCTAAACCTAGCACCCCTTCTGGACTTCACTCACCCTGCCTGAAGTGACCCCCTCAAGTGCATAGCCATGACCCAAACCCCGCCAGGTGTCCTGCCCCATCCCCCCTCCCCAAAAAATGAAAACGCAATAAATTGAAGGGGTAACAATTTATTCTTCCTTCTTATATACTGACAGGGTCAGTATATGATTGGTCTCTCCAAAGGGGATTAGATTGGTCTTTTCCAAAATGCTCAAGTGGCCATTTCCAATTTGTACCTTAGTAAAAATAATTGTCAACTGAAGCCCTGTTATCATTACTTAAATAATGCAAATTATCTAGGGAACTCTCTTGAAATAAGCTATTCACGGGAGTAACTAACCCACCTTAAAGCAGAGTATCCAGAGGCAAGGTTTTATCACATGAAGCCACCCATTCCTTGTCATGTGAAATCCTATTTTTTTCTCCTGAGACCCCTGGACCCCTTACCTCAGACAGGATTTATACTCTTGCCTGATTGAAGTGGGGACCTACATATTCACTGGTACTCTCCTATGTGTTATTAAATTGAATTTTCTTTTGCTAATCTATCTGATGCTGTTTTGCCCAGCCCGAGAAGAACCCAGAATGGTAAAGTATTTCCATGAACCCCAACATTAACATTAACAGCATGTCTACTTAACTGTTTTTTTGAAATTGGAACTGCAGATATTGACTTGATCAAGTTTTCTGGAGGAAGATCCAACACTCTGGAAAGCTGCATTGAGAAGATAAAATAGAGCAAATCATTAATATATTTGTTTCAAATACAGTGGGGTGATAATTTTTATTCATTCAAACAACAGGGAACAGAGTGATAGTACAATAGATAGTACAATAGGTATGGCACTTGCCTTGCATGCAGCTGACCTGGGTTCAATTTTGGCACACCAAAAAAAAAGTATTTGAGTGATTACTTTTAATAATAATAAATCATTGATAAGATGAATAAATCAAAATTATATTATGCTGTGACATAAACCAGACACACAAATTTATATGGTGTTGACTTAATTTGACATTTGTAAAACAATGATTCAGTCATGAGTTAAAACTTCATCTGCTATTAAGGGCATTCAGATAGGACAGGAAGAGGTCAAACTCTCACTATTTGCAGATGAGATGACACTATACTTAGAGAACCCTAAGGTCTCTACCAAAAAGCTTCTAGAATGAATAGATTTGTACAGTAGAACGGTCAGTTACAAAATCAGTACCCCAATGCTCAGGACTTTCCTATGTGCAAATAATAAAAAAGAAAGTGACATTAAAATAACAACCCCATTCACAACTGTGCCTCAGAAAATCAAGTACCTCAAAATTAGCTTAACTAAAGAGGCAAAGGACCTGTACAAAGAAAACTACAAAATTCTAGTTCAAGAAATAAAAGAGGACATGAGGAAATGCAGACACATCCCCTGCTCATGGATTGGGAGAATTAACATTGTGAAAATGGCAATACTCCCCAAAGCATTATACAGATTTAATGCAATGCACGTAAGGATATCCAACAACACTTTTCAAAGAAACAGATCAAACATTCCTGAAGAGTATATGGAAATATAAACCACCACAAATAGCTAATACAATCCTTGGGAAAAAAGAAGATGGGAGGCATCACCTTCCCCAACTTCAAAGTGTACTACAAAGTGGTAGTAACTAAAACAGCATGGTATTAGAATAAAGACAGACCCTCAGCTGAATGGAACAGAGTGTAATATCCTGACACCGACTCTCAAATATATGCTCACCTAATCTTTGATAAAAGAACAAGAAATATGAAGTGGATCAAGGAAACCCTTTTTAACAAATGGTGCTGGGAAAATCAGACAGTTACCTGCAAAAAAAACACACACAAAAAAAAACCCCCCAGAATTCAGACCCCTCTCTAACACCAGGCACAAAAGATCAAAATGGATTAAAGACCTCTATATCATACCTAAAGGTACATGGAGGAAAATGTGAGCAGAACTTTTGGGCAAAACCCTCCGTGACATTAAAGCTAAAGATGACACACCACTGGTCAAACAAGTGGAAACAAGATAAACAGGACTACCTTAACCTAAGGAGTTTCTGTATCTCAAAAGAAACAGTGACCAAGAAGACATCTCGAAGAAGAAGAAGAAGGCCCTCCCGTTGTTCATCGATTTGCTCGAGCAGGCCCAGTAACATCTCCATTGGAGATTTTGTTGTTACTGTGTCTGACATATCGAATACATCACGGGTGGCTTGCTAGGCTCTGCCGTGTGGGGGAGATACTCTCGGTAGCTTGCCGGGCTCTCCGAGAGGGGCGGAGGAATCGAACTCGGGTCTGCCATGTTGGCCGCTTGTAAGGCAAATGCCCTACTGCTGTGCTATCGCTCCAGCCCAAGAAGACATCAGATGGAAAAAATTATTTATCCAATACCCATTTGATGAGGGGTTAATATCCAAGACATACAAGGGACCAGTAGAACTTTACAAAAAAATAAATCTAACCCCATCAAAAATTTGGGAAAAGAAAGGAACAGAAACTTTCTCATAGAAGTAACACAAATGCCCAAAAGGCACATGAAAAAATGGTCTATATCACTAATCATCAAGGAGATGCAATGAAAAACAACAATGAGATATCAGCTCACCACAGAGACTGGCATACATTCAAAAGAACAAGAACAACTAGTGCTGATGTGGATGTGGGGAGAAAGAGTTTCTCCTCCATTGTTTGTGGGAATGCTGACTGGTCCAGTCTTTTTGGAAAACAATATGGGCATGCCTCAAGTAACTAGAAATTGAGCTTCCATATAACCCAGCAATACCACTTCTGGGAATATACCCTGGGGGCCCAAAAACATACTGCAGAAAAGCTATCTGCCATTCTTTGTTCATTGCAGCACTATTCACAATAGCCAGAATCTGGAAACAACATGAGTATACAAGAACAGATGAAAGGATAAAGAAACTAGTGTACATCTACACAATGAAATACTAAGCAGCCACCAGGAAAAATGAAGTCATAGAATTCACATATAAATGGATGAACATGGAAAGTAACATGCTCAATAAAATGAGTCAGAGGAAGAGGGACTGACATAGAATGATTGGACTCATTTGTGGGATACAAAAGAAATATAGTATGAGACTAATATCCATGGACAGTAGAAAGGAGGGCCAGAAGGAATGGTCCACAATTGGAAGCTTGCCACAAGTGGTGTGGGGGGTAGAACAGCTAGACTAGAGAAGGGATGGGGGGTTGGTGGGAAATGGGTCATTGGTGGTGGCACATGTACTCTGGTGAAGAGATGGGTGATGGAATATTTTATAACTGAAATCCACTCATGAACAACTTTCTGTGTATCTCATAGTGATTCAATAATACAAAGGTAGAGAAAGGAAAAAATAAAAACAGTGTAATTTTTAAAATGATACATAGTCAAGTAAGATTTATACACAGTTCTTTAAACTGTATCTCTAAGTATTTATTTACTTATATATTTTGGTTTTTGGGTCACACATGGTGCTGCACAGGGGTTACTCCTGGCTCATGCACTCAGGAATTACTCCTGGTGGTGCTTGGGGACCATATGGGATGCTGGGAATCGAACCCGGGTTGGCTGCATGCAAGGCAAACATCCTACTCGCTGTGTTATCACTCCATTCCCCCCCCCCAGCATTTATATTTTCAAATTAGCAAAGTGAAACAAAACACCGTCTTTATGAATGAGCCAGCCACTAAAGGACCAAGGACTAATTCATCTTATTTACTCAGAAACTATTTATTGGGTGGTTACTTTTTTTTTTTTTTGGCCGCATGCAAGGCAGATGATCTACCTGCTGTACTATCGCTGTCCCCTGGATGATAAATTTTATGTGACCCCCAAGCCCAGTAATTTAGATCAGCAGATATGGGGGCACTTTTGTTTGTTTTGGGGCCACACCCGGTGGTGCTGAGGGCTTACTCCTAGATTTGCACCCAGGAACCACTCCTGCAGGTGCTCTGGGGACTAAATGGGATTCTGGGGATTGAACCCATACCCAATATATTATCACTCTGGCCTCTACACTTTTATTTCCATAAAATAATCCTGTTGATTTTTTTTCTTTTTTACATTACAGTTGTTCATGATTGAGTTTCAATTCCAGCCCTTAACCAGGGTACATTTCCCACCAACAATGCCCCCAGTTTCTCTCTCCCTGCATCTCTGCACTACCACCATCAACCCCCTTAACAGTCTGCCTCGATGACAGTTACTTCTCTTCTTTTTTTCTTTTAGGTCCTGTGATTTGAAATATTGTTATTGAAAGGTATTATACATATCACTCCACTTCTTTTCAGCACCAGTTCTTGAGGAGAGCAACAATTATATTTTTAAAACCTCCTACAATAATTGCGATGCAGAGTCAATATTGGGAACAATTACTCTGATCAGAAGTTCAGTGCTGGAGAGATAGAACAGCTTGCTTTACATGCAGCAACCTGGGTTTGACCCCAGCACTGTATATGACCCAGACCCAGAAGTAAGCGCTAAGCAATATGGGTCCCAAAACAAAATCAAAAACAAAAACAAAAGAAGGAAAAAAAGAACTTAAAGTCCTTTGGAGGAGACATTTGGATATTGTTTTTAATATACCAGGCAAACCTAACATGTCTTAAATTTTTATGGATAAAACTGAAGTAGACTTTATCTAATTTGCTTAAATGGAAAATCTGGGATGTAAACACGGGGAGAAAGGGAACATTGATTACACTTCTCCTCTGGATTCTTATAAGCTGGCAAGTCAAAACTCACACTGGGCAGATTTACAAAGAGAAAGAACAATGAAGTTAATAACATATACTTCCTGTATACATAGTAGAGACTCAATAAAACAGCCACTCAACCAAATGGCTTATGTTACCACCTTAAATAACTTCAAAGACAAAGAATGCTGGGGTAGGGAATAAAGGCACAAAGATATGACCACAATACAGCAAGTTATGTTCCTGATTTCTTCACTGATAGAGATTTTATAGCACATAACTGGAAACTGCCTTCATAGATATGAATGTTTACCACTTTAGAGGGCAACCTCCATTAGTCTTCAGAGATCGTCCTATGAAATGCTCCTTATGATAAAGAGACTTTGGGGTGGCAAATTTTGACCCCTCTGAAATCTCAAAAGTAGAGTCAGGAGGCTGGAAATGTAGAACAAAGGTTAAGGTACATGCTTTGCATGGAGCTAATACCAATTCTATCTCCTATATCATGTGGTCCACAAGTACTCCTGGAGTGGACTGAGTAATCGATGGCACTTCAGGATCCAACAGCACCTTGGACCCCGCATTGAGCTGCTGGTATTGGCTAAGAATTATTGGAAGGGGTCCTTTATACCCTTGACAACTGCTTGGGAGCACCTGCTGCCCAATAAAGTAACATAAATAAAAGCAGAGGTTACATTCAATTCCTAATGTCACATTTATATACTCTGAGAAATGTATGAAAATGAAATCATGAAAAAGATAAAATAAATTTAAAACTATCTTGATCTTTCTTCTATGGTTAATTTTTATGTACCTTCTACAATTAACAAGCAAAGGAAAGGGAGCAAAGTAGGTATGAAAAGGAAAAGTATAAGATACAAAAAAGAAATTTTCTAGTGTTTGCAACTGTCCAAAAGGAAAAGAATAAAACTAGTGTCTTGAGGAGTAATAATACTTCAGTAATAATACTCTTGTCAACAATCTAGTAAGCAATGAAAAAGGTTAGGTGCATTCATCTGGGATCAAACTCAAGCACACACCTTTTTTTGACAGAAAACCTAAAATGTACCCCTGAAGGGATAGTGGTTTTCATGGGAAGAGTAAGAGAAAAGTGGTTAAAGTGGTTTAGTGTTAACATGCTTAATTAGCTTGGCTATCCAAAGTTGGTTACTGATTCTCTAAGAAGGATAAAGGAAAACTGATTTAATCATTCAGCTAAAATTACTAACTATTGGTTCTAGCCAATTATCTAATTGTCTTTTTTTTTAAATCCTTGTAAAACCTACTTATGGGGTTGGCAGATGGCTTAGTGGCAAAAGTGCCCTTCTTGCAAACATGAAACAGAATTCAGACACTGGTGCTTTCCACAAGAATGAGCAAGTTATATTCCTTACTTCTTCCCTGGTAAGAGTTTATAACACATACTGGAGACTGCCTTCATAGATATGAATGTCTACTACTTTAAAGTGCAACATTAGTCTTCAGAGACCATCCTATGACCATACTACTCCTTATGATAAAGAGATATGCTGCTTGGGACTCTCAATGGTGTGTATGTGAACACAATCAGGTGTGTATGTGAACCCTAATCATCACAGTAACAACAAAGCAGTGAGTGGGTAGGAGGAAGGGAAAAGAAAATTCTATCCATAAAGAAAGCCAGTGAATTAAGAAAAGGATTTGTGGTCAACACTTGCATGTGTGGAGCAGCACAGGGGATCTAACTTAGTCTTATGCAAACAATGTAGGTGACTACCCAGCCATCCCTGTGGTCTGAGCTTTAAGTGTTTGAAAAGATTATCAATCACTCTTCCAGATCTAAACTTAAATTGTCACTTACCTCTGGTTATTCTTCATTTCTGACTCCCTAATATAACTAGGGCAGGTTATAAATTTTTTATCACCAAGAGGCAAAGAACATTTGAATAAGATTTCTTCAGATACAGGTTTGCAATTAGCCCAAGTAGCAACAATGGAAACTTCAGAGTTTAAAAAAGAATTTCACAAATGTCTTTAAAGCCATATTATTATCTACAATTAGACATTTAGCACATCTGTTGTAGAACCTGTGGCATTAAGCAAAAGAGAATGCTGATGTGTCTGAGAACAGGTCAGAAATGAATCAAATAGCTTCAGTGAATACTACTGTCCACTTGCATGTGGAGGAGTGTCTTTCCAATATAAATAGTGCAGCTGACAACTGTTAATGTTAATTGCTCCTTGAGGTTACAAATGAAATTTTACAATAAAATTTATTAGCAGTGGTCCAGTCCCAGCTTGACTGCATTCCAATTCTGTGTATGTAATCTTTAAAGCCCCCAACCAAGGGATTGCCCATGTCATTCTTCAGGGTAAGAATTTACACACACTCTGTCCCCATTCCCCAAATCTCCTCCCTGACTAGGCTAATAAAGCCGACATTCAAGAGTTACCAATGAGAATATTCAGTCTGAAAAGCTGATAGTTAAATTTATCATCTTATCTTGAAACTCCTTCACATGATCACTAACTCATTCTTCCTTTATTTTCTATTATTCCTGATTCTGGGACCTTTCTATTGATGTACATTGGATTTCTAAACTAAACCTGTGGGGTAGGGCATTTGCCTTGCACGCAGCCAACCCAGTTTCAATTCCTGGCATCCCATATCCCAAGCACCGCCAGGAGTAATCCCTGTGCCCAGAGTCAGGAGTTAACTCCTGGGCATTGCTGGATGTGACCTGAATGAAAAGCCAAAGAAAGGGAAAGGAACCAAACTCACACCCTCCAAAAAAAAAAAAAAAAAAAAAAAAAGACTTCTACTTCTGAACCTGCACTCCAACTACAATTTCTTGATTCCAAATGAGCATATATTTCAATAGTCTCCTGAACTTTAAGGGCTAACAATGCAAATTCTCAATAAAAATATGACATGGCCTTCCCAATGCACAACACTATCAAAAAGTCTGTCCAGGTCTTCTTCCTTACCCCCAAGAAACTGTAAAATCAGGTTTGTCATTATCAAAAGGTCCTGTTGGTGACATCTGGGAAGTCAGCAGTGGTCGGGGCAGTACATGTAGAAGAAGCAGGCATTGCCTAAGATATACCTCCCCTAAAGCTCATACTGTACCAACCGCAGAAAAGTATCAGATAAAACAGGTACATTGTCAAAGCTTTTTGCAACTTTGCCCCTTCTCTTTCCTAAACAATTCAAGACTCTCTGGGGTTAGTTAAAGCTCAAATCACTTAGCTCAGGGTATGTAGTTGGAAGGGCATGACATCTTCCCGACAAGTTTGCCCCTGTTGCATTCTATCCGTTTGTTGCAATCTATTGGTGTTAATGGGCTCAGTGAGGCCAAAGCAGAACGCTGCTGGACCCCAGCGGACAGCACCAGCCAGCCACCGAGTGGGCGGTAGGGCCCATTTCAGTCTCTGCTCCTCACCTTACTAAACACACGGCAAAGATGTTTCTCCACCACCTTCTCTACATGCGCCCCATGTTCTTTGTGTACCACTCTATGGCCCATGCTGGCTGCTCCCTGAGCACGAGCGCCCCGAAAGACGAGCGCAGGAACGAGATGTACCATCGTTCCTCCTGTCCTCTGGCCTGCGCTGGTGGACGTCCTCGTGCCACTACCAGGAAAGGCTGTCCAGGCCGTGCCTGTGCTTTTCTGGGACGATCGGGGTCACCAAGAGGAAGGAAAAAGAGCTAACAGGGAAGGAAAGTTTCCCTGCAAAGGCGCAACGGGGACAGGTGGGCACTCATTTGGTGAATTCTGGATTCTATGGCGTAGCTTTCTGCTGTTGTGAGGGACGGCATCGGGTGTGTGTGGGGGGGGTCCCATATGGCGGTGCTCAGGGATCATCCTGGCGGCCTCAGGGACCATATGGGAGGCCTGCATGCAGTGCATGCAGATGTCCTACCCGCGGTATCATGTCTATGGCCTTAGGTCGTGATTGTTTCTGGTTTTAAACTCCCTTCCTCATCACAAAGCCGGTCGGATCTGACTGAATCCCGGCGCTCTTGCTGTCCTTGGCGATCCTGCTGGCTGCTGTGGCCTGGGCCGGTTTTAACAACTCGATGCCGTGAATAAAATCTGATTCCCCCTGGACTTCACCCAGGAGCGAACTTCTCCAGGTCAGGTTCTGACGACGGCCCCCGGCCGATCCACCAGGGTAGGACACATCGAGCTGTGTGACCGGGGTCAGCGCGTGCCTCTCGCCGTTCTTCTCTGAGAAACGCGCAGCCCTAGACAGGGTCTGCCTCAGCAACCCCGCCAGTGGAAGGCGGGGAAGCGGACGGCACACACCAGGGTTCCGTTGGAAGCCTCCACAAGCACAGCCAGAAGGCGACGCGAGGGGCAACAAGGCTTCCGGGTGGAGGGGGCGCGCCTCGAGCCAGTTCCCGGCTCCTTACCTGCCGGGCGATGGACCTGCGGAAGCCGCACGCCATGGCCGCTCCCGCGAAGCGCGCTCCCGCCGCGGAACCGGGAATGTCGCCCCGCCCTCCCGGCAGCCCCGCCCCCCCCGCGCCGGAAGCCCGCCCCGGAGAGGGCCGCGGGCCAATCACGGGGCCGAGCAGCCCGCCCGACCCCTTTGCCCTGCTCCCGCGAGGGTGCGCGGGAAATCGTGAGGGCGTGTGGAAGCTGGCGGGCCGCTGAGACTATGGCCACCTCCTCGGTGTCCAAGGTACGTGAGGGGGGCCGGCGCACAGCGGGGTTCCGCCGCGTGTCGTTCTTCCGGGAAGGAGGAACAAATTGCAGGCGTCGGTGTTAGGTCTCGAAGGGAGAGAGTGCGGGCGTCTTCAACCCCGGTCCCGTCCAGGCCACCTTTTGCGGGGCGGAGATGCAGATCTGTTTTCAGGGGGATTTTTTTTTTTTTTTTTTAGGTTTTGGTTTGTGGAGGTCGGATTCCCCGAGAATGTTGCCCAGCCTTTTCTTTTTTCCGCTTTTCTTTTCCCTCCCAATTTACTGTGCGCCAAGCACCCCTGTAACCACCGAGCAACAATCGTAAACAACAAAAACGGACACGATCCCTGTGCCTGACAAAAGAGAATAAGCAATGGATAGCTCCTGATGGTCACGTTGGTCCAAAGGGTTAGCAGGAAAGGAGTACCTGGCGGAGAGACGAACACGCCACTTTACCTAGGGCCGGCGTTAGGGAGAAAAAGGACTTTTTTTTTTTTTTTAGCTGTTACTTGGAAAAACAAACAAACAAAAAAAAGAGTGCTACTTCGGAGAGAGGAAGGGAGGTTGGTTGGGCAGAGGGAATAATATCTTTTCGCCCAGAAGATAGAAATAAAATGGCACATTAAAGGAGCTGGAAACGTAGTCTCTTTAGTCGAGACAGGAAGCGGTTCTTAAGAAAAATGAGAACGAATGAGTCGTGCAGGGGCTCGAGAGAGAGGGAGAACGGGAGAAGGTGCAGAGAAGGACCTAGCGCGGACGCTCTAGAAGTCTAGTGAAGATTGCCCGTGTAGTTGGTAAGCAGCAGGCCCCAGAGACACCAGAAATAGGCGACTACTGAAGTTTGAGTTGAAGTAGAGCAAAATTGAATGACATTTAGAATTCAGCGTCTTCGTCACTCTGACCACATGACCACATGCTGACCACCACCCTCCATACCAGCAAGTTGGTAGTATTTCACCAGTAATGAAAGTCCTGTTGGCTGATGTTATTATAAACCAACTGTTGATACTAATGAGAGCAATTCAGAAAGCCCTGGGGTTAGTTGGTAGCTCTGTAATAAATGTAGAATGTAGAAACAGCAAGACTTTGTGTTGCAGTTGTTTATCCAAAAAAAAAAAAGTACAATGAATTTGATTTTTTTAGTTTTGATTACAATGAAAAGAAGCATGTTTTCCAAAACTATATATTTGGGGAGAAATTCAAGCCATTGTACTTAAGGTTTCTATGTGATGCTTGGTGCAAATTTCAGAAGAGATATAACACAGCTAGTATTTTTTTTTAATTTGGGGGCTTTGTTTTGCCTAGTTACATGTTTCATAGGTTGTGAGTAGTCTGTGCTCTTGTCCTTTTGTTTCATATGCTTTAACTTTGTATTTATTTCAGAAATGCCTCCCCCCCCAAAACATTTCTGAGATCTTAACACATTGAAATGATTATGAAGTAGCCTTTATGAAAACATTTATATATCTTTAAGGGCTGTATCAGTAGTTCATAGAAGAACAACCACTTTTTAAAACCTAACCTAATTTCTACCTTCCCTACTCAGAATTTTCCTTTTTTCTTTTTCTTTCTTTATATTTTGTTTTCTTTTTTGGTTTAGGGGTATTTCTGACTGTGCTCAGGGATTAGTCTTGGCTCCAGCCACCCCTTTTTTTCCCTTTTAAAATAAAAAACATGGGGATGAGCCAGAGCAATAGTACAGTGGGTAAGGATGGTTTCCTCACATTTAGCTGACCCAGGTTTGATCACCCACACTCTGTATGGTCCCCTGAGCCCTCCCAGGAGTGATCTCTGAGTATAGAGTCATCCCAGGAGATGCTGGAAGTTGAATCCAGGACTTCAGACATGCAAACAAGTGCTCTACCATGGTGATTCTTGAGTGTAGAGCCAAGATGTGCTGAAAATTGAACCCAGGACTTCGAACATGAAAACAAGTGCTCTACCACTGAGCCATAACTATTTTTGAAATTTTAAATAGTTGGGGTTTTTTTTTGGGGGGGGAGGGCATGTGGTGGTGTGGTGTGTTACTATCAGTACTACTCAGGTGACCATGTGGTGCTGGGAATCAAATTTGGAGCTCTAACATGTAACATAGAGGTGTTGAACCCAGGTTGCTAGTATGCTTTCCGACCTTTAGAGCTATCTTTCTGACCCACATTTGGTATTTTTAATGTTCGTTTTTATCTGAAATAAAAAAAATTTAAAGAATGAAACTTTTTTGGGTTTAAATTTTATCAGCTTTATTTACTTTGCTACTTAAATCTGGTCCCAACGAACAAAATTAAAGATGAGTATGCAACTCAGATTCAGTACATGCATTGCGTGTGTGAGGCTTTGGGTTTGGACCTACCATTATGCATCCCCTGCTACCCCTACCACCATTCACATAGGAAATAGACAAAAGAAATGAATTCTTCCCTTGTGTCTTAGATTTTTTTTCTCAGATGTGATTTCTATGAACTTTTAAAAATCTGCATCTACTTGATTATTTTTCTCTTATTGACTATTCTGACATAAGGTAAAAGGTAAAAGGTAAAGGCCCTCCCGTTGATCGTCGATTTGCTCGAGCGGGCCCAGTAACGTCTCCATTGGAGACTTTGTTGTTACTGTGTCTGGCATATCGAATACTCTCCGTAGCTTGCCGGGCTCTCCGAGAGGGGCGGAGGAATCGAACTCGGGTCGGCCATGTTGGCCGCTTGTAAGGCGAACGCCCTACCCGCTGTGCTATCGCTCCAGCCGATAGCCGATAGCTGGAGCGATAGCACAGCGGGTAGGGCGTTCGCCTTACAAGCGGCCAACATGGCCGACCGGAGTTCGATTCCTCCGCCCCTCTCGGAGAGCCCGGCAAACTACCGAGAGTATTGGATATGCCAGACACAGTAACAACAAAGTCTCCAATGGAGACGTTACTGGGCCCGCTCGAGCAAATCGACGATCAACGGGAGGGCCTTTACCTTTACCTTATAGTAGCTTTATGCCCTGGTTGATGACAATTCTGACATAATGCTTTTTTTTTCCCTTTCTGTTTTTAGGGCTGCTTTGTGTTTAGGCCAAACTTCAAGAAGAGAAAGATATCTGTTCCCTTAGGTAAAATTTCTTAATATCAACTTTGTCCTTTTTCTTGCCCAAGTCTTAAGAACTAACCTAATCTTAGTTGAATTTACTTAGACAAAATAAATTTGTCTAAGCTTGACTTACTATGTTAATGTTGCAGGTATTGGCCAAAGAATGTTCTAATTCTTGTTTGGTGAAAGAAACAGTAACTCAGGGTTCTGATCTAATAGGAAATTCAAATATTTTGCAAATGACAAATCAGAAACTAAGTTTCCTGTAAAGATAATGTCACCATTCTTTAAAAGAGGTTATCTTTAAAATCTCAGTAATTTCACAGGGTCAAGTGTGGAAATTGCCTACAAAAGGCAAAAGGAAAAAGGCAGAAGGCAAGATAGAAATGTGTTTTAGATTTAGAGTGGTTACCTGAATATACAATTTTGTTAGGACATATATCTGTTAAGATGGGAATATTTTATTAAAACTTTAAAGAACTGAATTGGTTTTTTTAAAGACACTTTCTTCACTTATCTCCAAATATCTCCAAGAAATAAATATTATCTCCAAATATTATCAAGTTAATAAGTTCTTGATTTCTTCATACAGATCAGTCTTACTAAGGCCCTTGCCTTGCATTTGAATGACCTGGGTTCTATTCCCAGCACCGTATATGAATCCCTAAGCACAGAGCCAGGAGTAAACCGTGAGCACCAGTACGTGTGGTCAACACCCTCACCACCAAAGATATGAAATGTTCTGAGCCAGTCATGAGAAGAAAGTAATATGTACATAAACCGTTTTGAGCCTATTTCAGGAAGAGAGTGAATGGGCCAATTCTAGGAACTGAACTACCAAATTGAGCTATAGCAGGGTTTCTAAATGCAGCTGATATGTGAGCAGGGGCAGTACAACTGATTGTACTAGCAGGAACAGTTTTAGGCTGTCAGGCATTTTAGATTAGGGAATTCTTTTTGTGGGCTTTTGCTTGGCCACTTCACAGAACTTTGTCAGTAATAGTGATAATAAATTACAGAACTGGTATTTGTATCCAGGTTGCCTGATTCTGGAGTCCAGGGTCTAATTCTAATCATTATTTAATAATTTCTCTCATAATATGAGATAATTCGTTTTGCTATAAAGTTACTACATTGAGGGGGTTGGAGTGATAGCAGAGTGGGTAGGGCGTCTGCCTTGCACGTGACTGACCCAGGTTCGATTCCCAGCATCCCATATGGTCCCCTGAGCTACCGCCAGGAGTAATTCCCGAGTGCAGAGCCAGGTGTAACCCATGCATCGCCAAGTGTGACCCAAAAAGCCAAAAAGAAAAAAAAAGTTACTATATTGAATTTCACCTGTAATGTATTAAAATTTGTTTGACTGTTTTTAATATTAATAAAAATGTATACTTTGACACTCACATATATATTTAATTTTCGTTGTGTTCACTTAAGACCAGCAGAAGTTGTTAGGAGATTTTTAGAGGAATTGACCCTGATTATAAGACAGATGGAGCAGAAACGAGAAAAACATACCCAGATTTTATCACTTGCCTTCACTGACTTCAGTTTTTAGCCAGATTTTCCAAAGAAGTAGGAAGATACTCTGCCTTTTGTCTACCATCTGTGCCTTGACTTAACACTTACTGATAACACTCCCTCTTCTCAATGTACTGTGGATGATTGATTGCACATTTTAGAAAACAGCTGGGCAGGAACTAGTGGGCTAGGGTAGGAGTATTGGGGAGAGACTGGCAGCAAGTAGCGCAGGCACTGTAGGGGTTCACACTGAATTATATAGCACTGTGAGCTGCGAGCCAGAGGAGACCTGACAATAGTGAGACAACATTCTTTAGCTCCTCCATGTATTCCTGCTTCTGACCCATCTGTTCTATTAGTGACTGAGAAAAGTAACATGCTAGTTTTTTTTTATCCCACTTTCTAATAATTGTTTTTACTATACATTTGGTAGTTTTATTCAGTAGATAAAAATTTATGTGCTGATTTTCTTCTAATAACATTACTATGATTTTAGTCATTATCAAAGTAAAAATGATTGTTTATATTTAAATCAGCCTGTTTAGCTTTTTTGCCAGTAATATTATATCTCCTCACTTCCCTCTTCTCATTTATAATCTTACCTACCATTGTTTCATACATGTGAGGCTTTGGGTAAAGGCCCTCCCATTGTTTTGGGTAAAATGTAATATTTGTTTTAAAAATATTGAGTCAAATATGAGTTTACGGGGAATTGTTTAACACAAAAGAGAATTTCTGTTCCAAACTATGCATTAACATAAAAATCATGGTAGAGGGGCTAGGTAGGGCATTTGCCTTGCACACAGATGATCCAGTTCGATTCCCGGCATCCCATATGGTCCCCCAAAGACCACTGGGAGTGATTCCTGAGTGCATGAGCCAGGAGTTACCCCTGTGCATCGCCGGGTGTGACCCCCCCCCAAAAGCAAAAATAAATAAAACCATGGTAGAGAACTAGCAATATCTCAGCAAAGGAAGAAGTAAATGTATATATTTTCCCTGACCCCCACACTATCCCTTCTCTGTTGTCATGTTGCCCAGGAATTGATTGGTATTTGCACATGCCTGGTTGTGTCACTGGTGGCTTGGTAAAGTTGGTGGGAAGGTAGATAGCCTTGAGAAAATAGTGCTTCCACTTTTCAGCAGGACCACTTCGGCCACCCTGGGAAATTCTTATTTGGGTCAGGACTAGTTAAGTCTGCTATGAGTACTTACACAGCAATGTTGCTTATGTTCCACCAGTCCCAGGAGGCAGCCATCAAGCTGTTCCTGGAGTCTGCTTGTTCTGCACGGTATGGGAGATCATCCCCGCTGCCTGATTTCTCTGGCAGTTGTGAACTCAGGCTGAAGGGAGGAATTGTTCCTTGTAGGAAAGAAAAGTGAGTCCTAACCTTGTCACAGGTATTCTGGGTCTGTCACCTTTTCCTCACAGAAAAGAATTTAGGCAAAATAGTGAAGTAAGATAGTTTTTATTGAAATTTAGTTAGAAAGACATAGGATAGAGAAAGAGGAAATCTGTCTCCAAGAAGAATACAGGCTTCTCCAAAGTGGGAGGGAAAAAAAATAAAAAAGCAAGCCAACAAAGATAACATGTTCAAAGGAGAATGTACACTTGAAGAGCAAGCCCGAAGTAGATGTGTACTTTTAGTTATTTAATAGTGTGAAATTCTGTTGCAGTGACATACACAGCAAATAAAGAATAAGAACGAAGAAAGAAAATAGGAAACTATAAGCAATGTAAACTATTTGATTAAAGCAAGAAACACGTAGTGCTTAGGAATGTGAATTTTCTTGTATTAAATGAGTCATTTCTTAGGGAAACAAAGGAAGGGCAGATTGTATTACTTATAATCCCTAGTTACTAGAATAAAACAGCCCCATAAAAGGGGAGTAGATGAACAGAAAGTGACTCCGATCATGGAGTAGGAAGGTAGTGGGGAGAGTCTAGTGCATTTTGGTGGTAGGAGGTGAGATGTACCCAAACTGGAAATGTCAACACTAAGTAAATGTATAACCTAAACTATAACAAAAAATTTAAAGAGTATTTTTCTTCAAATCAGTCTACAAATTAATTTTATTCAGTTAAATATTAGTGGACTTGACAAAATTAATCTGAATGACATGCTTAGTGGTGGTTGGAGGAAGACCAGAATCTCATCAATATTAGAGTTTACTACAGAGCTGTCACTGTCACTGTCCTCCCATTGTTCATCGATTTGTTCAAGCGGCCCAGTAATGTCTCCATTGTGAGACTTGTTACTATATTTGGCATATCGAATACATCATGGGTAGCTAGCCAGGCTTTGCTGTGTAGGTGAGATACTCTCGGTAGCTTGCCTGGCTCTCTGAGAGGGCCAGAAAAATAGAATCTGGGGGAGCCGGGTCGGCTGTGTCCAAGGCAAACACCCTACCTGCTGTGCTATAGCTCTAGCCCACTATAGAGCTATAGTAGTGGAAACATTTAGGTACTGGTACAGGAATAAAGTTGGATTTAGAAGAATAAAAGAAACAGTTTAAAAATAGTTCAAGTATATATTAGTTTTTAAACAATAATATGGGCTGGAGTGATAGCACAGCAGGTAGAGTGTTTGTCTTGCACATGGCCGACCCAGGAGACCAAGTTTGATTCCTCCACCCCTCTCAGAGAGCCTGACAAGTTACCGAGAGTATCTTGCCCACATGGGAAAGCCTAGCAAACTACCCGTGACATATTCGACATGCCAAACACAGAGACAACAAGTCTCACAGTGGAGACGTTACTGGGCCCGCTCAAGGAAATTGATGAACAAATGGAGGACAGTGACAGGACAGTGAAATAATATCTTAAATCAGAAATGTATTCAATAAATGCCTTTTTTGAAAATTAAGATGTTAATCCAATTATGAATTGTGAAATTAGTTTAATAGGTCATCTTAGTAGTTTTAAAACAGCAGACTAGAGAGACCAGGTATGTAATTCTGTGAATGAGATACATGTCCCGAATGTGTGAAACCCTGGTTTACTCCCTTTTATTATTATTTTTTTGCGATGTGGGGTTGGTACCCAGCAGTGCTCAGAGTGGGTTTTCTCCTGGCTCTGCACTCTGGGATCACTCCTGGTGGGCTCAAGGGACCATATGGAGGCTGGGGATCAAATCCAGGTAAGCCGCGTGCAAGACAAATGTCTTACCTGCTGTACTGGCCCCCAGTGAAACAAAAATATAAACAGTGTTAGAAATAAGGCCATAGAATAAGAGCAAATAATGAAAATACGTTACTAGTTAACATATATACCTTAGGCAAAATGATCAAATAAAAACTTAGAAATTCAGGTGCTAGAGTGTTAGTACAGTGGAATGGGTGCTTGCCTTGCACACACCTGACCCAAGTTCAATCCTGAACACCCTGTATGACTTCCTAAGTTCCTCCAGGAGTGATTCCAGAGTGCAGAGCCAAGAGTAAGCCCTGAGTATTGGTGGATGGGGTTCCAGTACCCAATAAACTTAGGTATTAAAAAGTAAGTGTTGGAAATATAACCTAAAAATTAAAAGTACATAGTTAATACATATTCAAGAATACAACTAATATGAAAAAATTATATAGTTAACTAAAAGATTATTGAATGTTGCTTTTTCCAAGCTTATCTTTGTAAAAAATTCTGCCACTACTATGTGACTTTTTAAAAAAAAAAGTTATAAAAAAGGGCATAATTTATTTTTTTCTCTGCTTTTAGAGGACTATTTTAATAAAGGGAAAAATGAATCTGAGGACAGTAAACTTCGATTTGAAACTTACCAGTTGATGTGGCAGCAGATGAAATCTGAAATTGAGGTAAATATGAAAAATAATTTAACATTTCTCTAATACCATTAATCTCATATTTTTTGCTTTCCACTTTTCTTTCCAATAATTTTCAAGGTACTGTATAATATTCTTTAACTATAAACTGTATATATTTTTTTTTTTCAGAAGAACACTTTTTTTTATTGAATCACTGCCAGATACAGTTATAAGTTTTCATGTTTGAGTTATAATCACACAATGATCAAACACCCATCCCTCAACCAGTGCACATTCCCCACCATCAGTATCCCTGGTATACCCCCCCCTTCCCACTCCCCTCTGCCTCCAGAGCAAACGTGATTCCCCATAATCTCTCTCTAGTTTTGGGCATCACGGTGTGCAATACAGATACTGAGAGGTTATCATGTTTGGTCCTTTATCTACTTTCAGTACACATCTCCCACCCAGACCAATTCCTTCAAACATCATTTTCTTAGTGATCCCTTCTCTATTCCAGTTGCCTTCTCACCCCGCTCATAATGCAGGCTTCCAACTATGGAGCAGTCTTCCTAGCCCTTGTATCTACTGCGCTTGGGTGTCAATCTTGTTAAACTGTATATTCTTAAGAAGAAGGAAAAAAGAACCAAAAATACATTGTGTTCCCTGTATTAAGCATTCAAATACTGGAACAGTTGTTTATAATAATAGCTACTGAAATAAGAGACCCTTTGAATAACTTCACAGCTTTTAAAGGATAAACTCTTTAAATTATGCTTTCAGTTACTTAACAAATGAAGTGCTTTAGAAATCACTTCTTTTCCTCATGGATAGTTACCTTCCTTGAGATTCCAGCGAACTTTCTGTTTAAAATCTTTTATAAGATTTTGGGACTGTAGAGATACATAGTGGGTAATTTTTCTGTTATAGTAAAATTATAGCTCTAGAGATAGAATTTTGAATGGATTTGCTTTGTTCAACAAGTATTTGTATTTTTTTAAGTACCTTCAGGAGACTCACACACTCAACAGCTTATTGCTTCTTCCTACCACTTTTTATTACTTCACACTTAGTGGCATGTATTTCATGTGAAGGTGTTTGAATTTGTAGTTAAGGCCCTCTGTGTTTTTTACCTTTGATTCGAACTGACATTCCTCCCATGTCAGACCCTTCAGGTCAGTCATTAGCCTATGTGGCACCACTGACCAAATTTGAAAAGTTCTGTGAGGTGATTCAACCCTATACCAGGCTACAACCTCTGCCAGTACAACCTCTTTGATTTCCTCTAAGCAAGCCTCATAGTGCTGCCAGATTAATCCTTATTAACCTGAATTTAATTATATCTCAGATACCTTCAGTGGTTCTCACAGATTAAAATCTAAACCCGCTAGCATCATGAATTTTTATGGGGGTGGGGCATATTGAATACAACACGGGAAGTTTGCCAGACTCTGCCTTGTGGGCAGGATACTTTTGGTAGCCTGCCAGGTTCTCCAAAGAAAAAAATCAGATAATAAGGTGTCGTGTGGCCGCAAATGCGGCCGCACACTTCCAGGAGCTGGGTTTTATAGTCTCTGCGTCTTGGCCGTTGATGGAACCAACCTGGCGCTGGCAGCAGCTGGTGGATGTGACGCCTACCTACTGGAAGATGGAGGGTCTAGGTGGAGAAGGCCCAGTCCCAGTCCGAGTGTGCTTGGAGACCTCAGCCCCAGGACCCGCATGCTTGGGTTCCTCTGCCAGTTCTTTCATGCATGAGGTCCATCCGGACGTGTAGAGAGTGGTCCCAGCATGGCCGTGGCTGGCTCCGGAGGTCCTCAGTTGCTGGGGCTCTGCTTGGGGCAGGGGGTGGGGGGGAGAGAAACTCAACCCTCCCCCCTCCAAGGGGCCCCAGTGAGGACGGCCAGGCGCGGGGGCAGAAGACTCTGCCATATTCAGTATGCCAAATACCAGTAACAGTGATGGGTCTCATTCTCCTAATCCTGAAAAAGCATTGAAATGGCTCTTTTAAAATCTCAGAGCTAGGAAGAAGGAGACGTTACTGGTGCCTGCTCCAGGGAAATCGACGAACAGCAGGATGATCATGATAGTGATGGGGGTGGGGGTTGGTGTCTAGTCCAATGTTTCCCTTTGGGATGTTAGCCCTGTTGAGGGAGATGATAGTACTTCATATGTAATTGGGGGAACTTTCTGTTTATTCCCTTTAAAAAAGTTAGATGTGGGGCTGGAGAGATAGCACAGTGGGTAGGGCATTTGCCTTGCACACGGCCGACCCGGGTTCGATTCCCAGCATCCCATATGGTCCCCTAAGCACCGCCAGGAGTAACTCCTGAGTGCAGAGCCAGGAGTAACCCCTGTGCATCGCCAGGTGTGACACCCCCCCCAAAAAAAGTTAGATGTGTGGGTTGTAGAAACAATACCTGGTACACAGCTCACCTGGGTTGGATTTCAGTAGCACAGTATGCTCCCCAAGCACTACCAGTTGTAATTCCTGAACACAGAGCCAAGGGTAATCTTGAGCATAGCCATGTATAACCCCAAAACCTGGTGATAAAAAGGTTTCCAGGAAGTAGTGAATGCTCTTTCCCCTCACCTCTGCCCCCCAGCCCCCTAAATAGAACAGCTGGTCTAGCACCATGCTTATTTGTCTACATTTCCTCAAACTCTTATGTTTTTATGCTTAACTGTATGTGTTTAGTTGTTTGGTGCTTTCTATCTTCTTTGCCTCCTTCATTTTCCATTCCTTTTAATTTTTTTTTAACCTACTCTCATCTACATCTTATGTTCTTTTACTTTGACTCAAGTACATTTCTGACCTTAAACTTGGTGATCCTAATCTGTGCTTTTTATTATAGCACATTGTGTAATACATTATAATTGTTAGTGTTTTTTCTAATTTTCTTCACTTTGTTTTTAGTGATTATCTTTCATTTCGGAGGTAGTAAATGTTGAATGGATAAATGGAGTTCTGTGTTTTTTAACTTTGATTCTAACTGATATTCCTCCCATGTCAGACCCTTCAGGTCAGTCACTAGCCTATGTGGCACCACTGACCAAATTTGAAATAAACAAAGGAGGAGAGGAAGCACTAATTACTGGATATTTAAGGAAAAAATGTTTTTAATTTCATCATTATTTTTCATGTGGTCTTTAGGATAGAGGGTATGACAATACTATTTTCTGAACTTGGAAAGGAGCATCAGTTACTACTAACAATGATTCATAAACTTCCGTTTTCTTTGTAGCGACTACAAGAGCAACTAAATAAAAACCTGTTTGACAATCTAATTGAATTTCTGCACAAGTCTCATTCTAATTACAAGAAGAACTCAAAAGACTGGGGCTGTCAAATAAAAACCAGAGAAATTCCAACTGCAGCTATTGTTCTAGGTATGTCTGTTAGATATGGGGCTGTAGTTTGTTTTGTTTTTAGAATAGTTTGGAATAACCAGTTTTGATAAACTTTTTTTCTCTTATAAAATTAAACCAATTATAGTTGACTTTGCATACTTTCAAACTAACAAAAATTCCTTTTACTGATCAGACATCTATAAATTAAAAGAATCTGAGGAGCTGGAGAGACATAGTACAGTGGTAAAGCATGGCTGACCCCGGTTCAAGCTTTGGCATCCCATATGGTTTCCCAAGCATAGCCAGAAGTGATTTCTGAGTGCAGAGTGAGGTGTAACCCTTGAGTATCTCAGGGTGTAGCCCCAAAACAAAAATTAAAAAAAAAAAGAATTTGACCCTAAGCTTTGTGCATTCTTCACCTTTTTGTCAAAAAAATGGAAAAGGATGTTGTATTTATGCTAATGTATTTATGGTACCCTTTTTAATGATGAGAATATGAAATCTATAGGAAAGAAACTATCAATTTATAGTTCTGCTGGGTATGGTCCAAAAAACAACAAAAAAAAGAATTTCATCTAGCGTTTAAAAAGGGAGATGTATTTGTGCTGCTCTTTCTTTTATGTGAGATTTATTTAGTAAGAAAGAAACTGCCATCCTACAGCTCTGTGGGTGTAGCCTTAAAACCTAAAAAATAAACAAAGCAAAAAAACTACCAGTATGTTGACAAATTAAATTTTTATACTTACAAAAAAAAAAAAAAAAGCAGATCTTCCTAAGAATTGCTCTGTGATCTTAATTATTTTTTCATTTGCCTAGTTTATCAATCTTGGTTTTTTAAAAACTATTTTTAACTATTAGTGGAAGAGTTGGATGAATTATGTATAAATTGCTTTCCAGTTGTCAACTTCTTATATAGTTGAATATAATAACCCTTTTTGAGAGTGGATGATGGGGGCCGCACCCAGCAGTGCTCAGATCTACTCCTGCCTCAGTGCTTTGGGGACCATATGTGCTGGAGTTGAACAAGGGTTACCTGTGTGCAGAGTGTGCACTCCAGCCCATTGAGAGATTCCTCTGACCCTTAGTATCCTAATTTTTTTAAATCTGAATTAAAGGATAACAAAAATTTCTTCAGAATTTTAACATTTTCTTCATTTCTTTTGAAAAGAAAACAATTTATTTGAATTTCAGATATATTCTTTTACTTCCAAGCTGTTATTTAAGGCTTGTTTTACAGGTAGGCTATGAGGTAGCAAAGCCCGGCAAGCTACTCAGAGTATCCCACCCGCACAGCAAAGCCTGACAAGCTCCCTGTGACGTGTTTGATATGTCAGAAATAGTAACAGCAAGTCTCACAATTTGTTGTGAGATGTTACTGGTGCCCACTCGAGCAAATCGATGAACAACGGGAGGACAGTGCTATTTAATACTGTAATAATCCTGCTATTCAATTCTGTTACTTAGGGCATCATTTCTCAAACTTTAATATGCCTACAAGTGATCTCTAGGGGTTCTTAATATCAGCTTATTTAATATATCTTGGCTGGAGCCTAAAACTGCATTTCTTATAGGCTTCTAGGAAATGCCAACACTGCTGATTCCAGGATCACTCTTAAGTTGTAAGACTCTTGCGAATGGGTTTTATAATGCTCTGGATGAGCTTTACAATACCCCCTGCCCTTACTCAGTTTTTTGGCAGGGATGAAAGAGTCCACACTTAGCATGTTCTGGCTCTGAGCTTGAGGTCACTCCTGACAGTGCTCAGGGGACCATTGTGCTATGGGTCAAAAGTGGTCCTTTGCATGCAAAGCCTGAGGACAGCCTGATTAACACTCTCCAGCCCTCCCCTTAATTTTTAAACCTCTTCTCTTTATGGATCAGAAACAGGCCTAGGGATGACTTTCTTGTATTTTTTCCTATTACTGCCAGATTCTAGCTATTAGAGATGAAACAGGGCAAATATCATCAAAAGGGATAATGACCTGATATTTTATTGTGAGAGCACTATTTAAATCCCTTCTCTTCTTGCTACCCAAATTTCAAAAAGAAGCTAATAGAAATTATGTTTTTAAGAAGTCAGTGATCTAGATCATTTTCTAATGGAAACTATTGTTGAAGCTATTGTTTCAGCAACAAATTGATCATTTTAAGGAATATAGTGTTAACTAGCTTATATAATAATGAAAGATGTGTTTTATCAGAGTACCAAATTTGTTCACAGGTGCTTTGTATCATAATCATAAACCATAAAGCCTGCTAGAATATATATAGTGGCGACACTATAAGAAACATCTCTGTGACCTGAGGATGTGGCTCAGTAGAATACTTACCTTATATTTATGAAGCCTTGTTTGATCCCATGGACTGCCATACAGTGCAGAATGAATACCCATACTGCTCTTAAGGTCCCTGAAACCACAAGTATGTGATTCCTGTTGTACTGCAACCAAGTACGTGAACAGTGCGTCAAGTGTGTGTAAGCACCACAAGTAATACCTCAGGCATCACAGCAGTGAAGGGTAGAGGGGAAATCACTGCAGCTACACAGTTACACACTTTTTGGTCTCCAAGATACTTGTTCATTTATATGTGTGTGGGTTTTGTTCATTTATTTTTGTTTTGGAGCCACACCCAGCAATGCTCAGGGCTGACTCCTGGCTGTGTTAAGGAATCACTTCTGGCAGTGCTGGGGGTAGGGGGGCATGTGGCAAGCTCCCTAGCCAATGTAATCTCTCTCCAGCCCTGGCATTTGTTATTTAAAAATAACCTGCTAACATTTTATATTTCTGTTCGGGGGTGGGGGGATATGTAATTGTATTGATAGCATGTATGATTCTGAACCTTCCCTTTTCCTTTCAAGATTATTTTAAAGAAAAGGAAAAGGTTCCGAATCATCCATACCATCAATATATTTATATTTCATTTATTTTATTTTATTTTGTTTTTGTTTCTGTTTTTTTGGGTTCACCTGGTGATTCTCAGGGGTCACTCCTGGCTCTGCACTCTGGAATTACCTCTGGCAGTGCTTAGGGGACCATATGGAATGCCAAGGCTTGAACACGGGTTGGCCGCATGCAAGGCAAATGCCCTACCCACTGTATTATCACTCCAACCCCGTAATGCACATTTTAAAGTAGCAAAGCTCAAGTTGCTCACTGCTGATACATGCCTAAACACTTTCTAGATAATGGAATTAGGAACTATATAAATTAATAGAAATTTTTCCAAAGTGAGGGAGATTTTCTCTAAACTGATAAGTGCTTGCAGAGCATTTACTTGTTGATAGGTGTCATAAGAACTAGGGGTTTGTTAAATAATTTTAGACTCTTTCTGTAGAAATCAGCTTCGTGTACACTGAATTTCTCTGTTGTATCTGTACTGAGATCATTATTAGGTTTAAAGATTGAATTCTCTTCAGTTAAATTTAGGTAACAGCAAGGCAGAAATTCATAATACCTATTTTGGAATAATTGTTTTTAAAGAATTCTTTATGAATAATAAGATAATCAGATTATTCCTAAGATGTTTTCCAGAGTTATCTACACATCTCTAGTAATTTTTTGTTTTGTTTGGTTTTGCGGCAACAGCTAGTAGTGCTTGGGACTTACTTCGGGCTCTGCTTAGGCATCACTTCTAGTGGGCACAAGGGACCATGATCCTGCTCCTGGTCCTGGTCCTCCCGTTGTTCATTGATTTGCTCGAGCGGGCCCAGTAACGTCTCCATCATGAGACTTGTTACTGTGTTTGGCATATCGAATACTGCACAAGTATCTTGCCAGGCTCTCCGTGCGGGCGAGATACTCTCGGTAGCTTGCCGGGCTCTCTCAGAGGGGCGGAGGAATCAAACTCGTGTCGGCCATGTTGGCCGCTTGTAAGGCAAATGCCCTACCGCTGTGCAATCGCTCCAGCAAGGGACCATATGCAGATCAAATCCAGGCCAGCCATGTGCAAGGCAAGTGCCTTACCTGCAACACTCTCTCTGGCTCCTCTAGTAGTTTTTTATTAGATAAATTGTGTCAAATACCTATCATGAAAATGGAATATAGATTGTGCTTCTAGGTTAATGAGGAACTCTTCATTTATGCAGCATTATGTCTTGACTTCTGTTATTAATCATACTTTTTTCTCTTACTGAAGTATTTTTAATTTTTTATGTTTATTTAGTCACCATTAAATTACAAAGTTATTCACAGTTGGGATTCAGGCATACGATGTTTCAACACCAGTATCTTCTTCTGAGTTCTCTTGCTTCTACCAGTCCCCCTATCATACCCATTTATTTCTCAGTGACCTGTCTGCTTCTACAAGAGGTGCTTTTTTTTTTCACAGTTGCAAAATTGTCAATGATTGGATTTTTGTCATGCAGTGTTCCAGCACCTATTCCCTCGCCATTGTACATTTCCTACCACCAATGTCCCTAGTTGCCCTCCCACCCTTCCCTCTCCCCTATGATCCCAGCTGGTGGTTGGCAATACTGTTACTGAAAGGTTATTATGTGTATCACTTTACCTTCTTTCAGCACTCTGTTCTTGTCCAGAGTGATCATTTCCAACTATCATTGTCACAGTTTTCCCTTCTCTGTCCTAACTGCACTCCCCCACAATTTGCGGCAAGCTTTCTGCTATGGACTAGTTCCTTGTACCTTGCTTCTACTGGGTATTGTTATTCTCATTCTTTTTTTTTCCCCAAATATTCCGCAAATGAGTACCATCATTCTATGTCTGCTTTTCTCCCTCAAACTAATTTCACTTAGCATTATATTCTCTATGTCCATTCATTTCATGGGCAAGCAAATGTCATAACTTCATTTTTTCTTAATGGCTGCGTAGTATTGCGTTGTGTAGATATTATTACCTGGGTTCAATTCCTCTGCTCCTCCCGAAGAGCATGGCAAGCTACCGAGAGTATTCCGCTTGCACAGCAGACCCTGGCAAGCTACCCATGATGTATTCAATATGCCAAACACAGTAACAAGTCTCACAGTGGAGACATTAGTGGGCCCGCTTGAGCAAATCAATGAACAATGGGAGGATAGTGACAGTGACAGTGAATAATTCACTTAACATTAATCACTTTTTGTTGGTGTTAAATTTTAAGAGAAATGACAGTGGGGCCAAAGCAATACAATACAAAGGGTGTGATGTTTGCCTTGCACATTAGCAACCCAGATTCTATCCCTAGCACACCATGGTCCCCTGAACCTCACCATGAGTAATTGCTAAGCTCAGAGCAAGAAGTAACCCCAAGCGTCACCAGGCATTGCTCAGAAACAAACAAACAAATGATGGTATAATACTGATGTTTTACTCTTTAGGTGTGAATGTAACAGATCATGATTTAACATTCAGAAGTCTGACAGAAGCCCTTCAGCATAATGTGACACCATATGTAGTCTCATTGCAAGCTAAAGATTGTCCAGGTAAAGTATAAAGGCCATCATAACTTTGTTGAGACATTTAAAATTTCTCCTACCCCAGCTTCCTTCCCCCTCCTTTCCACCTAATTTCTTTAACTTGTGAGGTGACCATGGCACTTTAAAGCGCTGCAAGGTTCTTCAGTAAGTGGTCTTGATTTTTGTGTCCTGCGACCTTTCTTTCAACCTGTCATTTTCACTTCCAGGAATAGTCCAGGCATCTTATATGGGATGTTTCTTTATTCAATGGAATTTTAGTATCGAGGAAGGCTTATGGAAACTAAGCCTTATAGGAAACTGTGGGGAGCTCTTATTTAATTCAAAAGGAGAATAGAATACATAGGTCATATATTTATAGTCTCAAATTATCTTATTGTCCCATTTTGAAAGGCCACCATGGTAAAAATAGTCCTTTGGTAGAACTTCTTACTGTCAGACTCTGAAGCCATTCTATCACAAAGGATGTGGGCACTGACAGACAAATGTGTTTAGATTTAGTTGATACAAAAGCATGTGGACCCACATTATCATTCATTCATGAACTGATTGTAACTAAAAGATTTAGCGTATCTTTAAAACTAACTTATCAGGAAAACCAGTAACTTAAGTAGCCCTTCTAATCTTTTATTAGTGGCCCTAAATTTTTTTATTGTCTGGTATAATTGAAATGCATATTATTTTTAATATAACTTACATATTTTATGTTTATACACTTGTGTAATTTAAATACACTTTAATTGTAGACAGTATTTGGACTGGAGAGATAGATAGTACAGGATTGCACAGTGGGTAAGGCATTTGTCTTACATGTAGTAAACCCTCATTTGATCCTTGACACTGCTTATGGTCCTCCAACCACTGCCAGGAGTAATCTCTGAGCCACAGAGCCAGGAGTTAGCCTAAGCACAGCACCCAAATATGACCCCAAAACAAAACAAAAAATTATATGTAATGCACATAAACTTTGGCCTTCATTGGTTGAAATTAATGAAATTTAAATATTAAGGAGAGTATACTAATGAACATTAATTGTTAATATGTTTAATACTTTGTTGTATCAATGTTAAGTGTAGAATGACACATTGAATCCAAAAAATGTGCCATACTGATGAATAAATTACAGAGATTTTAGATTTGTTTTAAGGACAGATTAGCTCTCTTATCTTTTATTTTCAACAGATGTAAAACATATTTTGCAAAAGATGGTTTCCCAGTTAATGAACTGGTGTGCAGATAAAGAATCCAGAGAAGGGGGAAGTATTCAGGTCACCCAGAAAAAGTCACATTGTTCAATGGATTTTCTTACCAGTTGGTACATGAATGTCACACAGGTAATTATAAAATAATAATCTTCTAACAGAAAATGAAAATATTAAAGAGATTTCCTGTTATTTAAACATAGTACTCTTTGTTCTTAGAAAATTCTTATGTAGGGCCAGAGTGATACTACAACAGGTAGGGTGCTTGCTTGCCTTGCACATGACTAAATCGGGTTCAATCCCTGGCATCTCATATGGTCCCCCGAGCAACCCCTGAACATTGCAGGGTGTGGCCCAGATCCCCTCTCTATTCCCTTACCCCACCAAATCTTAATGTAGCATGAGTTATTAATAGTTATTTTTGTAATACCTGCTAGAATTCTTTTGTTATACATCTTAATTTCTAATAAGTGCTTACGTTCTTACAGAGTTGTTTTGTTTGTGGGAGAATATCATCTTACAAGGCTATTTTGTTTGTGGGAGATATCAGCTATTGACAAAACCTGCATTAGTAATCCATTCTACTGCAGAGTCTTTGACAGTGGCTATGATTCTAACATGCCTTATGTTCCTCAGTATTTGCTTATAGTCAGATAGTCAGCAAAATGTTTTGCTGCTACCCATTGTCAGCTATTTTATATATATGAGGAATAGTCATATATACATATAAGAAAGTTTCTTCTATAGTGTTCTGGAATGCTCTGTAAATAAATTATACTAAATAAGTAAAAAAAAGTTTTGGTCTACCATGACAGTCTCTATTAAAAATCTGTAGTGGCGCCAGAGCAATAGTTTCATGGGTAGGTTTGTTGTCTTGTATGCAGCTCATACTAGTTTTGATCCCTGACATCCCATATGATATCTAGCCCCATCAGGAGTGATCCCTAAGTGCAGAGTCAGGAGTAAGCACTGAGTATATTCAGGTGTAGCCCAAATTAAAAAGAATAGTGGAATAATGAATATTAAACATAAAACTACTGCCTCGAGGATTTGTGAAAAAAGTTGACATTTTCTGATGTACATACTTGCTGGTTACTATAAATGAATTCTATTTTATATCATGTAAGAATTTAATTGAGTCGAATACTTAACATATGATCTTGATTTGGTTCAGTGTCGATACTTTAGAAATCAGATCCTTCAAGTTTTTTATGATAGATATTTTTAAAAGATTGTGATAGACTCATTTGATATTTAAAATGCTTTTCAGCTGTATTTAATCATAGCAGAGCCAGAAGTAATGTAAATCATTGTACTTTTCAATTAATAACATTAATTTTCACCCTGAATCATAATATATCATTCTACCTTATAAAAAAAACTAACTTTAAAGGAAATGTTTTATACTTCCCTCAAGGCCCTCCCGTTGATCGTCGATTTGCTCAAGCAGGCCCAGTAACGTCTCCATTGGAGACTTTGTTGTTACTGTGTCTGGCATATCGAATACTCTCGGTAGCTTGCCGGGCTCTCCGAGAGGGGCGGAGGACTCGAACTCGGGTCGGCCATGTTGGCCGCATGTAAGGCGAACGCCCTACCGCTGTGCTATCGCTCCAGCCCCTAACATTTCTTTTTTTTTTTTTTTTAATTTTTTTTTTATTAGTCAAACACCATGAGGTACAGTTGTAGATTTACAAATTTTTGTGCTAGGGTTTCTATTATACAATGATCAAATACCCATCCCTCCACCAGTGCCCATTTGCCACCACCATTGATCCCAGTATCCCTCCCACACCCATCCCCCCATCCCACCCTGCCTCTGTGGCAGGGCATTCCCTTTTGTTCTCTCTCCTTTTGGGTGTTGTGGTCTGCAAAAGAGGCATTGAGTGGCAAACATGTTCAGTCCATAGTCTACTTTCGACATGCATCTCCCCTCCTGGGAGGATCCTCCAAACACCCTTTATTTGGTGCTCCCTTCTCTATCTGAGCTGCCCTTTCCCCTAGAATGCCCGGCTGGCCTCTAAGCTATGGAGTAATCCTCCTGGTACTGATCTCATCTATTCTTGGGTATTAATCTCCTATTTTGTTACTTTATATCCCCCAGATGAATGCAATCTTTCTATGTCTATCCCTCTCTTTCTGACTCATTTCGCTTAGCATGATACTTTCCATGTAGTACCACTTGTATGTAAATTTCTTGACTTCATCTTTTCTAACAGCTACATAGTACTCCATTGTGTAGATGTACCAAAGTTTCTTTAACTAGTCATCTGTTCTTGGGCACTCAGGTTTTTTCCAGATTCTGGCTATTGTAAAGAGTGCTGCAATGAACAAACAAGTGCAGATATCACTTCGACTATACATTTTTGCCTCTCTGGGATATATTCCCAGGAGTGGTATTGCTGGGTCAAATGCTTCCCTAACATTTCTTCAACAGAAAATGATAAGTATTTTTATCAGCTACAGATTTTGTTGAACCTTATTTTCTTCCTAATGATAATTTCTGTGTCAAATATGGAAAGACTCTGAACAATTTTTGGAACATTTCTCTTTATCCTGTGAGGGAAAGAAATAAAGATTTACTGTGAAATATGAAAGGACAAATAATAGCATACTGCAATATAACATTTATTCTGCTTGATAAGGCTTAATTTTTTTTTTAATTTGGCTTTTTGGTTCAACACCGGCATTGCTCAGGTGTAACTCGGGTTACTTCTGGCTTTGCACTCAGGAATTACTCCTGATGGTGCTTGGGGGACCATATGGGATACTGGGGATTGATCTCTGGGTTGACCACTATGCAGAGCAAATGTTCTACATGCTATACTATTGGTCCGGCTCCAAGGCTTAATTTTAACTCTTTTTTTCTTTTTCCCTCCACATGGAATAAAAGAAGTCAGAACTAAAAGTACCAAGAAAAAAAAGAACTTTATCTAGCCAATGGCAGTCTCCTCCTGTTGTGCTTATCTTAAAGGATATGGAAAGTTTCACCACAAAAGTGCTGCAAGATTTCATAATTATTGTCAGGTACATGGTATTGCCATATGACTTTTGCACACAATTCTCTTTTTATTAAAAAAAGCTATAATTTTTTCTTATTAGGCCATCCTTTTCAGAGAGTGACAGATAACATGATTTTTAGTTATTTGTAATTGAATATTTGGAGACCTATCACATTTTTATTTCTTTGAAGAAAACGAATATTAATTCTAAACCCAAAAGTTAACCAAATTTTAGAAGCATAATGAGGTAGTATAAAATGTAATATTTCTTACCAAGATTGTCTTTTACTTACCTATAACTGAATCAGTTCCAGGTTGAGATATTTTTCTGAATCATATTTCAAACCTGTTCTTCTATAGAGACTTAATTGCATGTAACCCTACTAAGAGTATTTTCTATGTAGTAATATCTGTTACAGTATTTACAGTGAGAAACTACTTTTTTTCCATATCCTAGAAAAGTTTTTTTTAATATTTACAATGATATAACTAAGCAGTGTCTTATAAAGTAAGCATTAAAATGAAGTTTGTCTTATTTGGAAATATAGTAAACTGAAATTTATTTCCTAAAGAAATTTCACTTTTGTATCTTTCTCTGGAATTTAGTCAGCATCTACATGAATTTCCACTAGTACTCATATTTGGAATTGCTACATCTCCTATTATCATCCACCGTTTGCTTCCTCATGCAGTGTCATCTCTCTTATGTATAGAATTATTTCAGTCATTGTCTTGCAAGGAGCACCTGACAACAATTCTTAATAAGGTAAAAAGAAAAAAATTTTCCAGTGAAACAAGATGAAATGTGTCTAGAATACGTTGTAAAAACAAATCATACGGGACTGGAGTGGTAATACAACAGGGTAGGGTGCACATGGACAACTGTGGTTTGATTCCTGGCAGGCACCACAATTGCTTACCCAAGCATCTCTTGAAGTGGTCCCTCAGCACAGAGGCAGAGGTAATCCTTAAGTAACACTGGGCGTGGCCCCAAAACAAAACAAAATCATGGTGATAGATTACTATATTCCTCCATAATATGTTGAATTTACTCCATGCTTAAATATTTTTATTTAGTGTTTTTATAGTAATACAGTATTTCCTCTTAAGATAATAAACTTTTTGAAAAGAATCATCATATCTGTCTACATCTACTTATCAGTACTTGGTTAAAAAATCTTTTTTAAATAAATATTTATAGAATTTAATTTCTATAATGATGTTTTAATGTTCTATTTCATGTAAAATGATTAGAAGTTTTAGGTGGACTCTTTCCTGTTATGCTGCTAATGGTAAAAAATGCATACTAACATTTTTCTACAATGTGGGTTTATGTTTCTGCTTCAATAGAATATGATATGGGGCTGGGAGTGGATAAGGGGGGTTGTGCAACACCCAAGATGCTCAGGAGCTATTCCCAGCTCTGCTTGTGAGTTACTCTCACTGGTGCTTGGGGGACCATGACACATTGAGGATCAAACTGACATCATGCTAGCAAAACAACTTGGCTATCTCTTCAGCCCCAGAAGTGTGATGTGTGTATGTGTGTATGTGTGAGAGAGAGAGATTTGGGGCCACTTGGTGATGTTCAGGACTTGCTCCTAACTCTGCACTTAGGGATCTTTTCTGGAGGGTTTAGGGAACAATCTGGGGTGCTGGGCATCGAACTTAAGTAGGTCACATGCAAGGCAAGTACCCTACCCACTATACTACCACTGTAGCCCAGAAATACGATTCTTTAGTATTGAATTTAGTATTCCATAAGTTGTTGCTAGTCTTGACTCCTTTGAGGTGTTCTTTATGCTTGTGTTAGGTAAAATAATCACGACCTTCCCTCGTTTTACTAATTTTTTTCTACCTTTTAAAAATGTGTGTGTATGTGTGTGTGTTTTATAAAAGTGGCATCTATCATTTTACTGATATTTTAGAAAAAGTCTGTTTATAGTATTTATTCATCATGGCCAAATTCTATTAACCTTTTTCCACTGTTTTGTTGTAAAACCATTATTCTTAGCTATGGAAATTAGCTGAATAATACAAATTCAACTTTGTTCTGTTTTGTTTGGCTACTTCTGGTCCTGCTCAGCAGCTGTTCCTAGCTCATTGCCGGAAGTCACTCATGGGAATGTTTGGGGGGCCATGAAGTGCAGGGATCAAACTCAAGCCTACTGAATGTAAAGCATATGCTCTAACCCACTAAATTATCTCTCCAGTCCCAAACTCAACTGCTTTATATATTTTTAGGTAGACATCTGTTAATTTTGGGTTTCTCAGGATACAGTACAAAATGTGTTACTTTTTATTAATGTGCATAATTATGGATGAAAATTTTGTGGGATAACAAGAACTATCAAAATCTGTAGCTTCTGGGGCCAAAGAGAAAATGGAGGTGGCTCTTGCTTTGCATATGATCTACCCAGGCTCAGAAGTCTTAGCACCATAGTATGTCCCCACCACCCCCTGCCTGCCCTGGCCAGCCTCCTTCCCCATCCTCCAAATCTGTAACTTAGTCTCTTCTGGTGGAAAAAGAAAGGATTACTTATTAAGGATTAAAAAAGATTATTAAGCATCAAGCATCGAGTGAGAATGATAACCGTCTTTGATTCTGAAGATGTAATGTAGATGACATATTTTGTTATTGTTGAAATTAAAATTGGTTGATACGTTAAAGAACAAGCAACTATTATAGCTTTTGGGGAGGAGGGTCACACCCAGCAATGCTCAGGAGTTACTCTTGGCTCTGGACTCGGGAATTACTTCTGGCGGTGCTCAGGGGACCATATGGCATGCTGGGCATCGAACCCGCGTCAGCCATGTGCAAGGCAGACACCCTACCCACTGTGCTATTGCTCCAGCCCCTGTTATAGCTTTTATAGTTAATGTGTCATAGTATTATCTTGTTTATGCCTAATTTTTGAAGAATAAAATGAGTATTCTTATCCCACCCTTTTATCTCTTTCAGTTACTTCTTACAACTCAGTTTCCCTTTAAACTAAGTGAAAAAGTGTTACAGATTCTGACCAACATTTTTTTGTATCATGATTTCTCAATTCAGAATTTTATAAAAGGACTTCAGGTAAGAAGACATTAATGGACTTGAAATTTCACAAACTAATTCTAAGTAGCATATACAAGTTATTTCATGTGATCATTAAGTTATTGGGGATTTTTGTTTGTTTGTTTTCATTATTATACTGGTCCTTTCTCTATCCTAACTGTGATCATTAAGTTATTGTAAATGGCATGTGTACAATTAAGTAAATTTGTTTTTCATTTCAGAAGTTCCCAAACTTAGTTGACCTACCACCCTGTTTTCAGGGAAGGGGTGGGGAGAGAGAGAGAGAGAGAGACAGAGAGACAGAGAGAGAGACTAAGCAACCCCCTGGAAATCTACTTTCTCTAAGGGAACAGACATCCCCCAATTGCACCTGAGATGACTCCTGTGCCCCTGGATTGTTACAGAGGCCCTTCCCAACCAGGGGATTGGTATCAGGCACTTTGTGAAACACTGTTTTAGATACATCATTTCTGTTGTTCCTTTGCAGCAGAATGTAGAGAACACATTATTTAGGATATCAGAATTGAAAAAAGAGCTATCTCCAGTGATTTTTTTTTTAATAAAGGTGACCACCTGTGATGGTGGAGAAATAGTCATTCCTAGGGCCTAATATTTTAATGTTCAGCCAGGTGGTGGTGCTTAGACTTGGACATCTGGTCGAGCAGTGCAGAGAGAACACCAGGACTGTACCCATTGATGTTTAGAATTGCTGGGGGAAGCAGGGTGGTGTACAATGTGCTAGGGCTCAAATACAGAAACTCACATATTAAGCAAGTGCTCTTTCATTTGCACCATCTCTCAGGCCCTCACTGTAGAGGCTCTTGATTATTTTATCAGTAAGGAGTAAAAGTTTTTTGTTTTGTTTTGTTTTGTTTTTAATAGGGTGGGGGGGAGGTGTTTAGGACATAGCCAGTGGTGCTTGGTGCCTAGCCCTGGCTTTCTGTTTACCAGTGGTTCTTTGGTAATCATACAATACTGAGGATCTGTAGGACCTGAACTTCTAATATGCAAAGCGGATTCATTGAAGGAGACAAAAGATTCCCAGCATCCCACATGGTCCCCTGAGCACCGCCAGGAGTAATTCCTGAGTGCAAAGCCAGGAGTAACCCCTGTGCATTGCTGGGTGTGACATAAAAAGAAATGCATTATTTCTGCACAATTTATCATAATCTTATTATGTCTTCAATTTTATTAATGTGCTAATATTTTTGCAATGTTAGCACTTTGGGAAGGTCTCCCAACCAGTACTTAGGGGCCCTGGGGGCCACATTCATAGTTCTCAGTTGTCAGTGCTTTGAAGATAACTTACCTGGGAATTCCATAGCAGAATAGAAGTGTACAGTCCTGGTGTTCTCTCTGCACTGCTCGACCAGATGGCCAAGTCTAAACACCACCACCAGGCTGAACACTTATATCAGGCCCCAGGAATGACCCCTTCCCTTCCTCTAGCACCACAGGTAGTTGCCTCTATTTAAAAAAAGAAAAAGAAAAAAACAGAATCACTGGAGTAGAGATAGCTCTTTTTTTTCAATTCTGATATCCTAAATAATGTGTTCTCTACATTCTGCTGCAAAAGAACAGCAGAAATGGTGTATGTAAAACAGTGTTTCACAAAGTGTCTGACACCTGCTGGCCAGCAGGTTGAAACTAGAAAAGCGTTCCAGGCAAAGGCAATAACAGAGAAGGAGAATTCTATTGTATTAGAAGGCTCCCATGTGGGGGGTGTGTGTGTGTGTGTGTGTGTGTGTGTGTGTGTGTGTGTGTGTGTGTGTGTGTTGGGGAATCGGTGGATGGGGAGGTGGGAGGAGGGATGGGGGTTTGGGACTAATACCAGGGCTTCACACAAGAGGTATACAATTTAGGACAACAGTCTTGGCCTCAATTAGAGGACTCTTGTAATAATTCTATAATTCTAGACAAAATACGAAAAAGGCTAAATTAAACTAGTGATAATTATTCTAGAGAGGATGAAACAAATTTAAGGATGTGAAGTCAGAAGAACCTGAGATTAAGGGGATGATAGACTGTGTAAGAGGATGTTAGACACACAGTAGCTTGACAGGTTTATTAGCAGTTGACACTTGTTTTTTTTTTTAAGTGTACTACTTTTACAATGCCAATGAATGTTAGGAAAGGATGAGTTTCTCTTTGAGCATAGTTAATTTAAGGCTGTGTTGGATATAAAATCTTGGTATTTGGGTGAAAGATCTGTACTACAAATATCAAAGATGGTTGTTGATGTTATGTGGATGAATCACCCAGATAAATAAAAAATTGATTAAATAAGGAATCCCAAGGTCACCCTGCTGTAGAGGAGTGAGCTATATAAAAAGCTAAAGTCAATAAGAAAGCCAATAAAAAAATAGAATATCTTTTTTAACTTAAATCACTTTAGAAGTAAAGTGAAAAAAGAGTCAGGAAATGTAAGTCTGTAATCTCAAATATTGAGGAAGTGAGTAAAGAAAAGGACCATTAACCAGATGTCTTAATCTTTGTTGGTCTTAGTTTCATTTGTAAAGTAAGGGATAAGATTAGATGATTTTATAGATTTTGATCATTGACAAAGACTTCCCTGCTTTTTCCAGGCACTAAAACAATTGTTTACACTGTTCTATTAATATGTTCTATTCTCACTTTGTATTTGAAGAAGAGACTTAGGTAAAGTAGCTTGGCCAAGACTTCATACTTAACAAGTAGCAGAGCTTTTAGACCCCTCTCATCCATCTTTCCTAATCATTAGTGGGAGATATATGTGAGTCCTGGTTTCATATTTGGCAACTACCTTGTTAATTATCCTGTTAGAAAATGAGAACACAGCGGGTAGGGCATCTGCCTTGCACGCGGCCGACCCGGGTTCTATTCCCAGCATCCCATATGGTCCCCTGAGCACGGCCAGGAGTGATTCCTGAGTGCAGAGCCAGGAGTAACCCCTGTGCATCGCCGGGTGTGACCCAAAAAGCAAAAAAAAAAAAAAAAATGAGAACATACTTGGACAATACAGTTTTTTTTAATTTTAGGATTGATGGTTTACAATATTGCTAATGGCAGGGTTTCATGAATAACACATTCCAGCACCACACCCTCCACCATCTTCCACTGTTGTTCAGTATCCCTCCGCCTTCCAGTTCTATCCACACCACATCCCCTCCCTGTGGTAAACTTCTCACTGAAGATCAGAGAGATCATTATGTTAGACCGTATAATCCTAGCAGTTGCTGTGTAAATCTAGAGCAGTGCTGGGGTGGCCTTAGTGGTCCTAGGACAAGCAGCACTACATCCTCTTGCCCAAGTAGTGAGTTGCCAGGTTTTTTATTTTGTTTTTGTTTTTGTTATTTTGGGGGGAGGGTCACACCTGGCAATGCTCAGGGGTTACTCCTGGCTCTGCACTCAAGAATTACTCCTGGCGTTGCTCAGGGCACCATATGGGATGCTGGGGATCGACCCCAGTTGTCCACATGCAGGGCAAACACCGCTCCTGCTGTATTATCAGTCCGGCCCTGAACTGTCAGTTTGAAGGCCATGAGTCATTGAAAATGGTCCCCAGGGCCCCTAAGTACTGGTTGGAAGACCCTCCCAAAGTGCTAACATTGCAAAAATATTACCACATTAATAAAATTGAAGACATAATAAGATGATAAATTGTGCAGAAATAATGCATTTCTTTGTATGTCATACCCAGCAATGCATAGGGATTACTCCTGGCTTTGCACTCAGGAATTACTCCTGGCGGTGCCCAGGGGACCATATGGGATGCTGGGAATCGAACACAGTCAGTTGCTTGCAAGTTAAATGCCTTACCCACTGTACTATCGCTCCAGCCCCAAAATAATGCATTTCTTGCAAATGAACTTTTGCTTTCTGTTTTGTCCTTTGTTTTATTTTGGGATTAGACTATCACTTTTTTTGCCCTACAGCCTTAGAGAATAGACTCTTTGGGATAATTTTCCCCTCTCTCTGGCTATCTGGTCCTTTCGCAAGTACAGTAATTCATTATCAGGTTACCTAGGAAAGGTAAAATTCAAGATTGCTGATTCTTGTCAGCCAGATTCTTAAGTCTATATATACCCTAACATATTTTGTTAAATTTGAAATGAGGAAGTGACTAGGATTTACCCACACACAATCTGAAGAAATGTCTCATCAGTATCTAGGTATATGGAAAAGCTAAACTGCTCATCAGAGTTTTTTGACATTCGGACAGTTGTGTAAGGTGTATCTTACCAATTATGGTCAAATCTGGAAAGCTATCTCCTCCTAAACTATAGAGACTACATTTTAATAACTAGAATACATTTATTAGATACTGTATGATATTTTTTCCCTGGGATAAAACCAAATTTAAAAGAATACATTTTTATTAACCATTTCTCACTTATCTTTGTGCTTTTACAAGTAGCCGAAGCTTCTACCATCATAACATTATTTAGCAGTTTAATTTTACAATGATTTTTGGATCAGGATTTTATGAGTATTTGAATATATATTTGACCAGTACTATTTAAATCTTGTCTACTGATGACCCTGAAAAGGGCAACATTGGTGAATGCTTCCAGAAATTTCTCTGGTTCCTTGTGCTTTTAATTTTGAGCTATTTTTTGGTTGTTACATGTTCATAAACATTTTACTGTTGCCAAATGTTTCAGGAGCTTCCTACATTCAGTTATATGATCCCCTTTAGATTTGCTACCATAATTTAAGAAGGTCGCCTGTTAGGTCCTAGATCACTGCCACATTAACAGTGATTTTGAATTGCTTCTGCAGGTGACTAATTTATTTATTTTTGTTTTATTTTTTTAATTATACTTAAGCTATTATAGTTTTCTGACCTTGTCTGCAAAACTATAGTCTTAAAACAATAAAGGTACAGTCTTAAAACAAGAAAAGCTGTTTATACATTAGTTTGCAGTATTACATACATTAGTACTTTAAATGTTTGCTGTTAGAAAAAATGTTGAGGGGCCAGAGCAAAGTACAGCAGGTAGGGTACTTGCCTTGCATGTGTCTGACCCAGGTTCAATCCCCTGCACTGTCCATAGTAATTTCTCAGTGTATAGCTACAAGTAATTTTTTTTTCTTTTCGGATCACACCCGGCGATGCACAGGGGTTAATCCTGGTTCTGCACTCAGGAATTACCGCTGGTGGTACTCAGGGGGCCATATGGGATGCTGGGAATTGAACCCAGGTCAGCCGTGTGCAAGGTAAAGTAATTTTTGAGTGTTCCAGAGTGTGGCCCCAAAACAAAAACCCCAAAATATAAAATATTGAAACATAGTGTAAAAGACTTACTGAGGTGCAGAGAGATATTATAGTGAGTAAGGCATTTTGCCTTTCACGCAAGCTGACCCAGATTTGATCTCCAGCACCACATAGGTCCCCTGAACACTAACAGGAGTAAGCCCTGAGCACAGCCAGATGTGGCCCCTCCTCCCCAAAAAAGAAAGATATACTGATAAAAACATAACATATTTAATTTTCACATTTCTTTCAGCTTTCTCTATTAGAGCATTTCTATTCTCAGCCCCTCAGTGTTCTGTGCTGTAATCTTCCAGAGGCCAAAAGGAGAATAAATCTTTTATCAGATAATCAATGTGAAAATATCCGACGTCTTCCATCATTCAGAAGGTAAAACAAGAAGTGCACATTTTACACATTTTCTAATAGAGTTTGGGGCAAAGGAAAGTAGAAATGCCTTTTTATTTTGCTTGGAGCAAACTTAATTTCTTTTGTATTTGTGAAATTTTTTTTGTTGTATTTGAAATTTTGGCATAAAGAGAAGTGTTTTTAAAAGGGGATATAATGTTCATTATTAACTTCTGTAGGTAATAGTCTGGGGATTTTGGCTTTTGTTTATGACTAGTCTCTTGGATTATAAAGTACAGCTGATAGACATAATTAAAAATTACCATTAATCATGACTGTAATTTTGAATAATGTTTGAGAAGATAAGAAAAGAATGTGGCAACCAATCTAGGTTTCTCCTTTTTATGCCGTTCAAATACTTAGAATGTTTAATTTTCTTTTTGTTTATGGGATGGTAAAAATTTTAGGCACGTGGAAATGCAAGCTACAGAAAAACAAGTGGCACTATTGACCGGTGAGAGATTTTTGAAGGTAGGAATGTAATTATGTTTGTTTTGCATGTTTTCCTTCATGAAAAATAATATGCACATACTGCATATTGAATTAATCATATAAAACATTTCTATTACTGAGACACATTTTGAACTATGAGGTTCTAGGTCTCATAATTACAGAATGTTACTTTTAAAAGATGACACACAAAGTCTAGTTCTGAAATATTAGACTTTTTTTAAATCAAGGAAAAAATGTTAACTAGAACACTGGTTTTTTCCTGAGGTCTGTTTGGAAAGCACTTTTATTTTTCGTCTTTTCATGTAGCATTTCAGAATCTGTGTGCAATCTCATTTTAATGTTCTTTTAAAGATTGTCATAAATAAAAACACATAGAAACCCTGCAGCTTGAGACCCACTGCTAAGTAAATATTGACTTGAAAAAAAAAAATTACACTTGGTAATTCCAGAAAATGAAGTAATAGGCTCAGAAAATATGAGTTATACCTGCAACAAAGGACTATCAAATGGATATTCTTTCTTTTTTGAATAAATAATGTTTGGACAATGTACATAATTCAGAAGCAAAGACATTATACTGTACAGAGACTGCCTCCACATCCCTTCTGCCTCCATTGCCTACTTCCCCTCCCTGGGATGTAGCCAGTGTTACTGGTTTCTTATATTTTGTTATGCACTTTATCTTGGAAACATTCTGTGTTTGAACCAGAGATTGACTGGCATAGCATTCTATTGGCTATCTTCATTTTATTTTACAAGTTGTTCACTGATAGAATATTAGAAAAAGGCCACACTTATTTTCATACTCTTTAGGCATTTTTAAGGAAAAAGTAGTTATGAATTTCTAATAAAATTAATAGAGATTCAACGGTCATGGTCCTCCCGTTACTCATCGATTTTGCTCCAGCGGGCCCAGTAACATTGTGAGACTTGTTACTGTGTTTGGCATATCGAATACGTCACGGGGAGCTTGCCAGGCTTTGCTGTGCAGGCGAGATACTCTCGGTAGCTTGCCAAGCTCTCCGAGAGGGGCGGAGGAATCGAACTCGGGTCAGCCATTTTTGCTGCATGCAAGGCTAACCCCCTACCCGCTGTGCTATCGCTCCAGCACAATAGAGATTCAAAGTAAACCCTAATGATAAATATGAATTTTGCTGGTAACATACTATTTTTAGATTTTGAATAAAATAATTTTTGTTCCTAGAGGGCATTTGTTTAGTTCTAAATACTAATGACCTTTTTTTTAAATAAATTCTAAAAAAATACTGTGAATAGCTTTTTTTTTTTTGCTTTTTTTATTAGTGAGACACCATGAGGTACAGTTGTAGATTTATAATTTTTTGTGCTTGGGTTTGATTATACAATGATCAGATACCCATCCCTCCACCAGTGCCCATTTTCCACCACCATGGATAATATCCCCCCCACCCCCATCCCCCCTTCCCCCCCTGCCTCTGTGGCAGGGCAATCCCCTGTGTTCTCTCTCTCCTTTTGGGTGTTGTGGTCTGCAAAAGAGGCATTGAGTGGCAAACATGTTCAGTCCATAGTCTACTTTCGACATGCATCTCCCCTCCTGGGAGGATCCTCCAAACACCCTTTATTTGGTGTTCCCTTCTCTATCTGAGCTGCCCTTTCCTCTAGAATGCCCGACTGGCCACTAAGCTATGGAGTAATCCTCCTGGTGCTGATCTCAGCTATTCTTGGGTATTAATCTCATATTTTGTTACTTTATATCCCCCAGATGAATGCAATCTTTCTATGTCTATCCCTCTCTTTCTGACTCATTTCGCTTAACATGATACTTTCCATATTGTACCACTTGTATGTAAATTTCATGACTTCATCTTTTCTAACAGCTACATAATACTCCATTGTGTAGATGTACCAAAGTTTCTTTAACCAGTCATCTGTTCTTGGGCATTCAGGTTTCTTCCAGTTTCTGGCTATTGTAAAGAGTGCTGCAATGAACAAACAAGTGCAGATGTCACTTCGACTATACATTTTTGCCTCTCTGGGATATATTCCCAGGAGTGGTATTGCTGGGTCAAATGGGAGCTCAATTTCTAATTTTTTGAGAATCGTCCATACTGTTTTCCAGAAGGGCTGAACCAGTCGACATTCCCACCAACAGTGAAGAAGTGTCCCTTTCTCGCCACATCCGCGCCAGCATCGGTTGCTTTTGTTCTTTTGAATGTGGGCCAGTCTCTGAGGTGTGAGATGGTATCTCATTGTGGTTTTGATCTGCATCTCCCTGATGATTAATGATGTAGAGCATTTTCTCATGTGCTTTTTTGCCATTCGGATTTCTTCTTTGAGAAAGTTTCTGTTCATTTCATTGCCCCATTTTTGGATGGGGTTGGATGTTTTCTTCTTGTGGAGTTTAACCAGTATTTTGTATATCCTGGATATCAACCCCTTGTCAGATGTGTATTCGGCAAATATCCTTTCCCATTCTGTAGACTGTCTTTGTATTTTGGTCACTGTTTCTTTGGAGGTGCAGAAGCTTCTTAGTTTAAGATAGTCCCATTTATCTATCTCTGTTTTCACTTGCTCAGTCAGTGGCGTGGCATCTTTGAAGATACCATTAGCTTCAATGTCATGGAGGGTTTTGCCAACTTTGTCTTCAATGTACCTTATGGTTTCTGGTTTGATGTTGAGGTCTTTAATCCATTTTGATCTTACTTTTGTACATGGTGTTAGGCAGAGTTCTGAGCCCATTTTTTTGCATGTAGCCGTCCAGTGATGCCAGCACAATTTGTTAAAGAGGCTTTCCTTACTCCACTTCACATTACTTGCACCTTTATCAAAGATTAGATGATCATATGATTGAGGGGAGATGTCAGTGTATTCAACCCTGTTCCATTGGTCTGCAGCTCTGCCTTTGTTCCAGTACCATGCTGTTTTAATTATTACTGCTTTGTAGTACAGTTTGAAGTTCAGGAGGTTGATTCCTCCCATTTTCTTTTTCCCAAGAATTGCTTTAGCTATTCGTGGGGGCTTATTGTTCCATATAAATTTCAGGAGTGTTTGCTCCATTTCTTTGAAGAATGTCATGGGTATCCTTATAGGGATTGCATTGAATTTATACAATGCTTTTGGTAGTATTGCCATTTTGACAATGTTAAGTCTCCTGACCCATGAGCAGGGGATATCTTTCCATTTCCTCATGTCCTCTTTTATTTCCTGAAGTAGCGTTTTGTAGTTTTCTTTGTACAGGTCCTTTACTTCCTTAGTTTAGCTGATTCCTAAGTACTTGATTTTCTGGGGCACAATTGTGAACGGGATTGTTTTTTTCATGTGTGAATAGCTTTAATCAAATATTATTTGTAATGTAGAATCTGTCCTGGGCGATAATGTTATTTGGTTTAATAATCATTTTTATTATCTTTAACCTTTGAGAGTAATATAGAAAATCCTGAAATCCTAATGCGGGTAATTTTGGTAGGGAGAAAACTTAGAAATCAGTGGAAATGGTTGTGTGCTTGTTTACTGTGTCATTTAAGATTAGATACATTAGGGCTGAGTCAGCTGGTTGCCAGGTGCATTTCCTGCCAGGGCTTTCTGTCAAGAGTGTATTTTTAGAAGCCAGGAATAGATTTTTTTTTCAAGATGGAAAGAGAGTTTATTAAGTCATACGATGATCACAAGAAGCATGAGTTTGTCTTGACTCAAAGGAGTAAAAGGCCAGAAATATATTTTCTAAATGCACTTTAACGTTTAAGATGACAGAGAGAGGGAGCAGAAGAGATAATACTTTTGTTTTGCATGCTGCCAAGTACAGTTTTATATTCAACACCACATATGTCTCCCTGAATAGTACCAGGATGGTCCCTGAGTTCAGAGCTGGAATAAGCTCTGAGCACTAGTGGGTGTCCTTCCACCTCCCCCCCAACCAAAAAATAAAAAAGGTGATTTTATATTTTAGACTGTACTTCAAGAAAGAGATTGACATTTTTCTAAACTTTTCAGTGACTTTCTACATTTTTTATTCTGTGTTTTTGCCTTTATTTACGTAGTGTTTGTTCTTGTTACTCTTATTAGCTATTTGTTATTTACTGTCTGCCATATTCATTTAGGATTGCATATATTTTTAAAGGCATGGTTTCTTTTTATACTTGATTATTGTAGTTAAAGTAGTATGTTTATAATAGTGTTAACATTTATGATTAAATTGAGGTATTAGTTACTACACCACCAGAAGGCTCAGGATGCACCAACAATGTAAAGTCATAACATTTGATTTAACAAATGAGAAAGGTGAAAGAACACACAAATTTGCTCCCTTATTCTGAAAAGGTTTCCTGAGGATGCCTGCCTTAGTCAAAGGGCAGAAGATGTTTATGAAAAAACAAGTGTATTGACTCATTTTTCTAGTTGTGAGTGACAGTATCTTTAATTTTTTTTTAATGTATTTTATTTTTTGTTTTTTTGGACCGCACGAGGTAATGCTTGGGGGGTTACTACTGGCTCTGCACTCCTGGCGTTTCCCTGGGGGATCATATGGGATGCCAGGGACAGAACATAGGTGGCTGCATGCAAGGCAAGCATGCTGTTTTACCCTACCCTTGGTACTCTCTCCAACTACTTAATATTTACTTATTTATTTATTTGGGCTGGAGTGATAGCATAGTGGGTAGGGCGTTTGCCTTGCACGTGGCTGACCTGGATTCGATTCCTCCGCCCCTCTCGGAGAGCCTGGCAAGCTACCGAGAGTATTCTGCCCACACAGCAAAGCCTGGCAAGCTACCCATGACGTATTCCATATGACAAAAACAGTCACAAGTCTCACAATGAAGATGTTACTGGTGCCCGCTCAAGAAAATCGATGAACAACGGAAGGACAGGACAGTACAGGACAGGATTTATTTGGTATTTGGGCCATGCCTGGCAATGCACAGGGGTTTCTCCTGGCTCTGCACTCAGGAATCATTCCTCCCTGTCCTCAGGGGACCATATGGGATGCTGGGGATTGAACCTGGGTCAACTGCTTGCAAGGTAAATGCCCTACCCTACCTGCTGTACTATTGCTCTTGCTCCCAGTATAACTTTTATAACTTTTTTCTGTACTTTAGGAAAAACATATGGTAGTCAATTCTATATGTAATTTACCACAGAAGATTAATTGGGGAAAAGACTATATGGTAATAAGTGTAGCACTGCGTGATACAGGGAATATACTATCAACATCAGAAGTCTTGCATTTGATTTCCAACTTTATATCTACTTAAGAAATTCACTGTATTAAAGCCTCAATTTCCTTTCTCTAAAATGGAATGAATTTTTCAGTATGAGACTCTTGAAAGTTAGTAGTTATCTATACAGCAAGTGAGGTTAGGGCCAGAGAGATAGTATAAAATGCAGGGAGCTTGCCTTACATAAATACAATAAAGGGCTGGAGTGATAATACAGTAGGTAGGGGTTTGCTTTACATGCGGCCGACTGGGGTGTGGTCCCTGGCATCTTGTATGGTTTCCTGAGCACCACCAGGAGTAATTCCTGAGTGCAGAGCTAGGAGTAACCTGAGCATTGCCAGGCATAATTCAAAAAGCAAAAAGATTAATAAGAACAATAAAAATTTTATAATGCCTAAACTTTGTTATCGCTCCTGGAGCGATAGCACAGCGGGTAGGGCGTTCGCCTTACAAGCGGCCAACATGGCCGACCCGAGTTCAATTCCTCCGCCCCTCTCGGAGAGCCAGGCAAGCTACCGAGAGTATTCGATATGCCAGACACAGTAACAACAAAGTCTCCAATGGAGACGTTACTGGGCCCGCTCGAGCAAATCGATGATCAACGGGAGGGCCTTTACCTTTACCTTTACCAAACTTTGTTATATTTTATGACATTGTAACATGTATTTCTTTTACCTTGATAAAAATAAATGGAGCAATAACACAGCGGGTAGGGAGTTTGCCTTGCACGCGGTCAACCTGAATTTGATTCCCAGCATCCCATATGGTCCCCTGAGCACTGCCAGGAGTAATTCCTGAGTGCAGAGCCAGGAGTAACCCCTGTACATAGCTGGGTGTGACCCAAAAAGGGAAAAAAAAAGATTAATAAAGAACTACAAGCAGATAATTTTTATCTTGTGTATTATATATACTCAATATAAAATATATAATAATCTATGTTGTATAGAGAAGAAATAGCTGTAAATTGTATCTTTAGAATTTTTCCTTTCTTTCTGAAACCTACTCCAGAATAATTATAAGAAAGTCCAATTCCAGAGTAACTATCACCAGAGTGATAGTACAGCGAGTAGGGTGCTTGTCTTGCATGTGACTGACTCGAGTTCGATTTCTGGCATACCACTTACTTGTATAATTGCTCCACAAAACTAAAGTAATAGATATTATAAAGGATAAGTGGCATGAATTGTCATAATTATGCAGTAACAAATTCTTTTTTCTTTTTTTGGCTTTTTGGGTCATACCCAGCAGTGCATAGGAGTTCTTCCTGGCTCTGCACTCAGAATTTATTCCTGGTAGTGCTTGGGGGACTCTATAGGATGCCAGGGATTGAATTTAGGCCTGCGGTGTGCAAGACGAACACCCTACCTGCTATACTATTGCTCTGACACCCATCCCCAAATTCTTTTCTTTAAGAGTATTGTTATATTGAAAAACTATTTAATCACATACCAAGACAAACAATAACAAACCAAATAGAGGTGGTTTAAACTATTCTTTGATGTGATTACCTTGGGGCTGGGACTGGAATCTTCCAAACACTGCTCAAGGAGGCCTGGGGTCCTCATGGTGATTTTTTTGGCCAATTGGACTGGCAGTTCCCCAAGGATGCAGTGCTACTTTGACCCTGCAGTGCTAGGGATTACCTGAACTGCCCTGGCAGTACCTGCGGTCCTCTGGGACCTGAGCGTAACTACTATTATTTTGTTAGGAGACCAAAATTTTTCAAATTACTAGCCAACTCAAATAATGGGAGAAAAAACATTTCAATACTAAAAATATTTCTTTCATTTGCCCTATACTTTCAAGTAATGACTAATGGATGGTTAACCAAGGCATTGATTTATAAGTCAGAGTTTAGAAAAATGTATCAGATTTGTTACTTTATATCAGTTAGATTTACTGAAATTTATTTATAGCTGAGATTATTTTCTACATGGTTTAATGCTAAAAATAAAAGATCTCTTCAAGCCATTACTCAAGAAATACCAAAAACAAGACAGCCCCTAAATTAAATACTCTTTTATTTGACCAGGGGAGGAAAAAGTTGAAGACCTTGCCACAGATCTCTACAATAGCAGTTAACTCTTTGCTGTGTTTGAAACCCACTTTAAAAACATTTCTAGAAATAATTCTAAAAAGTTTATAGAAATAAGCAATTATAAAAGTATTTGAGTACTCGGTGGGATGTAGTGTTTTAAAATAACTTCTTAAGTTTTTGAGACTAAAGATATAGTATAGGGGTGGGTACTTACCTTGCATGCAACAAACCCTGGTTGAGTCCTGACACTGTCCCCTGGTCAATTCTAGGAGTGATCCCGAGCACAGAAACAGAGTAAGCCCAGATCCCAGAGCATAGTGGGGTGTGCCCCACCAAAAAAGTTAATTCTTTTAGAATGTTCTAAAAAAGATAATAGTACTCTTCATATTGATTCATTTATAGTGGTCATTTATACATTTCTAACATACAAATTAAGTTACTGTGATAATGCTGTAAAGGAGAAAATTCACTATTTTCATATCTTACTTGGTAGAGTTTAAATTATAAAGCTTATTGGCCGCAGATTTTTTAAAAAATTTTTTAAAGTGGCAAAGTGAATAAAACCAACATCCAATATTTAAGTGTATGACTCTTCCTTCCCCTTCCCCCCCCCCAAAAAAAAGGACAGGCATTTGTTAGAATATCTGTGATGTTTCTTCTATAATCTTTCCTATTCCCAGTTAAAACTCGAGTAGTATTTTAAGGATAGATATAAGCAGTGCCTCAGCAACTCTTAAGTACATTGGTACTGAGCTCTCAGATGAATTCCACATCTTTGCAAGGACTATAAGTGAGGGTATTAATAATGGGCTTTCTTCAGGGTGACTGACATCAGTATGCATCCAACAAGGTTTTTGCACATCTTTATGGGGGAGGGGCTGAGTTGCTGTGACAATGCTATAAAGGAGAAAATTCACATTAAATCTGATGTGGAAAATATTCGCAGACTTGATACTAAATTATAAATGGCCAACTGAAACCTTATGTATTGGGCATATGAAGGCTAATTTGCAATAATTTGCAATTTTGAACTTTTTTTTCAGAAATTATATGTGAATTTTATTATATATTTGTTACTGATTTGCATATTTGTAATATATTGTGATTTTTTTTAAAGGAGGAAACACAGTTATTACTAGAAAATCTGCATGTTTACCATACAAATTACTTCCTGGTTTTGAGATGTCTTCATAAGTTCACCTCTTCTCTTCCCAAGTACCCATTAGGTCGACAGGTAAACATAACTTCCTCATTTACAATCTATGAAATGAGAATATTAGTAGTTTTGTACTTAGATTTAACAGAATTTGAAATGGATCCAAAATTGTAATAATACCACAAATTAGGTCCCTTTCAGCAACACATATTATTGATGATTGAAATAGTATTTATTGTTTTGATGTCCACAACTTGAAAGAACCAGAGTCCTGGTGGTATTGCTTCTCCTACAGTGTACTTGCACTAAGGCATTTTAAGTTTAATATTTCTTTATCTTTTTTACTGAGAGCTGCTTCTCCACTGTAGTGTTTGGGAAAAGGAATATGCTTAATAATTAACCTTGCAATACACCAAGAACTAAAAGGAAATTAGTATGTCTCCTTTGAAAATTATGCTTTTGTCATTTGCGTCATACCATAAATGTATGAAATATCTGAAGAGTAGATATTAATAGAAGAATTCTATAAGCCTAACTCCTCTTCACCCAAAGATTTAAAGGATAGATAAAATTATGTTAAGGATTGATAAAATAATGATACCATTATTAGATTATTTCTGACATTAAAGCTTATTTTCAATAATTCCTACATTTTTATTGTTACCATTTTCATATTATAAAGTAACTGATAATTGCCAGTCCTAGGGGTCTCATTCTGCTTCTTTGTAAATAGTTCTTATGACGCTTGAACCTTCTGTCATATGCTAAAGCTCTTGTCATCTGAAAGAAATGGTTGTCTTAATAGCATTATTTTTTGTCTTAACTATTTGCCAAACCAGTAATGTGCAAACACTGCATCACTCATGGTTCCTCATGAATGTGCTGTTTACTTACAGATCAGAGAGCTGTACTGCACATGTTTAGAAAAAAACATATGGGAATCAGAAGAATATGCTTCAGCTTTACAGCTGCTGAGGTAAGTTTTGTTTTATTTTTTTCTTCTTGGTTTTCTCTAAGCCTGCCAAAGTAACACCTTCCTCCAGAATTCTGAGTGTTAAAAAGTTTTGAAAACGGGGCCAGGGAAATGACTCAGTGGGCTGAGTGCCTGCCTGTTATGTATGTGGAGGCACTGAATTCTCCAGATGGTCCTCTCACAGCACTAAACAGTGTTGCCCTGATGTCTCCTAGCACAACTGGGTCTGAATAGCCCTATACCACCAGTGTAAAATCTAGTGGTAGTAAGAGAGCTTGGGATATGGATCATTTTAATTCAGCCAGCCTGACATAGCAGGGGAATTAGTCACAGAAAGGGAGTTGATCATGACCTTGATCTGTTTGAGTAAAAATAATCCTGTTTCTACAGAATTATGGAGGAATGGACTGCATCCTTGAAGGAGGTTGTTGCTGACCTTGATGAATAGCATCCTTAAGTAGGCAGTTGCCTTGATGATTTACCCTACATGGGCTAACTCTGTTTACATTAGCTTTGAATAATTCATAAATTAATATTATAGGAATAAACTATCTTGGGGTTATTTTTGTGTTATTATCAAAGTTATAATCTATTGTAACCCCTTGACTTTAACTTATGTATATGGTAACTTTTTAGTCTTCCATTAAAAATATTGACTGCTTGGATCTTGAGTAAAGGGAAATTTAGTTTGAGCTAAATATCTGCCTACAGTTTTTAAATTTTTCCCAGTTGATGTAAGTGCTTATATGAAAGTATTATAAAGAAATCTGAGAACTGAATATTTAGTCTTGGTTTTCCCTGGGCCCACAAGAAAAGAACAGATGGACACAGTAGGAGGAAAATGCACATGGAAAACACTTTTAAGTTCAGTGAATTAATAATACAAAGTGATCAAGCAGGTGCAGCTTAAGATAGAAAACTAATTTCATGCTATTCCCCATGGAAACTAGTTGCCACTGAAAACCATGCTTCATTTCATTTTCTAAATGTCAGTTTCTATGTATTTGTATGTTTCAGCTGAAATATTTCTGAGACTCCTTTTGCTTTCACTTAAGTCATTATAAATATTTCACCATTGGTTCTTGCTGGGTTTCTTTTAACCTTTATGATTAGTGATTGTCTTCCTTATCTAGCTGGATATTCCCAAATTCATAGATTTCTTCTTCAGGAATGAACTTGTTTTTCTCTTTCTGCTTCTTGATTTTGGTATCCCTGGTGTACAAATTAGGGGATAGTACACCAATTTAGGAAATGGCCCAGCATTTTGTCTCCGAAAGGACATGAGACTCCCAAATCTTCCTAGGTAGACTAATCCAGCTGAGAACTCAGAATGGGAGCAGGCTGATTCCCCTTTCTGCCTGAAGGCCCAGCATCACACAGCCTCTGACTTTGAAAGGGCCCAGATCCACTACTGAATCTCATCAAACTGCCAAGCATTCATCAATACACCAGAGTATTCCAGATCTAAAGTTCCAGAATCTCGCAGCAACATAAACACCTCAAAATTTCATAGTTCTGTCAGTCCAGTAGGATCACAGAAAATCTGACTGGAAAGGACCACCTAGCTCAATGAACCTAAACAATAATATAGAGGCTCAACCTGCACTAACCAACATTGTACAGTGACTTTAGTAACATCATTTATGACATGTAACAATGATCACAAATTGATTCTTTTTGATCTAAGATTTGATAATTCTGTTTGTCTTTGTGTTGCAGCAAATACTATAAAGTAAATTTGATCGTGCCTGCAAGGGGGTAGTCTGCGGTGATGGGTGGGAAATTGGGGATATTGGTGGAGGGAAGGAAACACTGGTAGTGGGACTGGTGTTGGAATATTAATGCCTGGAACAACTGTATTATGAGCAGCTTGGTAAATCACAGTGTTATAATAACTAAAACACACACACACACACACACACACACACACACACACACCAATCTAAAGTAGGGTAGGGAAACAGGACCAATAATAGTAATAGTGACAGTAGTGACTTCCTATTATGGAGGCTTGCAGCACACTATGTTAATAACTTCATTTTTCTGCAATAAAGAACATATTTGCAGTAGATACTGTTAGAAACACTACACAGAGGAAGCTATGTATAGTGAGGATTTAAGTTGATTTGCCTAAGATCTCTTAAATTAGGATGGTATAGGAGTCAAATCCAGGTCTAATTTCAAATTATGATACTTTTCACTTCTTTACTAAGGTACAGTCTGGATTTGGCACGTCTGAATTATGCAGAAGAAAGAAGTTGATAGTAACATTTCAGTGATTTTGCTAAGCTGAGGTCAGAAATAAAAAGTACTGAGAAGGGGGGATAGAGAATACAGGAGGTTTGGCACTTACCTTGCATGTGGCCATCCATGGTTCTACCCCTGGCATTCTATGTAGTCCCCTGATTACTACCAGTAGTGTTCCTGAGTGCAGAGCAGGAGTAACCCCAGAACTTTGCTGGAGTGACAACCTGTGCACTGCGCTTCTCCCCTTCCCCCAGCAAAAAAAAAATGGTACTGAGGATTAAGCACCTAAGTAAGGACAAGCTAGATTGTAGCCACAGCAGAAGAAAGGAATCTGAGAACCTTTACACTGGATTTCCGACTTTGGGGGAGCAAGGGATGTTGCTTGGTTTTAGGTGCTCATAATAGGCATTATCTGAGTTTAGAAAATAAGGTTTTTATCTATCTTGAAACATTCTCTTATGTGGAACAAGTCAGATCATCAGAGAAAGTAAACTTAAAATGGTCCCTGAATGTCACTTTGGAAAGATGAGGTAAGATACTATTAAAAATGTAGTCTTGCACCTGGAAACAAATGAGAATGAAGACACGAGCTACCAGAACCTATGGGATGCAGCTAAAGCCATGTTAAGGGGAAAATTTATAGCTCTGCAAGCATTTCTCAGGAAGGAAGAAGGGGCTGACATAAACAACTTGACTTCACAGCTCAAGATCTTAGAAAAGGACCAGCAAGAGGAGCCCAAACCAGGCAGAAGGAAAGAGATCATAAAACTTAGAGCAGAAATCAACGACATGGAAAACAAAAAAACAGTTCGAAAGATCAATGAAACCAAGAACTGGTTCTTTGAGAAAATAAACAAGATAGATAAACCACTAGCAAGACTCACAAAGAAAGAGAGAGAACCCTAATAAACCGAATCAGAAATGAGAAGGGGGATATCACAGCAGAAACCAAAGAAATTCAAAAGATCATCAGAGACTACTTTGAAAGTCTGGATGCCACGAAACAAGAGAACCTAGAAAAAATGGATAAATCCCTGGATTCCTATAATCTCCCAAGGCTGAGTCAAGAAGATCTGGAATACCTGAATAGTCCTATTAACATCAGGGAAATTGAAGCTGTAATCAAAAGTCTTCCCAAAATCAAAAGCCTAGGTCCAGATGGATTCACTAGCGAATTTTTGCAAACATTTAAAGAGGACCTATTGCCAGTTCTTCAAGCTTTACCAGGAAGTTGAAGAAACAGAAACTCTTCCAAACAGTTTGTATGAAGCCCATATCTCTCTAATACCAAAAGGAAACAAAGACACCACAAGAAAACTGTATCCCTGATGAACATGATGTTCCCCTGAGCCCCACCAGGAATAATCTGGGTGTGACTCCAAAAAAAAACAATAACAACATAGAGTTCTGTGGGTTTTCAGTAAAATCAGACAATAACTTGAGTTGTTAAGACTCATTTTAAAACAAAAGACACTGAATGACTGTTTTTTAGGTTAGTGAGCTTTAAGGCTTTTTTAGTGTGCATCAAGATCAGCTCATAAGTCCTACCACTAAGCATCAAAAACAAAGAATAAATAAGTAATAAGTACTTAGTAAATCCTAATCCAATATGTTCTAGAAACAGGAATTAGGTTAAACCACTTAATAACAAAGCAGGTCCTAGAGTAACGCAGTTTCTTTCAACATTGAAATGATTCTTTCATGATCTTAATGAAACAGTATTGAATGAAACAAAATGATATCATTAAAGGAGCCGTTGTATTTCTCACAAGCCCAGTTCCTGTAAATTGTCATGCAGTGCCTTTGGAGTCTGTGTTCTTAACCAAAAAATTTCAGGTTTGTCTTTAAAAAACAAAAAAACAAAAAAACTTGTAGTCCTAAAAAGACTCTTCTCTACCAAAAAAAAAAAAGAATCAGCTCTGACCACTGCCAGGAATAACTGAAGATAAGAGCCCATGAGCACCAACCAAGTGTCGCCCAAATCTCTCCCCACAAATAGAATCAACTCTGACATGTATTATCAACATTTTTTCTTGTAATTCAAGATAATATGATGCATCAGTTAAAATATGCATATATTTGATCTTACTCAAGTCATTTTTAACTATATGATAGAATGAAATTGATCCATTTTGACAAACTGAAAAGAGCATGGTATTCCACAAAAGGAACCTTGATTTCTAGTTGCTCCCCTCACACAAACCAGTGGGAGAACAGAGAAATGATTCTGTACTTAGTTGGAACATTTCATTGCATAACCATTAGCTTGTTTGTCCTTTCAAAAAAATTTTGGTGCTTGATATATGGAACCATTGATGTGACAATAGGCTGACCCTATCTACAGTGAATTTAGACCCTGTGAAAGATTAAGGTGGACAGGTAGACAGGCAATTTCAATACAGAATAATAAGTGCTGTGAAGAGTGAGATTTAAGGTGCTAATAGACTGCACGATGAACTTCCATTTGAGAGATAGGATAGTTTCTCAGAAGCGGTGTGTCTAAGATGAAATACCAAGGCTTTGGAATTATGCCTAATTGGCTTCTTTTTCACTTACAATCAAGGCTTATTTTATGCTGTCTTTGAAGAAGACAATCTGAATAATTTTGTATGCTTTTAAAATTCTTGCCTTCATTGATAAAGCCATACAAATGCGGGCTTGCATTTCTGATTAATTTTTAATGCTGCTTTATAGTTGTAATGTTGGTTTAGAAATTGAGAACTTACTTCGAAGATTTTTGTATTAGCTGTGGGTTGACCAGCTTGTCATTATAGCCTGTCTCAGTCACACGTTTATGTAATCAGTTCTTAACCAGAAATTACTGGCTTTCTGCATGATGAAGCAGAACACTCCCTCTATTGACCTGCCGGATGATTGCCTTTAATGATTACTAAATGATTGTCTTTCTGTCTTAGTTAAGGAAACATTTATATTTTATGAGAATTTATAAAGTATTTAATACATTTAAATATTAACGGGGTTTTTTTTTTTAGTCATTTACCATATAGTGACATAATCACTTAGGTTGGTTAAAGAAAACCACTTCTTTTTAACAATAATGCAACTAGCCTAGGTTTTGTATTTTTTTCCTTTTGTCCTTAATTTAGTGTAGTGACTTTCAAGCTTTTTAATCTGACATTCTTTTAGTTTCATTCCTTTTCTTGCAAAGAAAAAATGCTGTATGAATCAACCAAATTTTAAAATATAATCACACTGTCTCCAATTCCTTGCTTTTTTTTTTATGTCTTTTGTCTTTCATCAAAGCTGTTTTGGTCAGCATTATCAGTGACCTGCCTGTACTATCTTTCCAGCCCCATGACATTTTTTTCTTATAGTATAAAAATGAATAGGGTTGGCTTCAGCTTTCTCAATTTCCAATTATGTAGGCTGCAAATAGATGTGAAGTGTGGCTGCCTCTTACCTAGAAAACTAGTCTACAGGGAACTGTATATGTGAGTTAGACATCTACCAACATTCCCTCCTTACTGTTAGCCCCTTTTCAATAGCCAGCACTATCCAATGATCCCTTAGATCCTGGCAATGCTGATCTTGTCCATGTGAATAGGATTAAAGGTCACAGGTTGGTTGGGTGTTTTGAGTTCAGTGTAACTTAATCTGGCCAACAGGAAACTAGATTTTCAATTGTAATGAAACATTTTATGTGTAGGATTAGTTTTCTTTGACATGTTACTTGCCTTTCAATTCCAAGTAAAGATTACAGTTTGAATAATTGTCTCATTATTGAAGATAAAGGAAGATAAGATTTTTGTACTTTGGGGTGGTGGACATGGTCTTAAGGACTAGAGCACATGCTTTGCCTGCAGGAAGCTCTGGTTCGCCAAGCACATCCAGGCCAGATATGACCCAGACACTATTTGGGTCTCACCTCAAAATTTAAATTTAAAAAATTTTAAGATTTTTATACTTTTTTTTTTTAAACCAGGAAAATATGGGGCTGGAGCAGTAGCAAAGCAGATAGAATGTTTGCCTTGCATGCGGCCAACCAGGGTTCGACTCCCAGTATCCCATATGCTCCCCTGAGCACCGCCGGGGGTAATTCCTGAGTGCATGAGCCAGGAGTAACCCCTGTGCATCGCCATCACCAGGTGTGACCCCCCCCAAAAAAATAAAGTTAAAGTAGCCAGTTTATTTTCTTAGTAGTCATAGTCTACTTAGTTTTATATCTTATTTATTTATTTATTTATTTATTTGCTTTTTGGGTCATACCCGCCGATGCTCAGGGGTTACTCCTGGCTTCGCACTCAGAAATCACTCCTGGCAGTGCTCGGGGGACCATATAGGATGCTGGGAATCGAACCCGGGTCGGCCGCGTGCAAGGCAAACGCCCTACCCGCTGTGCTGTTGCTCCAGCCCCTATATCTTTTTTAAAAAAATAAATTTTGATGTTTTGTCCAGATTTGTTATTAGGAAAAATATAAAATATGTGGCAGTTAATCTTGCATAATGTCCCACATTTTGGATTTGTCTTTCATAATCAGTATAAGAACTTTGAATCATTTCAGTCTTCAGGTCTGCTTGATAGGAATAATTTGTGTACTCTGAATTATTCCTTATATTGATCTAATTTCAGTTCTCTGTGTTATTGAATATGATCTTAGGGGCAAGATCTGGTAAATAAGGATTCTGAGAACATGATTGTAGCACTGTAGCATTGTCCTCCCATTGTTATCGATTTGCTCGAGTGGGCACTAGTAACATCTCCATCCTGAGACTTGTTACTGTTTTTTGGCATATCAAATACGTCACGGGGAGCTTGCCAGGCTCTTCGAGAGGGACAGAGGAATCAAACTCAATCCTATGCGTGCAGGGCAAACTATCACTCCAGCCAGCTTCATTTCTAATAGATTTCCATCATAATTTTTAAATGAGTTAAAGAACATTTTTAACTATTTTGTGAAACAAGTAAAATTGTTTTTGTTGTTTTAAGTTCAGTGGAGATGTTGACTGATAATTGTAAAGTCCATAGATATGTACATAACTAAAATAGTAATAATTAAAAATTGATTGTGACATTTATACTTTTATTCCTCTCTCTCTCCCTTCCAACCCCTCCCCCCCCCCCCCACCCCTCCCAGGGATCACTCCCAGGTGGGTGGCAGGGATTGAACTTTGGTCAGTCTGTGTGCCCTATCTCTTCAGCCCTGCATCTTCTCTTAAGGTCTCATTCTAACCTGCGAAATAATGTGAATTCCTGTAATCATTGTACAGACAAGGAAACCAAGGACCAGATCTATTTAGAAAACTGGTCTTTTAATACAAGTATAGTGTAGAAACTAGGCTGTGCACCCAGATCTTTGAAAATTTTCTTAGTTGAGTCTTATCATGGGAGCTTTTTTAAATACTTTCCACCCTTCCTTTCTTTTTGTTGTACTAACTGGAGGGGGGAGGAGGTCACATGCTTGGTTGTGATATTTGTTTATAACAAGGGTCACTCTGTGGCTTCAGGAATCACAAACTGCAGTACTCGTGTGTTTACACTTGGGATGTGCAGCAGTGCCACGATATAGCCCAATCCTTCATGGAGGTAGTCTTTCAGTGAGCTAATTCCTGGGCTCCTCTACTGAATATTTTTAAAAAATGTTCTATATATTGAGGAAGATTTTTTTTTTAATTTTTGGGTCATACCCAGCAATGCTCAGTGGTTCTTCCTGGCACTGCACTCAAGATTTACTTCTGACGGTGCTTGGGGGACCATATGGGATGCTGGGGGTTGAATTCAGGTCAGCCTCATGCAAGGCTATCACCCCAGTCTAAAGAAAATCTTTTAAAAAGTTGGTAGCAACGTGGCATTGAGCATGGCACTTACTAATGGTGCATATGGTAAACTTCTACCAGATTTTAAAAAGGTATGTTAACTCCTAGCTTGCTAAGGGAATTTAATACATTTTCAATAATGAATACCTCATTTTAAAATAAAAATTATGTGCAAAAAAGGTTTGTAGCAACTAAAATTTTGTTCCTGATTCATTTTTTATTTTTTTTTAGAGCATTACAAAGCCATTCGTGATTGAATTTCAGTCATACAGTATGCCAACACCCATCTCTCCTCTAGTATACATTTCCCAGCACCAGTATCCCCAGGTTCCCTCTTATCACCCCCACCCCCACTCCCTGCCTGCCTCTTTGGCAGGCACTTTTATTCCTTCCCTCCCCTCCTCCCTCCCCTCCTCCCTCCCCCTCCCTTTTGGGCATTGTGGTTTGCAATATTGATAGATGGTGTTATTTTTTTTTTTAATTTTCTTGTCACATTATGTCTCGTCACTGATTCTATTCTAGGATGTTGGCAAAGGATGAACTGATGACCATACTTGAGAAATGTTCCGAGGTTTTTAACTTGTCTTCTGAAAAGCATCTTGACAGCACAGCAAAGAGAATAGAAGAATTTCTGGCCCAGTTTCAGAGCCTTGATGGTGAGAATCAACCACTTTCTTGTCTGTGCTACTGACTGAGAGAGGCAGTTTTTAAAAATAGGTTGGAAGGAGCTGGAGCAATAGCACAACGGGTAGAGCATTTACCTTGCACGCCACCAACCCAGGTTCGATTCCCAGCATCCCATATGGTCCCCCAAGCATTGCCAGGAGTAACCCCTGAACATCGGTGGGTGTGACCCAAAAAGCAAAAAAACAAAAAAACAGGTTGGAAGACCCCTTCTTTCTGAAGTGATGAGAAATAAAGAGATAGATGGAGTTCAGAATTAGTCCGCTATACCGAGTCCTAGAATATCACATCTGTATAATAAAAAATAGACAAAATGATTCATTCCAGATTTTCCTGCCTCTATCCCAAATGATGTGAAAGAAATTCATTTTCTAGATGGACAGTTTAAAGAAACTACCTTATTGAGAGGGAAATGGCAACAAAAGAATTTTTGGAAAGATTAGGAAGAAATCATATTAAGGACTCCTTTATGTATCTTAAGCTCTTCATCAAGTTCTTTATAGATTTAAAAACACTGCATTAATCATTTATAAGTCTGAAAAATTAATAGCAGTGAACGACTTTCACAGTCAGGCTCATTGGTATGCTGATTCCCGAAATATTGTATAAGGTTTGCTTTAATCACATTGAGAAATGCTTGGATTGAAAGGTTACAATTTCCTTTATTTTACATGACCTCCACAGGGTCATTTATATTCACCAAGTGCTCAAGAACCCTGTTGTGTATAGGTAACCATGTTCTGATCCCTAATGCTTCATTTTATAATGGAGCATCATGGAACAATACAGACTATGAACCTTTTCGCTTGCTGTATGTGTGTGTGTGTGGGGGGGGGGGTATTTAGTTTGAAGTGTGGAATTTTTTTTTTAAGTGTCCACCTTTTAGTTTCCTGTTTAGGAAAAATTTTATTGGCGTCTGGTACAGAGGTATCTTGGTACAAAGAATATTTGCACGTGGAATGTCCACATTGATCTTTACTATGCTTAGGAAGGACTAGAAATAGACATCACTAAAAAATCCAGCTAAAATCAAAAACTAAAGTCCCAGAAGAGAAACTAGATAATGATTCCAGAGCTGGCTACTAGTAGTAACCATGCTGGAGCCCTTCATCACCTGCTTTATATGTTATGTTTTGTTTTTCTCACTGGTTTAAAATTTAAGTGCCTCTTAAACATGGCTGCTAGGACAGTGAAGGATACTTTTAGGATAAAAATAGAATAAAACACTTAGAAGATGGGCAGGGGGTGGTGGCAGGAATGAAACTGGGAACATTGGTGATGGGAAATGTGTACTGGCGAAGTTGGAACATTGTATGACTGAAACCCAATCATGAACAACTTTTTAACTGTGTATCTCTTGGTGACTCAATTTAAAAAAAAAAGACTTAGAAGTTTATATGATAAAATAGGTATTTTTATTTATTTCAGTCTTTACCAAGTTAGATTTTGATTTTTGTAAAAAGAAATACATTATTTGGGGACCATACCCAGTGGTAACACTCAGTGGGCTTGGGGATCATATCCACAAGTGGGTCCATTGAACCAGGTCAGCCACATTCAAGGCAAGCACCTTACCTGCTCTACTATGCTCTGGCCCTGACTTTTAATTAGTTTATATAACAAGCTAGAGAATAAATTCTGTGATATGCTAATATTAAATATATAATGTGCTGGTATTAAATATTAATTTCATTTTTAGAAAATACAAGGTTGGAGTCTAAGATAATTAACACCCTAAAAATTTTTACAAATTGAAGTTATCTAAAGAGTGGTCTGTAATTCTCTTATTTCTAAAGGTGATACATTACTAATAACACAAAATTAAAATCTCCTGCAGTAGACAAATAGAAATAATTTGATTACATGTTATGTCTTGTTCCTTAACATTTAATAATAATTTGGGTTTAAATTTTTATTTAGGGACCAGAAGGATAGTACAGAGGTTAAGTTGCTTGCTGTACATGCAGTTGATCCTGGTTTGATCCCCAGGACTGTAAGGAGCAACACCTGAGCACAGAAACAGAAATATTCTCTAAGCACTACTGGGTATAACCCAGAAACCAAACAAAATTACATACAATATTGTGGTAAAGTAGATCATTGTGTCTGGCCAGATTTATTTATTTATTTATTTTGGCTTTTTGGGTCACACCTGGTGATGCACAGGGGTTACTCCTGGCTTTGCACTCAGGAATCACTCCTGGCGGTGCTCTGGGGACCATATAGGATGCTGGGAACCGAACCTGGGTTGGCCGCGTGCAAGGCAAACACCCTACCAACTGTGCTACCACTCCAGCCCCTGGCCAGATTTATTTTTAAGGCTCTACTACATTAAATGAAATGAGATTTTTTTCTTGGATATTAAATAAGATTTTTAAGAAGCATTTTTTAACTTTAGTTTGTGTCTTTATTGAACAAATTCATGGTAAAAGGAAATTCTTTTGAAAGCTGCAAGTTATTGAGCTGCGTTCTCTTGTTTCGGTCAAAGAGGACTTTGATTGTGACATTTCTTAAACTTGTTCTGCATTAAGAAGAGAGTTTTAATTTTAAAGCCACTTGTTCTCTCATATTACAGCTACAAGTTTTACCAGATAGTTTTCTGTTCCCTTTTCTAAAGAACCATGATGCATTTTGTTTTAGTAAATTATTCCCAAAATTATTACACATTACCATCTTCATATGTAAAAGCACTGTGACAAAAATCATGATCTGCAAAACTAAGATGAGATCTAGGTTTATGTTTTTTAAAAATCTGGGCTGGTCAAAGGAACACAATTTAAATATATTTGGCTGTTTTATAAATGAATGCTTTTTATAACCACAAGATTTGTGGCTTTTTGTTTGGCAAAAATTTGTATTTAATTTTGTTTCCTTGTCAGATTTTTAAAATTTAGAGTTCATTTTTGAAGGCCATTTTTGCAAATAATTCATGTAATGTTTATTGACCTTCAGCTTTTGGAAGAAATCATTTATCTGATGGAATCTTGGTCCCTTGCCACATTAAAAAATAAGTACTCTGAAACTATATTTCCCCTAAGAGTAGTAGAAATGTTTGTTCTCTTGACTTGAAAGGGCTCACTCAAGTTACTATTTATTGGTTTTGTATTAAAAGCAGATGCCAAAGAGGAAGAAGATTCTTCTGGGTCACAGTCAAAGGGGCTTCAGAGGACAGACCTCTATCATCTTCAGAAGGTCAGGCCACTTTCTTTTCCTTCCAGCTTGGTCCGGTGGCAATCCCATGTTTTAGTGTTTGTGCTCTAGATTTTTCTATCTCAGTGTTTTGTTTTCAGTTTTAAACGACAATACCAGGAACAAAGTGGATTTGGGAACTCACTTATAAATCAAACATGTTAGTCCCACTGCCATTCCTTCACATGTGTACAGTCTGCTGGCATAGGTGGAAAGTGTTCTTGTAGCTTAGAAAAGAAATGAGAAAAGATTACAAAAAGGAATCTAATTATTTATCTGAGGTATTTGTTTTTCTTCTGTTTCAGCAACTAAGTTTTAGATACTTTCTTGGTTTTTTGGTTTTGTTTTGTTTTTTTTTGGGGGGGGGGTCACACCCAGCACTGCACAGGATCTTACCCAACACTCCTGGCTCATGCACTTAGGAATTACTCCTGGCGGTGCTTGGGGGACCAAATGGGATGCTGGGAATTGAACCCGGATTGGCCATGTGCAAGGCAAACTCTCTACCCACTGTACTATATCACTCCAGCCCCTTTCTTGATTTTTTTAACTGCATAAGTAAAAATTAAGTGAGTGGCCATAGAAATGGCACAGCAGGTAGAGTGCTTGCCTTCCACATAGCCAACTTGGGTTTAATTCCCAGCATCCCATATGATTCCCCCAGCACGCTAGGAGTAAGTGCAGAGCCAGGAGTATTGCTAGATGTGGCCCAAAAAAAATTTTTTTTTTTTAAATTTATTTATTGAATCACTGTGGGAAAGGTTACAAAGCTTTCAGGTTTATGTCTCAGTCATGCAAATATCAAACACATTTCCCTTTACCAATACTTATTTTTTCCCATGAAGAACCCCAATAAAACCCCACCCCCCACCCCTCCCCGTCCCTGTGAAGCAGATGAATTCTAGTTAACACTCTATCTGCTTTGATTAGATTCATTGTTTCAATAAAAGATTCACCACTATTATTTAGAGTTTACCCCCCCCCCCCAAATCAGACATGCTGAAAAAGCATTGTGAAGTGATTTGCTTTCTACGGCTGGGTTCAAGAATTAAATGTTGGTTTTGGATTTCTGCTCTTTTACCTATTGACCCTGGAAGTATTTCTACTGAAAGTCAGATAGTTAAGAAATTGGTTTCTGTGTTCTGGAGTCCTGGCCGTGCTGGAGAGCCGCTCGCGGGGGGCAACCGGTGGCCTCGGTAGGGCGTGAAGGGCGGACCAAAACGCCCCCCTTCCCATGAGGTTTTAGTCGCCCCCACACTCCCGGCTCATACCTGCTGTCCACAAGGCTCCCATGTGGCCGCCATCTTTCTTTCCAGAGAGGAGAGGGCGAATGGGGCAACACCCTTTCCCCTCCGGCAGACTTGATGGCCTGGATCAATGCAGAGTCCGTTCACTTTTCTGCTCCAAGCTGCTGGGTTCTGCATTAAGTCCTTGTGCTTCTGGGGCCGTGGCCGTGCTGGAGAGCCGCTCGTGGGGGGCAACTGGTGACCTCGGTAGGGCGTGAAGGACGGACCAGAACGCCCCCCTTCCCATGAGGTTTTAGTCGCCCCCACACCCCCGGCTCATACCTGCTGTCCACAAGGCTCCCATGTGGCCGCCATCTTTCTTTCCAGAGGGAGGAGGGCGGAAGGGAGCAACACCCTTTCCCCTCTGGGCAGAAATGATTGCCTGGATTAACGCATAGTCCTTTCACTTTTCTGCTCCAAGCTGCTGGGTTCTGCATTAGGTCATTGTGCTTCTGGGGCTGTGGCCGTGCTGGAGAGCCGCTCGTGGGGGCACCTGGTGGCCTCGGTAGGGCGTGAAGGGCGGACCGAAACGCCCCCCTTCCCATGAGGTTTTAGTCGACCCCACACTCCCGGCTCATACCTGCTGTCCACAAGGCTCCCAGGTGGCCGCCATCTTTCTTTCCAGAGAGGAGAGGGCGAATGGGGCAACACCCTTTCCCCTCCGGCAGACTTGATGGCCTGGATCAATGCATAGTCCGTTCACTTTTCTGCTCCAAGCTGCTGGGTTCTGCATTAAGCCCTTGTGCTTCTGGGGCTGTGGCCGTGCTGGAGAGCCGCTCGTGGGGGGCAACTGGTGACCTCGGTAGGGCGTGAAGGACGGACCGGAACGCCCCCCTTCCCATGAGGTTTTAGTTGCCCCCACACTCCCGGCTCATACCTGCTGTCCACAAGGCTCCCATGTGGCCGCCATCTTTCTTTCCAGAGAGGAGAGGGCGAATGGGGCAACACCCTGGCCCAAAAATTTTTTAAAAAAAGTTTTAAAAAAAAATGAGCCACAGTACGTCATGCAAATTTTCACTTGTTCTATTAAATTCTTGATTGTCATTGATTGTAGCAGCACCTTCTTTGTACTGTAATATCAGATTACAATAAATGTAGAATAAAATTCCCATCAAAGCAAAACTCATAGAATCTATTTTTTAGTATGTCTCAAGAGTAGTTTTTTCTTCTCCTTCTTAAATGAAGAAGTAGATTGGAGAGTGAACACGTCACCATCTAGTTTAGTAGTGAAGTGAACTGCTTTCTTCCTCTTTCCCTGAAAATACACTTGATATGTATTTCAAGTTCGGTGCATGGGAAGAAAAATTCTTTCCAGATCTTAAGAATAAATATAAACTCATTTTTTGTGTGTTAGATCTTAAGGACAAATAATAAACTTATTTGGGGGGTGTCAGGGTTGAACCCAGGACCTTGTACATGCAAATCAAAGCATGCACTCTACAAGTCAGCAGTCCTGAATTTATTTTGATGTGGTCTTTCTGTGCATATTTTCTCTCCTGGAAAGAATTTAGGTTGCCTCTGCCCGAGCAACAGAGTGCCCCTCTGAGAGCTTTTCTGTTTCAGTATCACCAGAAAAAGTATGTTCTTTCATCCATAGTCCCTACTGGAAATGAAAGAGTTAAGAAGAACAAGTAAGAAACAGACCAAGTTTGAAGTACTCAGAGAAAAAGTTGTGAACTTCATTGACAGCCTAGTGAGGTGAGTGTGCTGAACTTAAAGCTAAAAGTCATGCATTTTCCCAGAGAACATTGGTTCTGGATTATGACCCAGAAGAGCACTGTCTATCACCATAGTTTAGGGGGCTTTCTTTGGATTAGGATTTAGGCAAATAATTTGCAGAAGTACTTTTCTGTGCCAGTAGAAATAAAGTTATTGAAATAATAATTTGAACAAAATTGCTAATATGTAAATAAAAATGTATGGTGAAGAAATATATCTGAACAAAAATATTGAACAAAAATGCTAATAATATATGATGTTTTGTCACTGTTCAACCAATGTAGTCCAGTGAAAATAAAGTTCAGGCAGATTTTATGTTTCCACTGGTGGATGGTCTCTAAAGACATCCTAAAAGTGCTTTTTGCCTTGAAAATGATCTGAATTTGTAAACATTAAATATACAAACACAGTCCTCCCGTTATTCATTGATTTTGCTCGAGTGGGCCCAGTAATGTCTCCATTGTGAGACTTGTTACTGTGTTTGGCATATTGAATACATCACGAGTAACTTGCCAGGCTTTGCTGTGCGCGTGAGATACTCTCAGTAGTTTGCTGAGCTCTCCAAGAGGGGCGGAGGAATCGGCCGGGCCGGCAGCATGCAAGGCAAATGCCCTTCCGTTGTGCTAGAGTAATAAGATTTTAATGAAAATAATTTTCCTGCAGTTTACTATCAATTGCCTTGTTAGATTTCCAGTCCTCATGCTTAGTAGGAATTTCAGTATGATCTTTAATGAATTTGGCGTATGAGGGAGTTACGGTCAGGAATTATAAGTGGGGATACTATAGAGGTAGCATGGGTGCATAATTTTTTTTTGGGGGGGGGGTCACACCCGATGATGCACAGGGGTTACTCCTGGCTCTTGCACTCAGAAATTACTCCTGGCGGTGCTCGGGGGACCATATCGGATGCTGGGAATTGAACCTAGGTCTGCCGTGTGCAAGGGCTAATACCCTACCCGCTGTGCTATCACTCTAGCTCCCTTGGGTGCATTTTTAATATGGAGGGTTTGACCTCCAACACCACAAGGTCCGAAGTAGCACTAGGAATAACCCCGAACAGAGTAGCCCCTGAGCACCATCAGGTGTTACCGAAAACAACAACAAAAATACTAAGAATTACAATTGGATAATTGCCCATCCTGGAAACAGCATCACTGAAACCATTCCTGCATTCTTCTTCCCTCCCTCCTTCTTCCCCTCCCTCTTTTTCTCTCCCTCCGTTCGTCCCACTCATTGTTGATTTTGCTTGTTAAATAAATTGCTCAATTCTCCCCAGAGTGACAAAAATATTGCATTGAAAATAAATCTCTTCTTATCTAAAAGCTGATTCATAGCTTTGCTGTTTCAGAGAACACCTTGTGCCCCCCGAGACTCAGCCTCTGCACGAGGTTGTATACTTCAGTGCAGCTCATGTCCTTCGTGAGCACTTGAATGCTGCTCCGAGAATCGCCCTCCACACTGCACTCAACAACCCTTATTATTATCTCAAGGTAAGAAGCAGTCATTTCTCTGAGTTTATGTTCAGGTCTCTGGCTTCATTTGTCACAAAGATATGGTACATTAGTAATTTTAATGAACAGAGTTGGAATCTCAGGTTTTTACCTCTTTCAATTTTTAAAAATTATTTTGATTTTCCATGTTATTTCCTAATCTAGTCAAAATACTTATCAGCAACTAGTTGATGCTGCCCACTTCTTGTCCACATGGTCAGTGTCTGCTTTAATGTATTAAAACCAGATGAAGGACACAGAAAGTTGAGATTCTACTATTACTCCTGTTAAAGTTAAGGAAATGTTTCCTACAGACCAAATAAATAGGTCAGATGGCCTAATAAAATTACTTAAAAGCTCCAAATAGTTGTTTCTCAGTGGCAAAATACAGACATTGGGATTTTATCTGGGATTTAAAAAAGAAAGATCTACTTTGAAAGACTGTCTTCAGAGTTAGAGTTTGGAAGATAACCAACACTGGGGGATAAAACTGAAATCTAGACAAATTTGTACTTCTAGTAAGTTCTTTGAATAGAGTTCTACAGTCAGAATTTTAAAGCTTTCTTATAAAATAGCCACTTTAAGCATTCAGTATACGATATTTCAGTAAGCTACATATACATAAAATAATTTGTTATTAACTCAGTTAAGCTCCTAGAATTATTTCTACAAAGGATGATTAAGGAGTAACTTCACAAAACCTATGAAGAGCATTCCAGTGAGGTTTACAGACTTAACAGATTAGGCAAAACAAAAGATACTAATTAGGAAGATTAAAAAAATCACTGGACTGGTGATTTTCATTGATGGTGATTGTGGTGAGTTTAAATTATATCCTATTTAAAAACATTAGTTTTATGATAGAAACCACAAATTAAAATCTTTTTAAAAATCTGTCTTCATGCTTGATGTCATGTTACCAGAGAACCCTGCTGCGACAGTATTAGATTATGGGAAATGTAATCTCTCTGCTGATGTGGAGATAACAAATTATTTTTGTTTCTCCATAAGTACCATATAGTTCAAAGAGATTGAAAAACCACTTGGTGGTTTTCATACGGGTTAGGATCTTCAGGGTACACAACACAGTATTTGAGATAATCCTGGTAGTGGTATGTTGATATTAGAGAATATGATAGAATTTGCATAACTATAGATACTGGAAATAGCTAAACTTTTAATGGAAACCAGAAATGCATTAATGCATGTAATGATTAATCATATGGCTAATGTTTAGAACCCAAGGGGATTGTGATCAGAACCAAACCTTTGTTCTGTTTTTTTGGGGGGGGCCACACATGGTGATGATGTTTAGGTGTTGTTCCAAGGACCCCTGGGAGCTGGGGATTGATCCCAGTGTTCCAGGATGCAAAGCACATACTCTAGCACTTTGTGCTTTTCCTTCAAGACCTAATTAATAATAAATAAGAACTAATTAATTGAAGAATAAATGCATCTCAATAAAAGAAGTGTAAGGTTGCATTTACTGACTTACTAACATTAGGTTAGAGAATTCATGAATGACTAATTTTATTCTTAATTATTTCTAGAAGACCCTAATCATTTCTGAACATTAATTTATTATTTTTAGAATGAAGCACTGAAAACTGAAGAAGGCTGCATTCCAAATGTTGCCCCAGACATCTGTATAGCATATAAACTGCACCTAGAATGTAGTAGGCTAATCAACCTTGTGGACTGGTCAGAGGTAGGTCAGGGGAAAAGAACAGGCTGTGTATTTAATCACCCGTTAACAACTTTCTTAGGATGTTTTTATACTTCTTGCATTTTGGAACTCATGCTTTACTTTCTAATGCCCTGCCTTTTGGAAAGTGAGAAATACTATACTTGAGAAATTCTTCCAGAAAAGCAGCTAACTGTTGGATATTCCCACTCCTATGCCCTGTGCACGCGTTCCTCAACCAAGCCAGTTCACTTTTCGTGCCAGATCAGAATATGCTCTAACTCCACAACAGTAAGCAAAAGCTAAATAGTTTTAAGTTACTTCTTTGTTATTTCACCTCCTGCCCCCAAAAGTTGTATTATTGTTTTTATTACATAAAAGAAAAAAATGGATATTGGAATGACTACACAACAGGCTTCGCAGTCAGGAAGTACAAAGAATATTTGGCAAGGCAATCGACAACTGCAGTTAATTTCTTTAAATAACTATTCTTTCCCTCAGAAGACTGTTAAAAAGATCACAACTCACAGAAAGTCCTATTTAACAGATGTCTTGTCACCATTTAAAAAATATTCATAATCTAGTTCATTCCAAGGGGGGGAAAATGGGTTGATTCTGGGGTTTTAATTTTTTGATTTTTGGGGGGGAAATGCGTAATCAACTGCTTCTAGGAAGAGCTTTTTCCTGCTGTAATGGAGGACCTTTAGCCTTCACCAGTTTTGTTTCTTGATTTCCTCTTCACGCATCTTGGTTTTCTGAAACATGATTATTCAGGAACAGTTCCATTATTCTTTAATACGTATTTCATTTAAAGTAGCATAGTGCAGTTTTGAGAATTTGAAGTTTGGTCTAATAAACAAAATGTACCAACTATCAGGAATAGCATTGCTTAGTCTGGCTTAACCCAGCCATCAAGGTAGTGTAATAAAAGATGTTTGGCAACTGGAGATTTTTATTGTCTTTTCTCTTAAAAGGCTTTTGCAACAGTTGTGACAGCTGCTGAACAAATGGATGTAAATTCTGTAACCTCAGAAGAAAGGAATGAAATTATCCAGTATCCTTTTAAAGTCAGTTTGACTACTCAAGTTCTCAGACACTTGAAGTACATTTAGAATGTAAGTTTGTCATTTCTCCTGATAATACATTAAAAGGTTTTTTTGTAAAAAAAAAAAAAAGCGCCACACAACCTTAACACTTGTAACTACATCAACCCAGAATTCATTTCTAAGTACTCTGAATTTAGTCTTAAATGACACTAAATCTAAACTATCTGGTTTAAAACTTCTAAGATTAAAAGTTTACTAAAGTTGGTAAAATTATTAGTAGATGTAGGGGGAAGCAGTTTTCATGTTACTTGATAACAATTAGAGAAGCATTACTTTTTTGTTATGTCTTACAGTAGATTCTAATTCTTAATGTTTTCAATTATAGCTTTACTTAGGAGGAATGTCTATTATACTATGTGTACCAACTAACATTTTAACCAGTGGAATTTAAAAATTTTTTGTCAGAACCTACATGATGAATTTCCTTAGCTATAGTCTCCAGTGCTCGATTTATCAGAGCAGTTTCTGAACTAGAACTTTTAGGATTTATAAAACCTACCAAACAGAAGACTGACCATGTGGCAAGGTTAACATGGGGAGGCTGCTAGAAAGTAAATTAAGGAAGCCGAAATGATCACATTTAACTTGAGAGAAAGACAAGACCAGTTCTGTTTACCTGCCATTAGAGGAAATGTGGTTTGCAAGAACTGTGAATCTACATGGGATGTTCAACCAGGAATTTAGAGTGATGACCACAGAAATAATATTTAAAAACCTTTGGAGTAGTTTGAATCCAACAAATAAAACGCTTACATTTAATTAAAATTTGTCTTTCCTGGTATCACTGTGATTTTCACAGTCATTACTAAGTTATGAGTAAGTTGTTCTTGAATATACAAAATGTCACTGTCCTCCAATTGATCATTGATTTGCTCGAGCAGGCCCAGTAACGTCTTGTTGTGTGTTTGGCATATCGAATAGGGCATGGGTAGCTGGCCAGGCTTTGCCCTGAGGGTGAGATACTCTGGGGAGCTTGCTGGGCTCTCCGAGAGGAGCGGAGGTATCGAACTTGGGTGGGCCGTATTGGCCGCCGCTTGCAAGGCAATACAAAAATGTATAAATGTAATAAGTTCCTTTATTCTGCTTCTTGGTTTCTTTTGTAAACTGTGAAATTAAATATGTAGGATTATTTCTCCTCGTACTATTTTGGTTCAAAAACTGCTCTGCTGCACTTCCTTTAGTCTTACAAATTAAAAACAACTAAGTTGTTTGACTTTTACATTTGGAGGCAAAAAACATTTTTTCAGAATGACCTAGCTTGGAGACTCATGGTCTTTGCCAATTACAATTCAATCTTATAACCCAGACAGGGAAAGTAAAGTCCAGATGAAATTGTAAAGTCCAGACATTCAGATCTCTTCCCTGACAAAAACTCACCAAGACATAATGAAACAAAGATATCTCAAGTTCATTATTGAATGTCCTATTCCTCAGAGACTTCTGGGCTGTCTTTATTCACTAACAGGAGCCAGAGATGTGGCTCAGTAGAATACAAGCTTGCATGTGTAAGGCACTGGGTTCAATTCCCTTCACAGTAAAACCTAAACAAGGGCCAGATAGATAGCAGAGTAGGTAGGGTACATGCAACTGGACTCGCTCTGATCCCTGGCATTCCTTATGGTACCCCAGCCACTTCCTAATATCAGGCTTTATACCTTGAGGACCAATGTTAAATTATTTTTCAGTGTAATATAAATTGATATATAACTTAAACCTTGTTAATTTGGGAGTATAAAGAAGAGACACTGAATCAGTAACTAATGGCTCTTATTCCCCTCTGAAAACAAAAATGTTAGATGAGGTTCAGAGAGATAGTCGAGATTTAGGCGCTTGCCTTGCATGCTGCTATGCCTGGTTCCATTCCTGGCACCCCATGTAGTCTTCCAAGAACTGACAGACAGGAGTGATGCCTTAGTAGAGCCAGGAATAAGCACTGAGCCTGTGGATTGTTATCCCTCACAACCCTCCCCCATCCAAAAAAATACTAGGAAATATATATCCTCAACAAATTGTCAAGATGCTGTGAGGTTAAAATGGAAAATCCCAAGGTGCCAAAAGCAATTAACTGCAAGCTAGAGCAGAAACTGCCTAGTCGACAGACCTTAGAGAAATAGTTATGGCAGATTGAATTTCTCATTGAAAGATACCAGGATTTATTCAAAATTTCGGCACATGCTCATATGCACACAAGGCTTTCAACTTGGAAATTGGGTAATTTATGATAAACACCACCATGAGAAACTGAATATAAGTTTTACAACATCTTGGAATTCACGTATCAAAGGCACCTCTGGGGCTGGATAATAACAGAGGTAAGTTGCTAGCCTTGCACGTGGTGACACCAGTTCAGTCGCTACTACTGCATATGGTCTGCCAGAAGTCACACTCCTGCAGGAATAGTTCTGCAGGATGTGGCTCAAAACCTCCCTCTCAAACACAGTCTGTCATCTTATGAAGTGATGGAGCAGTCTACAAAATGGGATATGACCCCTTTGGAAATAATATGACAACTAATCATAACTATATATGACAACTATAATAAAATCTCGGGTAAAATATGTAGCTGATTTGGGGGATTTTTTTTCCTATCAGTTGTCTTCTTTTAAAGATGCAGTCAGCAGTGTGGGAAAGGTTTTCTGATAATCTCCATCCTGTTAATGACACCATTGGTATGTATGGTTCCATTAGCTTTCAAAAAGGTAGACAAGCATTAAATAAAACTGCTTTTAAAACTCAGTAACAAGGGGCTGGAGCAATAGCACAGCAAATGGGGCATTTGCCTTGCACGCGGCCAACCAGGGTTCGATTCCTAGCATTCCTGAGCACCGCCAGTAGTAATTCCTGACTGCAGAGCCAGGAGTAACTCCTGTGCATCGCCTGATGTGACCCAAGAAGGGAAAAAAAAAAAAGTAACAAGGGCTGCAGTGATAGTACAGCAGATAGGGTGCTTGCCTTTCATGCCACACACAAACCAGGGGATCAATCCCTTGATCCCTTGCATTCCATATGGTCCCCCAAGCACACCAGGAGTGATTCCTGAGCGCAGAGCCAGTAATAACCCTTAAGCATCGCTGGGTGTGGCCCCCAAATCAAAAAAATGGAGACTCTTATAGCAAAATGCTTATTACATTGTAAAGGTACCAACCTCAGAGCAGTAGATTCATGCCTCTCTGAGGTCCAGGTTCCCTGAATGTTAGTCCTACTTTTATCTATAGTTGGCTGTAGATAATTCATAACATGAATTCATGCTAACTACATGTCTTGCACTAAACCACCATGGTTTTCCTTCTGTAGGTTTAAACTATGAGACACAAACTGCCTTTTTTTCACACTGAATACCGTAAAATTTATACGTAAAGCTCACTTGTGGAGCACAAAACTTCAAACCAGCCTAACAGCTCAGGTCTGTGTTCAGATTTTTTTCCTGGGGGGAGGGGGTTGCTGAGGGGCACACCAAGCAACCAAGTACTCAGGAATCATTCCTGGTGGTGCTTGGAGGACCATATGGGGTCCCAGGGATCGAACCTAGCTTGACCACATACAAGCATCCTGTCTGCTGTATCATCACTATATTAAGTGATACACACCTATATTAAGATTTTCTTTACAGTATAATTTCAACCAAATTATTTTACAGTAAAATTTCATTATCTACTGTACAAATGTAAATCCACCAAGTTTTTGGTTTAAATACCAATTTTAAATTCATCTCTGAAATTCAAAAACTCCTGAGAACATACTATGTACCAGCCACTGTTCCAGGAACTTGTCTTCACTGTATTCTTCCAAGAGGAAGTAATGTTAAAAGGCAGAGGGGCTATCCAGGATATGGTGCTGCAATTTTAAAGTTATTACAGTAGGCCTACTCAAGCCAACTTTGATAAATGATTGACCGTAAGGTAAGATTATGCAAGTTGCACTGAAGGAACAGCAAATGTACATACATGCAAAAAGCTTTCAACTTGGAAATTAGGTAAGCACCACCACGAAGGTAGTCTAATTAGAGGATAGGTAGAGTGAGCAAAAGAAAATTGAATGAGGTGGGTAAAGTGTCAGTAACAAAGCTCTATGGACCTTTGTAAGGTTTTTCATATTGTTTTTGCAGGGCATACTGCGATGTTTAGGGCTTGCTCCTATGTTTGGAGGACTGTTAGGACTGATCCATGTGACTGAACTTAAAGTCAACCGAACCAAGTCAGCTACATGGTGCAAACATGCATTTTGTTCTTGGGTCTTTGTAAGGCTTTTTGACTTAAGGTTCAGTTTGACTGCTTTGAGATAAGGCTGGATAGTAGGAAGGAAGTGAAGCAAGACAAAGACCAGGTGCAAACATGCATTTTGTTCTTGGGTCTTTGTAAGGCTTTTTGACTTAAGGTTCAGTTTGACTGCTTTGAGATAAGGCTGGATAGTAGGAAGGAAGTGAAGCAAGACAAAGAAAGACCCATTAGGAGACCAATTAGGAGTAAAGGTAATTGCTATCTTGGATAAGGGTAAGAGCGATTGTAGGTTATGGGTATATAAGTAGCCAAGGAGCCCAAGGGTTGAACTCTGGGGTATTCCTGTTTTAAAGTTCAGAAAAATGCAGACTTGGCTGGCATAAGATTGAAGACGATATAGCATAACTTGCATAAAAGGCCTCAGATTGAAACTACTAAAAATTTCAGTCTTGGGGTGGAATGGTAGTACAGTGGATAGGATGCTCACCTTGCAGAGGGCGACACAGCATTCCACATGGTCCCCCAAGAACCTCCAGGAATAATTCCTGAATTCAGAGCCAGGGATAACCCCCAAACATTGCTGGTGTAGCCCCAAAACAAAGACTTCAGCCCTCACTTCTTAGTTCAAAGTGACAGAAGTGGACAATAGACCTTGTTCAAATCAGAAAAATTTGATTGGATCCTACTTTACAAAGAGGGGAAAGTACAAGATATATTTTAGGAACAAATGAGAAAATCTGAATATAGACTGTATGTTCAATTAGTAATTCACTTTGTGTATTACTGGACTGTGTCTGAATTTTTCCCTAAGAAAAACTGGAGCAGAGGCAAAGATGAGAATAGATTTAGAACCATAGAACTTAGAGCAAAATAAAAAAAATAGGGCAATAGTGTGCGATAATCAAAAGATTCTTAATGGCATATTTATTATGTTTATGAGAATGCTCTTGTAGAGAGAAAAATAGTGCAGGAGAGGACTATCAGAGTGAACCATATCTAAGATGGGTTTCAGAAATGATGCCTCTTACCTAGGGCAAATATAGGATCAGACTGATTGCTAGAGTGGTTTCAGTTAACACCCAGTATATAATTTTGAAGTGAATAAAGAAAATCTGAGGTGAAAGTCATTCCCAGCTCTAGTTGTTTAGTCTAGAGATCTAGATCTAAGTTGTTTAGATCACCTAAGGAGCGTATTAAATAGATTCCAGCAGTTCTCCCCACCTCCACCCTTCTACTACAGCAGTCTCCTGAGTGGACCTGACCTGGAAATCTTTCCAAAAAGCTCTTAGGTACTACAATGTCTCTTAGAAACCACTTATCTGGGAGATGCGTTTTTGCTATCTTTGTCAAAGACTGCTTTGACTTTTTTAAAATTATTTTACTTTATTGAATCTCTGTGATAGACCATTACTAAGGCTGTCCATGATTGGATTTCAGTCATACAATATTCCAACACCCACCAGTGTACTTTTCCCCGCACAAATGTCCCCAGGTTCCCTCCCATCACCCCCCCCACACACACACATCCCCCAGCCT